TTTAGTTCCTACTTGTGCTCTAGTGAGTCCAGCTATTCCTATCATAATTGTTCCTATATGAATTTGTTGATAGTGTGATTTTTTAAGGTGTTCTATTGCTGTGTTACTAAGTAAATTAAGAGTTACTTCTTTATCTATACAGCTAACTTCATGTTGACTAATGCTACTTACAATACTATGTCTATTTTCAAATCTTCCTAATTGATATAAATTATATTTATTTTTCTGAGATTTTTCAAAGCCTTTTCTAAGAAATTCTTGTGCTTCTTGTTCACTAGGTTATATATCTTCTATTCTAACTATTTCTTTTCCTTTTCTTCTAAAGAGTTCCATTTACTATTATCAAATGGATTTATTCTACTTTTTCTTCTATGAGGATTATTTAGTGGTATTGTGTACTACTTGATTAATTTTTGTTATTTGCTCCTCTAATTGATCTACTTTTCAGCTAAATTTAAAATTAATTGGATAATTAAATTATTTTGCCTAATAGGGATATTACTACTTACTACAGATGTTGTAACTTCTGTGAGACCTACTAGTTCCTTATCTAGTTTACCAACTTCTTCTAATGCTTTGATATATTTATTATTAATTTTAGAATATGTCATTAAACTAAAAGTCTATCTATTTTACTATGTAACTTTTCTACTTGTTCAGTTAATGTTTTTTGTACTAACTGTATTTTTTGCACTTCTAATTTTAATTGCTCGATAATTTCTAATGACTGGAGTTCTATTTGTTTTAGCTTACTATCTATAAGATCAATGAGTTCTTTTATTTCTTTCTTACTAGGAAATCTTTGGATATTCCTATTATTATCTTCTAACTGAGATGTTATATAGTCTAAGTTTTGTCTAATTGTTTCTAAGGAGTTTTTCTGAAAATATTCTAATAACTGTTGAATTATCCTATTATTTTTGTTATATTCAAATTTTACACTTTTTGCTTGACTAATTAAAAGGTCAATAATACTATTTTCTAAGGGACTGCTACTGCTATGTAATAGATGTTTGTGTTCTTTTTGTGGAAAATAACAAATTAATGTATTATTATCTAGAGTTAATTTTTCTTTTGTTGTTCACTGATCTCTAAATTAAGATATTCTATCATATAGTTTATCTAAGTCTACCTTTTTCTTTTAAGATGCCTAAATGCTCCTGGAAAGCTTCTATGGATTCTTCACAGACTTCTAAATGATACTGATTTCTTGTTATGCTATTATGTACTTCTAGTTTTCTTCTAGGATAATTATCTACTTCTGGTGATTTTATAAATTCTTCTAAATTCCTAATTTCTTTTTGGTATTCTACTTTCTGTTTCTTTAATTCTAATAACCTTTCTTTTATTCTAATAGGTGTCCACTAAGGGCCAAACATTAGAACAGTTTACAGTTCTTAACTGGTAATTCTGGTAATTAACAAAATTTTAACAGGTTATAAAACGTTGGTTTTTATCAATTGTGTTGATTGACTTCTGTCCTCAAGGTACTTTACTGGTATAACTATATTATTAAGGTGCTAAACTAAAGCTCTGATACCATTTTGAAAGTGGGGTCTCGATCAAGGTTTCTAAAAGCCAAAATAACAACCATACACCATGCATAGAACATGGAACTGCAAAGACGCCAACTTAAAGGGCTATGGAGTAGAACTCAGAGGTCCTCTAAACTCAAAGGTTCCCTAACAGACATCCAATTATTGTTATGTCAAATATCAAACATGACCAAGTGCTCAAACAAAATATTGATCGTCAGTTTAGCAAGATAATAACATAATTATGAACAGTGTTTCCCTGTTTTGGACAAGAAGTCTACTAAGAAAACCAAAAATAAAAGAGAAAAAAGACTTACTTAATTGCTTATGTTGCTGGAACTACTGTTATCACAGGGGTATTAATAGTGGTCGGAGATATTAACAATGATTGAAGTAAGTAAGTATAATAAGAGGATAAGAGAAAGTATATGAACAAAGGGAGTTTTATTGATTGAAAACTGAAGGAGGAAGTACTAAGATTTTTTCTTCTCTAGTGTTGTTCGTACTTCTTTCTTCGGAGTTACAAACTACATACAGAATTTACATTGACTTCTACCATGGCTAAGGATGAGAAAAATAATTCTTCTCTATTTGATACACTCTCTATCTCTCTATGAAGTTTCATATGCACACACTATACAATCCAAAGAATTCACATGACGATTTTAGATTCATATGTACAAGCAAACAAAGTTTAAAATTATGGACTGCTACACTGTTGCTGCTGCTGCTGGTACTGTTATTGCTGCTGCTGGAAAAAGACAAGGACTTCACATGTTGCTTTCGTCTTTTGTGGAGGAGAGAGACCTAGGGCTTGCATGTCTTTGTTATTCAAGATAAGGGGCTTTCGTGTCATTTTGAAAATATTTTGGGTATTTTTGAAAGCTGCTTGTTTCCTTTGGGTTTTTCACTAAATTTAGCAAAAAAAAGGTGTATCAGTAGTTTTTGGATGTAATTGTCAAATACAGATTACTTTAAAAATAAGAAACATTTGTTATTGTTTTATCAATGTTTAGCTATTATGATAAATACAAGCTTAAAAGGAAAAGCACAAGCCAAAATAAAGATAAGCTGAATGTAGGACAAGTCCACTTCTAATTCTAAGTTTCTAGGCAATTGAAAATGTCAGGATTTAAGTTCTTGTGTGATCATCTATTCCGTATGGAAAATTTGTGGATCTTAGAGCACTTCCAGCAGTTTGCCCTTTGCCCTTTGCCATGGCAAGAGGGGGCTAGGGCAGCTACTATTTACGTGAATAGTGGCTTCATTTGCAAAAGGTTGTGGTGTTTCCACCAACTACCATGGCAACAACTATTCACATGAGATATGAGGTGAGAAATTTGTACAGAGTTTTGGTGTGGGAAGTGAAAATTATGACTAGTATTCATTTTTAAAAAAATCTGAATTTTTTTGCATTTTTTATAGACTTTTTAAAAAAAATTTTGTTGTTGACATCATCACTGACGTCAGCAAACCCGAGCTTGAACTAGGGCTGATCTTGCCTAAGGGCTGGCCTGGTTTCATGGGCCCCACCTCCTTCCAGGGCTAGCCCTTGCTGCAGGAAACGTTTTTTTGGCCTAACCCCCCCAACCCGAGCCCAGCCTTAACTGCTAGAAATGCTCGTAGTGGCATCATGAAGTTCTTGCTTAATAAAATGATGCTTGTTTAAATCTTTTTTCTCTTTTTATCACACATACATGTGAAAAAAAAAACAGAATTAGACAAGAAAAACAACCCAAAGGAAAAATATTGCATCTATCACTATTTTCTTTATGTCACTATCAATCATTGACATACTCGTGACTTAGAAAAACTAGACAATATCTCGTTTGGTTGGTTTACAGAATGAATTTGAGGGGAAATTATTTTCCATGTCATTTATCAAGGAATGAGAATTTGAAAATTCTTTTCCCATGTTTGATAATGCTTGGAAAGTAACCAAGACATATCACTTTATTTACTTTTTCATATTTGTTTTGAGTAGGAATAGAAAACAAATTTTGTATAATTTTTCAATTATACATATATTAAATCAATAAAAAATAGAATGTCTTTAATGATATATTATAATTTTAAATTGTTGATGGGGAGAAAATAGTCATGAAAAACATGCTATTAATGCTGGCCCATTTTTCTAGTTTTCCATGGAAAGGAAAAATGAGGAGGATTACATTTTCCCCTTATTTTCCTATATCCTAAGCAACCATTTTCCCATGCATGAACTTATCAAACATGGGAATGCAATTGATTTCTCATTTCCTAGCCTTTTTTCTCATGAACCAAATGCAATTGAAGCAATATTGACGGTCGGCAAACAATTTATTGACTAGACTTATTTATTTTTCATTCATTTGTTGAGCTATTTATTAAAATAAAAATAAAAAAAACAAAAACCGAGATTGAAAACCATGTCAACTATTATCTCTCCAAATAAATAGAAAAGGATGGGACACGAAGAAGAAATTTACAGGGTGGTGTAGTGTGGGAGTGTAGGGCAACGGATGATATAAAACAAAAACAAATATTGAGGGAGAGGGAAAGAGCCAAACATGAGAAAATGGAGAGCTATATGAGAGAGAAATGGGAAGGAGCGTTGGGTAGCATGGAAATGAATGGGTAGGAAGTGGGGCCCTTGGTAGTATGGTCACTCCCTCCTACAATGGAGTTTTATAGCATTTTCTCCTTTCATTTCTAAACAACCAAAAAAATATCAACAAGTTAAAGCACTCTAATAAAAAATAATTATAAAAAAAATACAGAGTTTCGACCGATGCAATAATTCTACAGAATAAAAAGAATTACAACTTGCTTCAATGTGAGATAATGCTATCGCTTTGTCTCAAAAAGTGATTGTATGCGAAAAGGTCTATTTTCACCAGAAGTGCTCACCTGAGGACCAAATTTTGAGGGACTCTGAGCGCCAAACACATCTCACCAGTTGGATTAATCCAGCGGTGTTTAATATAGTAGCTTTGAATTCTCCCAATGAAATTCAGTCCGAGCAAAGCCATTGTTTGCATTGCATGATTGGTTTGCTTCAACAGTTGATCAAATTGCTGGGTGACCTGGAATATTCTAGGTCTCTTTTCGGAGTCAATATGAAATTCATTGGATGGAGGAGATGATAGGAAAGAGATTAGAGAGACAGGAGTTGGATCTTGCGGGTTACAGAAACGGGTTGGAAAGTCTATATGGGTCTCACTTTTAGTTACTAAGACTACAAGCCGTTGGATTAATCCAACGGGTGATATGTGCTTGCCGCTCAGAGTCCCTCAAAATTTGGTCCACAGGTGAGCATTGCTTGGGGAAATATCACAATAATTGTGGGACAGGGTAGGAACGGAATTGAGACTTGGTTGACTTCTGCCCTTCTGCTACTTCCTATATGAACAAGAACTGAGACTTCTCCATCGGTAAGATTATTTTTTCAATCTAAAAACAGAAGGAAAAAGAAAACCTGCTAATATGGCCGAAGGTGTTGTTTCAATTGTGCTCGAAGGGCTCAGCAACCCTATCATTCAGGAATTGAAATCCTTGAAATCCGTGGGTGGAAAGGTTCAGAGTGCACAAACCCAGCTACAATTCATGCAAGGCTACTTGAAAGATGCAGACGCAAGCCAGGGACTCAATGAAGCAATACGCATTTGGGTGGCAAGTGTCAGAGATGCTGCTTATGATCTTGAGGATGTCATTGAAACTTATGTCTTAAAAGTGGCTTTCAAGAGGAAACCAAATGTTTTGACATGGTTTACTAGCATCTTCATAAAAGGAGTTAATCTTCATCGGATTGGCTCAGACATTGAGAAAATTACAACCGAAATTTCACAGCTGAGTTCGATTATGCCAAGTTTTAACCTACACCACACAAGAGAGAGTGGAGGTGACACTTTTTATCAAAGGCAACAGGAGCGGAGGATAGCTTATCCTCATATTGTCGACCCTCATGTGGTTGGTTTAGCCCAGGGAACAGAGATATTGGCTATGCATTTGATCAAAGAAAAAGGCCCCCGAGTTGTTTCTATTTGGGGGATGGGCGGATTGGGTAAAACCACTCTTGCAAAACAAGTTTATCATCATGGTGAAGTTAAGCGTCATTTCAATTGTTTTGCCTGGGTGTGTATCTCTCAACAATGCCAAGCACGGGAAGTTTTGGAAGAAATTCTGACTAAACTCATTTCTCCTACCAATGAGCAAAGACAAGAAATTGCAAAATTGAAGATTGATCAAATAGCAGAGAGGCTTTGGAATACGCAAAGAGAAAGGAAATGTTTAGTGGTGTTGGATGACATTTGGAGTAGTGATGCGTGGAGCTCTTTGCAAGCTGGATTTCCAACGAATAAGGAAACTGAGAGCCGAATTTTACTCGCTACTCGCAACAAAGAAGTTGCTTCATATGCGGACAAAAATGGTTTCCTCTTCGAACCACAGTCATTGAATGATGATGACAGCTGGAAACTGTTTGAGAAGATAGCAATGTATGGAATGGAAAATACAAGTATGTTCTCATACAAATCTTTTATCTCTACTTTTCTTGCTTATCAATTCACCGTTTCAACTAACTCTTTCTTTGCCACTCTTAAGAAAATTCTATAAGAAACTTTGCAGTTCATGTTTATACTTTTTATTGGTAGAGATCTCTATATTCCTAGAAACTGATTTAGTATAATTGTATTACCCTTTATTTTAATTATCAAACTACGGATTCGAGAATTTACTATACCCCATATCCAAGGTGAAAAATCAGAAACTCTTATGAGTTCTAGAGTGAAAATCATTGTAGTAAATGAATGATAGAATGATGGCACAATTTGTTTTGTAGAATTTTCATGCAATTGAACACATGTAGTTAATTAATTTGGTCTTAATATTATTTTTCAGACCCTAGAATTTATGAACAAAAGAAAGAGCTAGGAATGAAGATGCTTCAACATTGTAAAGGTTTGCCACTAGCCATCACGGTGCTTGCAGGACTTCTAAATAGAAAAGACACAATTGATGAATGGACTACGGTGCATAAGAATATTGATGCATATATAAGGAGAGGCAGAGATCTTGGGCCCAATTCTAGAGGTGAAGGATATGAAGGGGTATCATGGTGGTTGGAATTGAGTTACGACAATTTATCATATCACTTAAAACTATGATTTCTGCACTTAGCCCATTTTCCCGAAGATTATGAAATACCGGTGAGTACATTGACTAAACTATGGATGGCAGAAGGTTTTATATCTTTCGCACCAGCGAAAGAAATGGAAGATGTATCATATAGGTGCTTAAGTGAGTTAGTGGGCAGGTGTATGGTTCTAGTTGGAAAACATGGTTCGAGTAAGAAGATCAAGACTTGTCATCTCCATGATCTTATGCGAGACTTATGCATTTTAAAGGCGAAAGAGGGGAACTTTGTCCATATCATCAATTATTCTGTAGCTTCTGAGACCAAGGAACCTCCAAACGGTAGAGTTCGAAGACTTGCCTATTTGGACCATACGGTTGATGCATATGGTTCGGGAAAAGGTGAAAATTATGGACACGTTAGGTCTTTGTTATACTTTGACACAATACACTCCAGTATCTCAAAGGTATTATGGTCACTATTGAAGAACTTGACATTGCTTAGAGTTTTGAAGTTTGAAGGTTTGACTGAAAGAAAGTGGAAGTTACCGGATGAAATTGGGAATCTAGTGCACTTAAGGTTTCTAAGTGTAAAGGGTAGTGCTATTGAAGCGGTGCCATCATCTATAGCAAAGTTGGTATGTTTGCAAACTCTAGATTTACGTAGCATATATGTGTGGATTAAAATTCCAAATGGAAACGTGTTTTCCAAGATGGAAAAATTGAGACATATATATTTACCTGAATATCCGAGTGCAAGAGAGAAAAGCCGGTTATTTGCTACTGAGGCAATGAATTTGCACACGGTAGTCAATATTTGTATTCATGTATCATCTGATCTAGATGATTTTGTTAAACTAACCAATCTTAGAAAATTGGGAGTTATCATATTTGACAGAGGGGAAAAAAAGGAGAAAGGGACAAACATCATATTTGAGCATCTCCAGTCTCTATCGGTATACTTTGCTTCCGAGGGTGTTGTATCACAGAACATCATATTACGCTGTCCTAATATATACAAGTTGCGACTACGCGGAGAAATCAAACAGTCACCAGAAGACCTCTTGTACCTTAAGAACCTCACCAAGCTTACACTTAGTAGATTTTGGAATCTCAAGGACGACCACATAAAAGTATTAGAGAAGCTTCCAAGATTGAGAACACTTTTTGCTAGTTACGGGAATTTTCCAGCACATCTTGTTTGCTCAGAGGGAGGCTTTCCATTTCTCGAATTTCTTTCTCTTGGTTGGTTGTGGATGTTAAAAGAATGGAGGGTGGAGAAAGGAGCCATGCCTCGTCTTTGCAGATTGCAAATTGAGGAGTGCTATCATTTGGAGGCAGTTCCTGATGGGCTCCAATATATTACTACCCTCAAGGAACTAACCATCAAAAGGATGCTTCTTGAATTCTGTAGCCGGCTTGGGGAAGGAGGAGAGGATTTTTACAAAATCCAACATGTGCAGTCTGTTATTATAACAAATATTCGGGCATAAGAAGATTGGGAATAATGTGGTATGCTAAATTTTGTTTTTCTTTCTGTTTCTCTCTTTTCTTATTTATTAATTTAAGGGAAAAAATGTAATTGTTTGTCTCCTCTTTTCAGTTGAAGGAAAAACTTGAAGGGAAAAAGAGTTGGGGGCGGAGCAACAGCAAAAAGAGTTGGGTGAAAAGTCTATTTCTTTTTAATGAGTAGTAGGTGAAAAGTGTGTTTCATTAAAGTAGTAGTATTTCTATTTTATTTTAGTATATGGTCTGTGATGATTGCCTGCACTTGTTCACCTCTATCTCAAATCTTTCTCAAAATAAAAGTTAAATAAAATCCTTCCATCTTTTAACAAGAAAATGAAAACTGAAAATAAAGAAACAAAAGTATCACCACTTGAGCCCAATGTGAACACAATTTTTTTTTTTTTTTTTTTTTTTTTTTTTTTTTTTTGTGGTTAGCCAAGGGTGTCCACCGCCGACAGTAGTGACTAATCCCTTTCGCTGCGGGAGCTCTCCCAAAGGAGGTAAACAGCTGGCCACGAAATGTGCTCCATTCCCATGGGCGGGGATAAACACAAGGTATCTTAAACAAGGGCAAAGAACATAATAAAGAAGTGAAAGCAGTCTTTCCCGTGCCAGAAAAAAATTAAGACGATCAAATTTTCCTTTGGTTAAAGGTCATCATTGGAAATGGTACTTTATTTGAATTCGGTAGTTTCTGATTTTTCTTCGGTTGGTGCATATGAATATTTGACAATTGGATTTTATTTTTAAAATTAATCCAAAGACTGGGAGCTGTGGTTTGGGGCCTAACCGGATAACCGGTTGGTAATGTTATATGGCAAAAGGATTGTCAAATGTGGTAGAGTTCCACTTCTTTCATTTTTAAGAGGGATTTTTGTAGAAATGTCACCTGAATTTTTATCTTAGTTTCAATTTGTCATCTTAATTTTTCAAAATCCATAATTTGTCATTTGACTTTAATACCATCCAATTTTCCATCCATTTTTAAAGGTATTTTAGTCTTCCCATTTTTAAGAGTATTTTAAAAATAGAAAAATCATTATAAAAATAGGCTTAATTGTAACAATGATCCTTGTGTTTTAACATATTGGTTAATTTAAATAATGTGTTTTCAATTTGGCTAAAAAGAAGGAAAATCTTAACTGCAGCAAAATCCCTACTTAGCTCTTTATTTTGGAGAACAAACTTTTGGCTCACTACATCTAGCAAGGAGGAGAGAGAAAGTGAGCCACGCCAAACTAGAAGTTGTGCAAGAGAGAGAGAGAGAGAGAGAGAGAGATTTGAGAGTTTGGTGGGGTTGGTTTTCTACTTTTCCTTTTAAAATATTTGATTTGCAAGAGAGAGGGGGAAAGAGAAAGAGATAAAAATATATATTTGAGATTAGCCAAAATAAAGAACATTTCTAAAGCAAAAGTCTCATGTCAAGCCTATATGATCTATGTATAATATCAGTGTATCAACCTCAATATCAGCTGGTATACCTTCCATCAGCTGTCGTATGCCCTTCATCAACTGCCAGAAACTTCATCTTCTTTAACATCTTCTCCAGCATTATTTTACTACCTGCAACACATATTCCACTTCAAGAAAAGCACTTCCAATACAGCAAAAATCAAGCAACATCATTCTCATACCTGTTATACACCAAAGCCTGCAAGGAGTCATTGAAGAAGACCAGACTATTCCCTAAGAATAAGAATTCTTTTGCGGTATTTTGGGGCCTAGTTCTTGAATCCAGGTGAGGGGGCAACATCACTCTCTCTTTATACGGGCCCAAGTCCACCTAGAGCTGCTGGAACAAAATGACGCTCACATAAATGGCGACTTCACTAGGGACTAGGCTATTATTTCTTGAAAAATTACAAGCTTTAAAATTAGTATTCATGCAACTGTACTACAACGAAATTTAAAGATAAGAGCATTCTCTTCCATTTTGCTTTGTTCATTTTTCCTTAAAATATATATATATATATATAAAGATTTCTAATATTTTCTCTTGTACCGTAGATATGCCTCCTCAAATCCACCATTTATGCCATTGCCGAAGAGACGCCAATACCAACCCCAAATCTAAATAACTTGGGGGCTTTTGCCAAGCAAATTTTTAAATTATAAAATATATATAAAAAAAATATAAAAAAGAAGAAGCAAAAGGCCAACATATGATAAAGAGGACTGAAACTTCTTTTTAAATTTTCTTCCTGAGATTTTCAAGGAGTGGAATAAGCCAAAATATGCCATAAGTATCTTGAAGCGCAAAAGAAAAGCTGTAAAAGACCTCTCTATTAAAGGTTCCTTCGCCATCGTCTTCGTGCTAAGTTCTTTGCCCTCTACAACCCAATCCATCCCTACCAAGTCTAGCATGTTAAGAACTAGCATGTTAACTGCAGCCTCGTTAAAACCTTTCCAGAGAAACAAAATCCCGGGGAAGGAAAGAGTACCACCCATGCTATTGACTTCTTAGCCATAAGAAAATTCTGCAGAAAGATCTTCACAGTAGGAACGTTCATCGGTTGCCAAGCCCATGAATGTTCCATAGGAGAATTATTAGGGAAATCTTGGAGACCCCTCGAGGCTGGTCTCTTCCGGCTTGTCAACAAAATCCTCGATACAAAAACTATGCTTACCAGAATAATCCATGCCACTAACAATCAGATGCCAACACTAGTTTTCGCACGCTTTTGATTCCCGCTTGGTGCTGCATACTTTTTATCCCTTTGAGCAGAAGAGGCGGTGGCCATCTCCATAGCCTTAAGATGGAGACCCCTCACCAGCGACTGGCTTTGGTTTACTTTCTTTTTTATATTTGTCTATAATATTTATTTTTAATAATTTATTGACGGAATTGCCCATCCACAATTAATGGAGTTCAATTCTTTTTACATAAATTGAGAATTGTTCTTGAATTGCTTCAAATTGAAACCACATGGATAAAATTGACCAAATTGAAACGACAAGGACCAAAGTGGTAAAAATGGCAAACTATAAGGACCAAAAGTGACTTTTTGCCTTTAAAAAAAACAGACGTTAATTTTGTGGACGATGTTGTAATTCTACATAATCTTTTAACAAGGTGGACACAAACGTTAGTTCATCCAATGCATTTAATAAGGGTAAATTTGGGAAACAAAAGATACATTGTCTAATGTATTAAGAACATTGTTTTAAGTGTAGAGATAGTGAAACATGTCATGAGGAGAATGAAGAAAGTCCAAAAGAGAATATTAGAGATAAGGTTGCTAAAATTCCCTTATTTTCGGTAAATATCAAAAGGTGTCTTCACACCCAAAGGGTGGGATTAATTCCCGTTCAAGTTTCGGCTTGCCCCTGGGCACAAAGTGCTTCCAACAGGTTTCGAACCCCTACTATTGAAGCACTAGGTAACTCGCCAGCTAGAGGTGGCAGTTTGCCAACCACCTTTAGTTAATAATAATAGGACAACTCTATTTCACATAGCAACTTTTTTAAAAAAAAATAAGAAAAATGGAAATTACAAACAGAATGTAACACCTCGACTCGAATTAAATTCCCTACTTAAATTATTTAATTTAATTAAATATGAAATTACGAATTTACCCTTAGGGTAGGGGTATTTTGGTCACTTTTTAATCCAGAAATATTTTGGGGCAGTGACTGGTATTTTTAGGTAGATTGTACTGAGGTGAGTTCGTAGACACGTAGTGAGCTTGAATTGAAGTTGTAACGAAGAAGTTACGATCAAAAGAAACTTAGTGGCACGATTGTAAATATTTCAAAATGAGTTGGATAAAAATCTAAATTTCTCTCTCTCTCTCTCTCTCTCTCTCTCTCTCTCTCTCTCTCTCTCTCTCTCTCTCTCTCTCTCTCTCTCTCTCTCTCTCTCTCATGCGATTTCCCCTCCCAGTCCAACACAGCAGCGGCGGTTTTTTCCACTGCCACCGCTTCCTCCGACCACCATTCGAGGTGGCGCTTTTTCCCGAATTTTCAAACCACTCGTTCTCTCTCATTTCTCCACCAAATTTGACGTGTAAGGTGTGGATTTCCACCAATTTTTCATGATCTGGCTGATGGTTGGGTATAATTTCATTAATTTTGAGCGTTGATAGTTTGATTCTCGAATTGAAATTCGGCCGGTTTTGGAATTACGATTCCTGCCACTTCCGATCATTTTTTGGGGTATGTCCAAGAACAAAAGTGACTCCAAATTGGGTTTTACCTTTAGGGTAGGAGCCTTGAGCCCAAATTTTGAGATTTCCGGCGAAGCGTTATCGCTTTGGACACCCACGTGTTGCTGACGCGTGTGGTGGCGCGTGGGCATTGTAGAAAAGGGGCATTGTGTCCCGATGTGATCTCGTGGTTCTCACGAGCGCGTAGATACTTTCGGATTCCAATTTGGTTAACGTTTGAACCCCGAACGGATTTCGCTTATTGTGCATTATCCAGGTTTGATAGGTTTGAACCGTTGGATCATCTCGAATTTGATATATGTTAATCTAGGCATTCCTAGGATCGTGTAGGAATTCGCAGATCGTGAATCGGAGCCTCGGATGTTCCGATTCAATAACTTAAAATTTGTGTTTTACAATAACCGTCCGATCGTGCGATCGCGAGAGATCCGACCGTCTGATCCATACCAAACTTGTAGGACTTGTAGGATGTGTATTCTAAACCTTGAACTACCCATAGGAACTTTCGGATAGTAAAACGGAGGTCGTGGGTCCCACAGGTCCGATTGACTAAGTTTGGGTAGTATGACCCTTGGGTTGACCGTGAGTCTTCCGAGGTAGTTTTACCCTTCGAGGAGTACGAGAATGACCTTATTAACGAGTCTCGACTGTTATTTGAGTTATGTTGACTATGTTTGGATTTTGAGATTTGTTTTATATTATTGTATGAAAATCTCGTATTATTACTTGGATAATTGAAGTGATGGAATGGTTGAGTATGAGATATTGGACTGATGGGTTATGAAAGTGAGCCTTGGGCTTGGTTATGATTATTAGGAAGTGAGTGGACTTTATTTTCAAGGATAGAAAATTATGCATATTGAGTCCTTTGATTTTGAGTTAGTATACGTCTTGAAGTGGAAATATTAAATGATTATCAGAGTATTGGAATTATTTTCGTATGTTCGCGGGATGTGATTATTTAGAATGAATTTGTGCTATTTTTGAGTATAGTTATTTATACTTGGATATGTGTTGATGTACATGGGGTTGTTGGAAAGGGTTTATGAAATGTGGATTGGGTTGTGGTTTATGTTAGTTTGAGTGCTATTAGCACTACCTTATGTACCTCCCCAGATGTGGAATTTATGTTTTTGAGACTTTGAGATCGGTACATATAAACATTTGGGTTAGTGAGGTTATGAAAGTTGTTAACGGATTGGTCTCAGTTTACAAAGGGAATTGTTCTTATGCTGATAAGCGGATCTTTGGGAAGTCGAGAAAGGATTGGGAACATAGTGTTGGGGAAATGGATTTTTGAAAATGGTGAAATTTTTATGATAGTTTTGACAAAGGATTTGGGAACTGGGTCGATTGCCTTTGGCAGAGTGGGTGCACATGATTTGAATTGCCTGTACCTACATAGAGATTACTCTGTAGGTGTCCAGCCAGTGGATATTGCCTGTACCCAGGCCAATGGATATTGCATGTACCCAGGCCAGTGGATATTGCCTATACCTACATGGAGATTACCCTGTAGGTGTCCGGCCAGTGTATTGCCTGTGCCTACATAGAGATTACTCTGTAGGTGTCTGGCTAGTGATTTGCCTGTACCTGCATTGAGATCACTTTGCAGGTGTCCGGCCAGGATTTTCCCCAGCCACCTTCCCGAGTTGTCTACACAGGCGGTTGGCTAGTTTCCCCCATTCCCCGGTTTCCTTCGGAAAAGATTATATTGTTGCCTTCGGAAAATATACCGGTTGCCTTCAGAAAAGACTATATTGTTGCCTTCGGAAAATATAAAGGTTGCCTTCGGATGAAACTACATGTTCCATATACCCTTGGTGGGTGATAGCAGGATCTGCACTATACGGGTGGTTACAGGTATGGTTTTATGTAGAAGGTTTGATTCGAGAGTTATGAATTTTAGATGTGGTTTGTGTTGTAATATTAAATTAAAAAATTTAAGAGTTGGGTTACAAACGTAAGATTGTTTCAACATTTTATTATATTTAAGGAATTGGTGATTTTTGTTGTTGTTAGAATTACGTGTGGCTTGATCACTCAAGGGTATGTAGGTAGCCTGGGGTCTCACCTAGGTGCAGCCGCGAAATAAACTATATTTAAAAGGTTTGACCGATTCTGAGTATGTGAATGGATTTTGATGTGGTTGTTGGATTTGAATACTAAATATTACTATTGTCGGGTTCGGTTTTAATTATGTTGGTACGCCTGAAGCTCGATTTAAACTTGAGCGAGATTAGATGCTTACTTATTTCTCAGTTATCACTTGAATGTATTCTATTAAATAGTGTTTGTGGTTTTGACATATCTGAGATACATTTTGGAATAAATGTTTCATTTTAGGTTTGATTATATTGTATAATGGGCCGAGGCTCCTAGGACTGTTGGTGATAATTCATAGATGGTAGTTGTTGCATGCTGAAAATTTTGGGAAGTTATTTTATGTTGACTGCAGTGGTATTCGTAAAATTATTTGAGTTCCTTAATTGCATCGTTAGTTGTTTTGCCTTTATTCATTTGAAGGCTGGAAGCCTTGTCTGTAAACTGTGTGTGTGCTGGCAGTTGGCTTCTTAAATTGTGATTTTTAACAGGTTGATAATTTGGGAAATGCTCAATTTACAAGGGAGACTCTGCCGAAACTTCGGCAGAAAGTCTCGTACCCTTCTTCCTTAATTTTTGGAAAAAAGGTAATAGTTTCAGAAGTGGGCTTGGCATCAGTGTGATGTCGGGGATTTCACAGGATTCGTCCCGGGTTCCGAGGAATTCAGGGAGGTCCTGTCACAGAAACCACGAGAGCACGCAGGCCCAAAAAGATTGAAAAAGAAAGGAACTAAACAATTCAAAGGTAGGCCCATCTCCCACAGCTTGGAAGGGTTAAGCCCATGGCCCACGTTAGCAACGGCATTCGCCATGAAGTTCGCCTCACAATAGATATGATTGAAAGATAGAGCTACACAAAAGGAACTGAGAAGCTTTATATCTTGAATTAAGGTGCAAATACTCCACGGCGGATCCGCTTCCTGATTAACACAATTAATGATAAGCTTTAAATCCCCTTCCACAAGGATATTGCGCCAGCCTCTATGGATCGCAAAAGCAAGGCCATCACGGAGAGCCATGCATTCAGCCACAGAGATAGTGTTGTCACCAATGTTCTTAGCTCCAGCTAATAAGACATGGCCGTCAGAGTCACGAATAACAAAACCAGAGGCCACTACTACAAAAATTGACATAGACGACGAGAAAACACCATCGTCTTTTTCTTTTTCAAACCGTCGTTAAATCGACCGCCATCTTTTTGAATGTCAAACTACGACGGGAAAACACCGTCGTCTATTACATGTAAAAACGACGGTTTTTTAAAGAACCGTCGTCTATTGACTGTAAAGACAACGGTTTTTCTAAAATAACTGTCGTCTATTAGCTGTAAAGACAACAGTTTTTTCTGAAAAACCGTCTTCTATTAACTCTAAAAACGACAGTTTGTTAAAAAATCGTCTTCTATTAATTCTAAAGACGACCGTGTTGTTTAAAAAACCGTCGTTTATCAATTGTAAAACTGGACGTAGATTTGACATTTGAGCTTAAGCTTTTTTTTTTTTTTTTTTTTTTTTTTTTTTTTTTTTTTTTTTCTCAACAAATTCAATAAACTTTTTTTATTTAAAAACAAACCAAAATGCTTTGTGAATAATAAATTCGGATCCAAATTTGCTATTACCCACACCATACATGTATATATACTCAAAAATTGTTTATTTCATAAAAGTTGAAGATTTAATAGTAATTACATAGTTTGCCAATCTTGATTCCTACTATATCCATACAAAATACCATATCCATAGCATTAAACTATAATTAGAAATAGATGAGCTACATATGATTGGTCGTAAACGCTGCCCATTCGATCCGAATTTCATCAATTTGTTCGTGTATGAGTTACTCTGCCTTCTTGTACTGCAAAACCAAGATTTAAAAAAATAAGTTTTAGTAAGAGATTATAGAACAGTAGACCAAGTTAAGAACCTGAGTTTCCATGTTGCTAGCACAAAACTTGCTTCAGAATTGATACCCTTTTTAATCTTCTCCTTCATTTTAATCTCCTCTTCACGTCCTAAGAGTAAAAGGAGAAACTAATCAATAAGCAACATTTTTGTTAATTATATTTGATTGATATAGACAGGAAAGACAACCTGGACAAGAATGAAGTAACTGTGGGATATATAGTCATCTGACTATAAAATGCAGGTTACATGTTGTCAATTTTAAGATGAAACTAACTCAAAACCAGCATATTAGTAGTATGCTTATAATAGGATTGTAATTGAAAGATATAGGGAGGAAATATTATAGCTTGCAACCAAAGCAAGCATATATCTCCTTTGATATAATAGGTTAGTTGAAATTGGGAAGTACTAGTGGATCACTCAAGTGTCTATTCAATGATCACTTCTAACAAGATAAACTGATCAAAACCCTGAATTCATTGACTGGAATACACTTAGGGAGTTAAACAGATATATGCTTACATACATACATAGTATATGGTTGAGAAGTGACCCTAACCCTTTTTTCAGACAATTATAGCTGATGCAGTCCAAAAAGGATGAGAAATAAGTCAGGATTTGTGGCAAATTTAGAAACACAAATCTTCATGCTAAATTTTAATCAAAAAAATCTAACCAAAGCTCTAATAAATAACTGTAATTATAAGGAAATTAGAAATTATATACTCACCAAAGGAGGAAGGAAAAACAATGGGCCAGCATTTTCAGCAAGCCAATGGCCATCACTTGCCTGCAAGGCTGAAAAGAAATGAACATATCTTCTCAGTGAGGCTGTGGCCTTTTCACATGTGATTTCCTCGCCATCGTCAACCTTTACTGGGGGAATTGTCTGCTTGAAGTTCTCTTTTAGGAACCGCAGTTTAGTGAATAAAGGATTATGATTGGTTTTAGAGAAAAAGTAAGTTAATTCCTGATGCTGATTATAGAACAAACTTATGAGTGCTAAAAACAAGAAAAGGAATTCAAAAGTTGACATGTTCAAAGCTAACTATTTGTCTAGTTGTATTTTCTTTATTTCTTTATTTATTTGACATATATAAGTGCATATTCAAGAAAATCTTATATAGTGCAGATTAATCATAGGATCCCCTAGCTTAACATATTTTGTAAATGTCTCAATTGTTGTATACGGATATTTGTGTGTGTGTGTGTGTGTGAGAGAGAGAGAGAGAGAGAGAGAGAGAGAGAAATCCCATACGTGCAGTTTGCAATTTGCAAAGAAGAAGCTGCAGAAACCTTATTGTAGAGCTTGGTTATATAGCTAAGAATGAAAGAGAGGTGGGGGCCAGCTAGCTAGCTTATATGTGTGTGTGTGTGTGTGTGTGTGTGTGTGTGGTGTGTGTGTGTGTGGTGTGTGTGTGTGTGTGTGTGTGTGTGTGTTTGTATGTATATGTATGGTTAATAATACACACAGAGAGAGAGAGAGAGAGAGAGAGAGAGAACCTGCAAGTGCAGTTTGCAAAGAAGATTGTACAGAATTTGCAAATGAAACCTCACCTTGCAAGTAAAAAAGGCATAGAAGGGCAGACCTCAACCAATAGCCAAACAACAAACATCTCTTGAAGGGATTAACATAAATGTTCAAGCCCAAACACAAACACAAAGAAATTAGAAGACCAAAATTCATGAAACCTAAACAACTGCTTGTTGGAATATTGATTTAAACTAAGCACTCAAATGAACAAGCACAAAATAAATATTGAAGGGAAACTTAGAAACAAAAAACAGAGGAGGGAGAGGTAGTTCTCGGCTACTCATCCTCCTCAAATCTCTCTTTTATTCTATTCTCCTGTTTCCTCCTCTCTCTTACATTACATTTCTAGGAGGTAGCTCGCGAGTTAACATAAACATGCATTCAAATTTGAGTAAATTCACAATATAATAGCCAAATCAAACAAAAACACTACAGCCACAGTCAGATTCAGTGAAAATAATAATAATAAAGCTCAAGACAACAAAACACGAAGATGTACACTGAAATCCACACCTGCAAAACAAAATAAAAATAAAAATCCACATAATAATCGAACGCATTGATACAAATAAAAGGGCTGAGAAAGCTAAACCAGTAAAACATAACCCTAGAAACAGATTCTTGCCCAAATAAACCCTAGAAAAGAGGAAGATGATGAAATTTGTGCTTTGTTTTGGGAATCAAAGAAAATGAGAGAAAGAGAGGGGTACGGTGAGGAGGCTAACCTTGAAGATGTTGACCTCCTATGGCGGCGAGCTCGGTGACGACGACAGCTAAAGGCCTAAAGTGGCAGCAAACTTTAAATCGCAAACGGTGACCCCTCCTATGGCGACGAGCTTGGGGACGACGACAGCGAACAGTTACAGATTTATTTAAGAGACTGAGAAGATGCGATGCAAGGGGAAGATTTGAGGGAGATTCAGAGAGTTGATGAAGGTTTCAAAAGGAGGGAGACAGACAAGCCGTGTGGAAATCTGAAATTTTTAGGTCCAGGGCGAATAAACTTAAGTGTCCTTTTTGTTTAGCGTGTTTTCAAAAGACGACGTTCGTTAATTGAGAATGTCGTATTTTTAAAATCAACTTGCTTTTAGTGGTGTATTAGATCATATACCACGACGGTTTTGTAAAAACGTCATCTTTTAAAATACAACGATGATTTTAAGGTGCACCGTCGTCTATTTTATGTCGTGGTTTAAGGATATTGTAGTAGTGGGCAGCCGAGTTATTACGGACAGAGCCATCAAAGTTTAACTTGACCCAGCCCCATGGAGGAGGCTTCCATTTGATGTGAAGTGGGGCTGAAGGACCCTTCACGTGCTTGAAATTTTCTGCCAGTACTCCATATCAACCTGCCCAGCCACATTGAGAACACGAACATGATGGGGAATAACATCTTTGAAAATAAGGTTATTTCTAGCTTCCCAGACTTGCCAACATAATAGAAGAGCTTTGGAGAGAACATTGGGCCCCTCTGGACTTGAACTAGCTGGGAGAGTGCCCAGCCAAGTGAGAAAGTCAAAATTTGAAGAGGTAGTCACGGGAGCCATGTTGGTGCAGCTCCAAATACTTTGAGTGAAGGAACAAGTAGAGAACAGATGATTAATGGTTTTGCATATTGGGTGTTCCAGAGGGGGTGTTCCAGATTGATATGGGGGAGAAATCTATGCAAATGACTCCGCACTTGAAGCCTTTTCCTGATAAGAAGCCACCAAAAAATCTTGACTTGATGGGGGATAGTGAGACCCCACATTTTCTTCAGAAGAGTTGCTTGTGGATGAGAAGTTGCAGCCTGCACCTGCACATTATAAGCACTTTTAATAGTAAAAATTCCTTTAGGGTTAGGGCCCCAAAATAATTGATCTTCCACGGGGGCTAGAGGAAGGGGGATAGAAATAATATTGTCCAAAATATTTTCATCAACTACGTCTTTAAGTTTACCTATATTCCAACGTTGATCAATTAAAAAAAATCAGCAACAACTAGCTGGAGGTTAAGAGAGCTTCTTTGGGTAATAGGGATCAGGTCAAGAAGGAGGAAAGGAAAAACCCAGTGGGCAGTCCAAAAAGGAATGGACTTACCATTTCCCACAATCCACCTGATACCAAAATTAAGAATAGATCTTGCATCTAACATTGCTTGCCAAGCTGAGGAATGAGAAGACTTCTTCTTGAGGGCTAAGAAATTTTCTTTTTGAAGGTATTTTAATCTTACTACTTGAGCCCACCAGTTACAAACATTGGTAAGGCATATCCAACCGAGCGTGGCTAAAGCAGCCTTGTTAAATTGGGAGGCCAACCTCACCCCAAGCCCTCCCATTTCTTTAGGAACACAAATATCTTTCCAAGTAACAGGAAGGATTTTTGTTCGCTTGCCCTAGAAAATTTCCTACAGGTAGAGTTCATTTCTTTATTGACTACAGGAGGGCATTTTAAAGCAAGATAAGGTATGGTTAGGAATGCCAGAAACACTTGCCTTAATCAAGGTGAGCCTACCCGCATGAGACAAGGTTTGAGCCTTCCAACCAGCAAACTTACCCTTACTTCTTTCAATCATGGTTTTGGCATTGAGAGGATCTTTCCAGAAGACAATGTTACTGATCCCAAGGTAATGACCAATGGTGGCTTTCTGTTGAATTTGCAAGATGTTGCTGAGGTTAGATCTTGAGCTAGCTGTAACATTGTTAGAGAAATACACATTAGATTTATGGAGATTTACTTTCTAACCAGACACTTCAGAGAAAGAGAATAACAGCTTATTAATGTTTCTAGCTGCCACAAGAGTACCTTTGGCAAAGATCAAACAATTATCTATAAATAAAAAATAAAAAATTAGAGATACGAAAACCTCTCGGTGAGGAAAAAATACCCACATTTATTTTGGAGGCAATAGCAAGGGAGTTACAATGCCTAATAAAAGGCTCCATGCATAAGATGAAAATGTAGGGGGACAGAGGGTCCCCTTGTCTAATGCCCCTAGAAGGGAGGCTAGCTTATCGTCTTGTTGTTGAACCGCATGTTGTTGAGTTAGGCCGAGGCACAAAGATATTGGCTATGCATTTGATTAAAGAAAAACGTCACCGAGTTGCTTCTATTTGGGTGATGGGCGGCTTGGGTAAGACCACTCTTACAAAACAAGTTTATAATCATAATGAAGTGAAGCGTCATTTTGACTGTTTTGCTTGGGTGTGTATCTCTCAACAATGCCAAAGACGAGAAGTTTTGGAAGAAATTCTAACTAAACTTATTTTTCCCACCAATGAGGAAAGACAAGAAATTGCAAAACTCAAGAAGGGTGAAATAGCAGAGAGGCTTTGTATAACGCAATGAGAAAGGAAATGTTTGGTGGTTTTTGATGACATTTGGACCCATGGTGCATAGAACTCTTTGCGAGCTGGATTTCCAATGAATGAGGCAACTGAGAGCCGAATATTACTTACCACTCGCAACAAAGAGGTTGCTTCGTATGCGGACAAAAATGGATTTTGCTACCAACCATTGTTATTAATAGTTTTCGAAAGTAGTTTTCCGAGGTAGGTTCTATTTTAACCTAAAGCGATTTGCCTGCTTCTTTCTAAGCTATAGTACCTGTATCATGCAAATGTCCAACACTTATGTGCTTTCTAAGATCATCCTATATGAAAGATGTATGACATGTTTGAATGATGACGAAAGCTGGGAATTGTTTGAGAAGATGGCAATGTTTGGAATAGAAGATACAAGTATGTTCTCGCACAAGCCTTTCATCTCTACTTTTTCTTGTTTATTACATGATTTCTGTATGTCACTTTTCTTTTTCCGAAAATTCACTCTTAAATTTATATTGTTTTGATTGAGTAAATAATTGAGGTCAGCAAGACCAAAGTAGTATTATTTTTATTTATTTTATTTTATTGATTTATCATATCCGAGAAAGGCAAAGGATAGAAAAAGGTAACATGTGTGTAAAGTTGTGAGGCAAGACAAAGAAGTCAAACAAAGTAGGGCAAATATTCAGATATGCTCATATTTTATTCTTCTCCAATATAGAGGTATTTATACAAGTACAAAGATGTGTTAATCCTAAATGAAATAGGAAATATATCTAAATTACAATAGGAAACAAATAATAATTGGTTATGGCTTAGGGCAAGATGTGTTAACCCTTAGAGCATTTCCAGCAAGGGGCCCAAGGGGAGGGCAGGAGGGGGTTTGGGGTAAAAACTCGTTTCCAACAGTGGAGGCAAGCCCGGGCACGATGGTGGGACCTAGCAAAACTGGCTGGCCCGAGCTCCAACCAGGGCTGGCCCGTGCTGACGTCGTTGTGACGCCAATGCTACAGTGTCCGCCAACAATTATGTGCCATGTGTCGTGTCCTGCGCTCTCCGATCATAATTTTTGGACCAATCCAACGACAGCCAATATTTCTGTAATAAGGAAGTAAATGTCTTTGTCCTTTTACTTTTATTTATTTTTATATTACTCCATTTACTTAAGTTTACAATGTAAATAAGGAAGTACCCCCCATTTGGATTCAAATAAAAATATTAGAAAATCAAATTCCCATCAAATCAAAATATGAAAAATCGGTTTTAGTGCAAAATACGATTTATGCTAAAAATGATGGCTCATTAAGTCAATATATACTTCATATTAAAATCTCATAAAATCAAGTTTTCTTATTTGATGTGTAAGGAATAAAAGCCGCCAAAAATTATCTTGAGAAAATGATTATTCCGAAAAACCATTTTTCATACTTAGTTAATATTGCACCTCTGCTTTTAACACTTTTAACACCAAATCCTCGTACTTTTTTTTCTTTTTTTCTATAAATACCAATCAATACAACTAATAAAATAAAATCTTGTCTGAAAATATTATCCGATAAAATAAAATCTTGCCTTTCATTTCTTAGTTTGCTTGCCTTTCATTTCATTGTATTTTTTTGTTTTGTTTTAATAATTAGTGGTCATTCATGTATTTTATTTTATTAGTTGTATTGATTTATCTGAATTTTGAATTTTGAAATTTATATGATATTTGAAACCAAAAATCTTATCCGATATGAATAGTATTGACACATAGGAACCCAAAAATCTTATCCGAAAATATTATCCAAATCAAATGTTTAAGTAAACAAAGTTGTGAAAAAAAAACAAAAAAAATGAATAGTATTTGCCATTGCAAGCCTAAAACTGCTGGAAACACACTTTGCTAGGGGGGCTAGGGCAGCCACTATTCACATGAATAGTAGCCGCCCTAGGGCTCCCCTTGCCATGGCAAGGGGCTAACTGGTGGAAGTGCTCTTAGGACATGTTTACGTATTAGTAATGGGTATGAAAGGAAAGGGAATGATTTTCATTCCTGACTTCCCCTGCGTTTACTTGCAATTAGGGATGAAAAAATAAGTGGGCCCCACTTCAAAATCTGTAATCACATTCCCTCAAAATTAGATACCAGATCAACTAGGGGGCAGTAGTCGATACGATTCTCATTCCTGTTTTCTCTTAATAACTTCCAAAAATACCCTTACCACTTTACCATAATTATAAAATTAATTTGGATTCTGATTCATGCAAATTAGTAAACAATAACAATGGGAATCAATCCCATTCCTTCGCTAATTCCATATGTTTAGTAAATAGCTTAATGAGAATGATTCTTCCCATACCGATTCAGTAGTTCCCCGATTCCTAAATTCTCTGATTCCTTACTTTCTCCATTACTGATACGTAAACATGCCCTTAGGACTAAATAATAATTGGTAAGTGACCAAAATTCTAACTAAATAAGGAACCAAAATCCTAGTTAAGTAAGGACTTGTCAACACTCCCTCTCAAGTTGGGGCAAAGATATTTCGTATGCCCAACTTGACAAGCGAGTCATAGAACACCATACTCGACACTAACCAATCGAACAACTGTAGAGAAGGCCTTGTCATAAAAAAAAAAACCTAACAAATAGGGCACATAGAAGAACAAATAAAAGTATAACACAAAAACCCTATGAGCACGGTAGTAGATAAGGCAGAACACAAAAATCCTATAAGCATGGCAGCAAATAAGGCAAAACACATAAACTCTGTGAGCACGGAAGTAAGTAAGGCAAAACATAGAAACCTTGTCAGCATCATAGTAGGTAAGGCATAACACAAAAATCTTGTGAGCACGGTAGTAGATAAGGTAGAAGCAAAGGCAAAGAGCAAGGCCGCAGCAACAACAATGACAATGACCACATCAACGGAAAGAGAAGCAAGCAAAGGCAACTTCAACGGTTGTAGCGACAACAACGGAAAGTGGAGAAAGCAAAGACAAGGGCAAAGGCAACATCAACGGCATCAACAATGGCAACGACAACATCAATGGTTACAGTAGCAGCAACGACAACAATAAATTCTTCCATATAAACTTTAGCTAGTTCACGTAGACAAGATTTCTCTTGAATCCTCCTTTCCCCCCTGAAGAGAAGGGGTCATCGGAGTCAAAAAATAAGCAACATCTTCATGGGAATACATCAAGGTAATAGGGATATGTCAATAAACATATCATTTTCACTCCAGCATAGGTCATAAGAGAACCTGGTTCTGATACCAAGTCAAACAAAGTAGGGCAAATATTCACATATGCTCATATTTTTATTCTTCTCCAATATGGAGGTATTTATACAAGTACAAAGATGTGATAACCCTAAATAAAATAGGAAATATATCTAAATTACAATAGGAAATAAATCTCTATTACAATATGACTAAATAATAATTGGTAAGTGACCAAAATTCTAACTAAATAAGGAACCAAAATCCTAACTAAGTAAGGACACGCCAACAAAAGATGCCTCCAAGCAATCTGGTTCTGCTGCTTATTGTTGTTTGTGGTTTAGAAAAGCTGATTGAGCATATGAACATTAATGATTGGACTATCTTTTTCCTGGCAATCTTGGCAAGGAGAAAAACTTTCCTGATACAGGTACGTCAGCTCAGCAAACCACATCAGTATCCCAACTTAATCAAATGCCGCCACCTGTCAAGCACTAAACTTCAATCCTCCCCCACCCCATGGTTCACCTTTCTTTTCCTTTTACCTTCAGTTCTCTCAACTTTGCAACTTCTTTAATTTTATTTTATTTTATTTTTGGCATGAACCTTCAATCCACATCGCCCTCCTCTCTCTCTCTCTCTCTCTCTCTCTCTCTCTCTCTCTCCCATTTCCTATCCTCCAAATACTCTCCCAAAAATCTTTATCTAAAATTTATGAAAATGTTAGGGAAGACAAATTTGGGTTGTAAAAACCCAAGCTTTTTGTAAGATCCCCAAAATAAAACCCGAGCTTCGAACCAAAAAAGAAAGAAAAATAAAAGCTTCTGTCAAACCCAACCTTTTTTAATTCACATAGCCCTTCCCCAAAAACCATAGTTCTCTTCCACATCTAAAGGGTTTTTTTAGGTTTTTTGTTTGTATTTGTTTTAATGGATTCAAGTTTTTGCTTGGTTTCATTTTCGTGGCTCTCCACATTCTCAATTATTTGATCCTTTGAGATTTAAAAGGAAGTATAAGAATGAAGGTTCATACCAGAAAAATAAAATGTGGATTGCAGGAGATGATTAAAGGGAGGTCAATCATGGGGATGGGGAGGATTGAAGGTTCAGACCAAACAAAAAAGGAGCATTTCAGGGGAGAGAACAAAAGGGAATAAGAGAAAAGAAGTCAAAATGCTTGACAGGTGGTAACATTTGATTGGGTTGGGATACTGATGTGGTTTGTTGAGCTGACATTGACAGGACCCGACCCCAATTCCATTTTGGAATCCGAGCTAAACCCTGTGCGTGTCCAACACCTGTCGGGTGCTGGGCACAAATGACCTAATTGCCCTTCCATTCAAAATTCAAATTCATTTTAGGTTTAACTTTTGCCGAAAATTCGGCAGAATTTCCCTTGTAAATCAATCAATTCCAAAATTTACACCTGTCAAACAAGCATTTAATTATGTACACCAACTGCCAGCATGCATATATATACATTCCAATAGTTAAATTACATCCTAGGGAAATATCATATCAACTATACAAAATAAGTTACAGGTGTAAGTTATTTATACAAGACCCTACTTTGGCAAAAGAGGTGGCGGAAGGCGGACTATGCGCGGTGGTGGCTCACTGTGCACGATTATTGCCTGGGGGCGCAAAACATTTAAAATGTGAGTAGACCGAAAACAAAGGTTTGAAAGTACATAAGAACGTACTAACCCCACTGTAAAAACAGCTATGAAAACCAAATCAATCTCTTCATTTATACCCGTACTGAAATCAATGCATTCATATATGTATCTATAAGCCAATCATACTCTTAGTCAAACATTAATTCCTTGAAAGCATTTAAATAAACTTTAATCTACCACCTAGGTGTACCGATTTTATTTCCGTCAATTCCTTATAATTCGTCAATTCCTTATACTCCATCAATTCCTCGTGTCACCATTGGTGACACACCCTCGCAGGTCTCGGTGACACAAGGTCGACCCGAGCTGCATTCCTCGCAGGATTCAGGGGACGCTTGGTCAACTTAATCTGCATCCCTCGCTCCCACAATCCTGATATCCCCAAGACTCGTGGGGCAAAAGTCAAGCATGCTAACCTAACCGAAGGCAACATATTTATCGAAGGCAACCTTAATTACTCTTGGGTACCTATGGTGGTTTCTAAGAAAACATAGAATTCTGGAAAGATTTAATGAATATACGAATTTCCTTTTAACTTAAAACTTTGCTACCAATTTATCTGACACTTCATTAGATTTTCCTTTTTCTATATCCTTTAAGGATATCCCATTCGGTAGCATTTGAATTAAGATAATAAAAAGCACTTACTAAACTATGAAAACGCTAATCTTTGAATAAAACTTATTCAAGATCAAATAATGGAATTAACTTGCATAAATCATTCATAAAACAAAAAATCCACTCACAGCTGGTCCGAGCTAGCTAGACCTCTCGAAGGTCCCTCCTGCAGGTTAGCCTGGGCTTGTGTGCCTGATTAAACCATCATGAATATTTTATTAATAAAATTGCTCGGTATAAGTATTTAATTAAAAACCCTGACCCCTGGCTCCTAGAAGTGTGTGCACCAAATTTGAAATCATTCCTATGCCCACAATAGCTTTCCTTACATTTGGAATGGTTTAGAAGTGACTTAGGACTCAAAAGGCAATAAAGTCCCAAAAAGTCAACTCGGGACCCAATGGGGTCCACGACCTCTAAATTCTATTCCGGAAGCTCCTAGAGGTTCCAATATACTTAAGACACATGTCTCGAGAGTTTGGTCTCGATCAGACGGTCGGATTGATCACGATCGCACAATCGGACGGCTTCTGTATATATAAGCAGGTGATAAATGAACAAATAATTAAATGCTCAACGTGCCAAACCTCAGTTCTCGACATACAAGTATATATATTAACATGCATAACAAGTTTTTCAAATGAAAACCTCAACAAATTTTTCCAACCCTTCTGGATACCTGTTTACTCACCCACGCCAATGAGGTAAAATAACAAAATAACTGTCCAGCAATTCTGAAAATAAGGATGCACAAGTAATGCAAAGTCTACAGGAAGTTAACCTGGCTATGATACCAATTGAAACGACCCGACCCAAATTCCACTTTGAAATCCGGGCCGAATCCTATTTAAAACTGACACATGATAACAGTGGGTCGTAAAAGACCAAAATACCCTGATAAACAATAACATAAACCCTGAGCCCCTAACTCGTAGCTGCGCTTGATAACTGTAGGCTACCTACGTACCCTTACTGAGGGATCAAGCCACACGTAGTTCTTTTTTTCTGTTCCCGGTCTGTAACTGAACTGTTTACTGTAAATCTGGTTCTAGGGTTGGCATTCCTGGAGTATCCTGCACTCCGTTTTACAATCCGTCAAATACTGTACGATCCTGGGAACGTTTAGATTAACCTATCTGAAAATGGTTACAATCCGACGGTGCAAAACTATTGAACCCGGAAATCACACAAGATAAGAGATCCGTTAGGGGTTCAAACGTTAACCAAATTGAGATCCGCGAAATCCTACGCACTCGTGACGACACAAGGATCATTCTAGAACTGAATGTGATCTCCACCAATCTGCCCACGCGCCGCCACACGCGTGGGTGGCTTGATCAATTTCCGGCGACCAGAAAAACTCTGAACCGCCAATCCAAACTTCCAACTTAGGTAAAACACCCCATTTGGAACAACTTTTGTTCTTGGACATACCCCAAAAAGTAGCCGGAACTGGCTGAAACTGTGCTCTCAAAACTGGCTGAAACCTAACTCGTAAATCGAGCTATCTACGCTTGAAATTTCTGAAATCCTACCCAATCAGCAGCTAGATCATGAAAAATAGCTAGAACACCATACCTCACTCGTCCGATTTGGTGGCCGGACGACAGAGAACAAAAGGTTGGAAGTTCTGTCAAAAACTGTCCAGCGCCACCTGTTTCGTGGCTGTTTCCGGTGACTATGGCAGCGGATCGAGGCGGTGAAGGGCTGGGACTGAAAGAGGGAAGTGTTTTGGTTCATTTGGAGCTGGTCTTGCCTGAATCGGAGGTCGGAGCTGAGAGAAAAAAGCTCCCACAGTCGGCTGGTCGTGCCCCCGAATCCAGAAATTTCTGGGTTTATATAAACTGAAGTTCGAAATATTTACGGTTATGCCACTGAACTTCTTTTAATCGTAACTCCTTCGTTACAACTCCGATTTGAGTCCACTACGTGTCTACAGACTCGTTTTATCGCGCTCTACGCAACGGTATAACTGAAATCCCCAAATTCATTCCCTATCAAAAAGTAAACTTTTAAATCATTAAAATATTCTACGAGTATAGTGGTCTTTTATTGGAATAAATTAATAATTAAATATTAATTAAGGACCGGGTTGTTACAATACCCTTCTCCTTTGTGTACAATCAATGTAGAATTTTATTTTATTTTTAATAAATCTTGTAGAGCTTTGATTTGTCTAGCTTTGCTTCCCAAAAGTCTTACAATTGTAGTACTGTAAAGGATTCGTTGCAAATATGCAAAGAAAAAATTATAGTTAAATACATGCAATAAAAAATACATATCTTTGATCACACGTAGCTCTAATTAAATTTATATTAGAATATTAGAGAAAGACTACTTGGGAAGGCCAAAAACTCACCTAAATAGACTTAAATGCCCTCAAAACTAAGGGAGTGGAGCCAAATTTAAGTGTTTCATCTTTGTATGGTAAATTAACTGCATTGGCACTATTTATAATTTATTTATTTGAGCAATTATTCTCTTACAGAAATTGGAGCAGATAAGTTATGTTGATTCGTAATGTGTTTTGAGAGATGAAATAAAGAGATGAAATAAAAATTCATACATATACAACAGAAACATCTCCAGCAATCCAAGAAAACATGATTTCATTTCTAAGCAATTCAACTATGCCAAAGAGCCATCTTCTCCACCTGTGCTTTAAAGCGTTAACTGAAGAAGATAGTACCCAACAATCATAGCAAATCAGAAGTAGACAACTTTTGTTTTTTCTTTAATAACTTATTTGTCCACGTTCTAAAACAATTTGCATTAGATGACAATAGAAAGAACCTAGGATCCTACATAATCGATTAAGAAAAACTAATCCAAATATGATACTTAATAAGAAAAACGTAGCAAATAATATATGCAATTTCCTGAATTAATGTTTGATCAATCAGGCATCAACAGCATCGCTTCCACCAATCTGAGCTTCCAGATTTATCATGACCAAGAATATGGAATCTCTCTAGGATAAATTTCCGTTCCTTGTATTCTGGCATTTCTCCTGTGCAGCCTCATATTTCCACCCCACCATTGAGCCACATGAAACACAAGATATGTCAGCAACAATATGTAATCCTGTTATCATTCTCTCCAAGTGTGACATTTACAACTTTATCAAAAGGATAAGCCTTTGCCTTTCCATGTCTGCATTGAAACGACTTAGAAAGTATGTCATCAACAAGAGCAAGATGGGGTTTTGCATTGCTTGCAAGAATATATGTTTCCCTCAAGACTGATCGCAAACATCCTTCACATGCCATCACTCTACACCTCTAATTTATTAATTTCACATATCGCAAGCTTTCTTAATTTCTTTTCCGGCAGTTACAGAGGGAGGAGAATAGCAAGAAAACCTTTCGATTCATACTGTTAACACTATTTTCTTCATTTTTTTTCTTTGTCTGATTGACTTTCTTTTATTTATTTATGTGAGTTTTTGTTTTGAGGGTATTTGAGTCTATTTAAGTGAGTTTTTGGATTTTTTAAAAGTTTTAAATTAAAAAAAACTGACATTTATGAAAGTGACGGGTAAGCAACGGAGCAGTTAGTGCGACTGCCCTGGGCCCATTATTTAAGGGGGGCCAAATTTTTTTTATTTTTTATAGTAAGTATTATATTATATTATTATAACTATTAACTGATTTAATATTTTGAAAAAAAAAGACCAACGATCTGGTCTGTTCCACTTCTCAAGAAGAAGAATGCTTTTGTGTGCATGTTCCTATTCCACTCCTCCAAGTCGCTTTTACTTCTTCTTCATCATCTTTTTTCTTCTTTCTCTTCTTCTACAGAGTTTTGAATCCTTATCTATGCTGGTCCTTGTGATTTGTGAATCCAAAATCCTAAGCCTCCATCTAAGTTGGTCCTTGTGAATCCTCTTCTTTAGTTACAGGTTAAAATTATTTCTGTTGGTAGATTGGGGAGATTCCAAAATCCAAAGTGTGGGCTTTTATTCAATGCAAAATTGGTCCTTGTAGAAATCAATTGAAGGTAATTTTTTATGATTTAATATCAATTGAAAAGGGAAATATGATTTTTTTAATTTTTTTTTGTTTGTTTGTAGATTTGTGAACTCATGCAATTACACATTCTCTTTGCGGGAATTCTTTTAAACTCTAATTGATTGCAAATTTGGAAATATTAAGTTTGTTTCCATGGAGGGGGATTTCTCAAATTCCAGGTTATGTTGTTCTTTGTTTATTCTTTGAAGTATTAAAATTGGGGCCTAATTTTACCATTAAGTTTATATATATATATATATATATATATATATATATATACAGTCCCCTTCTATTGAGGGATCCCTCAAATAATTTTATTTGAGGGACGCCCTTTAGGGTACCATACAATTTTTTTTTCCAATGATCCAAACCATATATTTTTTAGGTCTTCATTTATAGATCATCCTTACAAAAAATTAGACAAATCGGAAATCGTTTCGACATCCAATTGTGTCTTACAAAATCAATGAACACGGTGCTTCAAGAAAGTACTAAAATTTTAATAACTCAATTGAGTGGTCAAATGATATCGGATTCAAGTGATTTTTTGTAGAGATGATCTTTGAATGAGTATCTACAAAATAAACGGTTTGGATTAGTGAAATACAATCCATAGTGGGGCCTACAATGGGTGTCCCTCAAATAAGCTTATTTGAGGGATCCCTCAATGTAAGCTCTATATATATATATATATATATATATATATATACACAGAGAGCTTCCATTGAGAGATTCCTCAAATAAGCTTATTTGAGGAACACCCCTTATAGAGCCCACTCCGGATTGTATTTCACTAATCCAAACCGTCTATTTTGTAGATGCACATTCAAAGATCATCTCTACAAAAAATCACTTAAATCCGATATCATTTGTCCATTCAATGAGTTATTGAAATTTTAGTACTTTCTTGAAGAACCATGTTCATTGATTTTGTATGACACAATTGGATGTCGAAACGGTTTCCGATTTGTCTAATTTTTTGTAAGAATGATCTATGAATGAAGACCTAAAAGATAGATGGTTTGGATCATTGGAAAAAAAATTATAGGGTATCCTAAAGGGTGTCCCTCAAATAAAATTATTTGAGGAATCCCTCAATAAAAGGGTATATAGAGGCCTAATTTTCACTTTTGCCCTGGGCCCTGAAAAATTCAGGACCCTCACTGTGGGTAAGTTTGGGCTATTTTGATAAAAGCTAACCATTTGTAGATAACACTTGAGCCTTTCAAGTTTGCGTTCATTCTCCCTTATTTCTTCACCTCTATCTCTCATCTTGCTCAAAATAAAATTTTAATTTAATCCTTCCATTTTTTAACAAGGAAATGAAAACTGAAAACAAAGAGACAAAAATATTACCACTTTACCCAACGTGCACACAAAAGAAACATATACAATTATGTTTCTACAACGCATAATTGAGAAATTAGAGTTTTAGGAAGCATGAAAGGGTAAGGACAGGGTTGCAATATCATGTATGGCAATTGAAAGCACAAGGTACAGAAAATATTAGGCAGTAACCATGTGGAACACATTAGGAATCTTATAGGCCAAAGAATATAATGAATAAGTGAAGCTGTCAATTTCTTTCCAGTGCCAGAAACAAATTAAGCTTATCAAATTTTCCTTTGGTTACCTACTAGCAAGGTATGGCTGGTAGCATACAACAATCTTCAATTTAGTTTCAAGAAGCATAACACACACAAGCAAACGAAATAAATTGATGCATATGGCTGATCAACACAGTGAAACACAGGTTTAATCCAAATGCTTGAATTCAAGAACTCTTTAATACGTGAAACTTCGGTATTTGGGACCTCCCGACTTGAACCCAGCTGATCTGCGCCATTTTCACTTGTAAAGTTTAATTGTATGTGGCTATTCTTTTAGAAAAAGTCACATATTTGTTCCCAAATGGGCAAATCGAAGTGATGAAACCAGTCAGTCTGTTGCAATATTAGGCATATGGGATAAATTCATTTTACTTGCAATATAGCAGTCTTTTTTTCAAAGTTTTATTGTCTGCTTTTTGTTACTTGTAGATTCATACAGATGCGTTGTCTTGTTTTTCTCTGTTTGTCACCCATAAAGCTGGGACTTCAGTTTTTCATCAATATAGTGTGTGCGCTTGTGTATGTGGAAGGTCCAGGAGGAGTACGATCCAATTGCATTCATCCGTCAATAAGTTTAGGTGTTCTTGGGTAATAAATTACTGACGTGGCATCTATAGATTGTTCAAACCAGTTACTGGTTGGTGCAGTCTATTCTTACTTTTTTTTTGGGGAAAGAAATTATACCAATAGTTTCTTCACCTCCAAGTAACCTAGTTCGGGGAAACTCCTCTTAATGAGCCATGCATATATTATAATGCTTTCCATGCATCATACAAATCAAACGTCGCACCGTGACTTATAGTTGGTTAATTCTAACAATGAGGATTAATCAGAAATAATTTGGTGGAATTAAGTAATGAATTAGTGGAATTCGCCGAAATTTTTGGAAATAACTCGGTGTTTATTCAAAGGGGCAAAACCCAATATTTATACAAGCCAATGAAACTAGATGATGAGTGGTGGTGACTCTAATTATTTTGTAATTGACCCAATAATGAAAACAGAGTTAGTTGGGAAAAAAAAACTGTTAGATTTGAGAGCGTTGATATTAGAATATTAGAGACTTGTTAAGTCTAATAACATATTTACGAAAACAAATACATATACAGAGTGGTTACGAAATATATAAATTATACAACAACTTGCGCATTCCTCTAGTTTGTATGAGGCTTCAATTCATGAATTTGGCATCTGCATCTGTTGTAAATTGTCCATCACGTTAAGTGATAATTACACCAAGCTTTCTTTTAAAATAAAGAAACCCTATCAGCAACCCTATCATTCAGGAATTGAAATCCTTGAAATCCGTAGGTGGTAAGGTTCAGAGTGCACAAACCCAGCTACAAATCATGCAAGGCTACTTGAAAGATGCAGATGCCAGCCAGGGACGCAATGAAGCAATACGCATTTGGGTGGCAAGTGTCAGAGATGCTGCTTATGATCTTGAGGATGTCATTGGAACTTATGTCTTAAAAGTGGCTTTCAAGAGGAAACCAAATGTTTTGACATGGTTTACTGGCATCTTCATAGAAGGAGTTAATCTTCATCGGATTGGCTCAGACATTGAAAAAATTACAACCGAAATTTCACAGTTGAGTTCGATTATGCCAAGTTTTAACCTACACCAAACAAGGGAGAGTGGAGGTGACACTTTTTTACAGAGGCAACAGGAACGGAGGATAGCTTATCCTCATATTGTCGAACCTCATGTGGTTGGGTTAGCCCGTGGAACAAAGATACTGGCTACACATTTGATCAAAGAAAAAGGCCCCCGAGTTGTTTCTATTTGGGGGATGGGCGGGTTGGGTAAAACCACTCTTGCAAAACAAGTTTATCATCATGGCGATGTTAAGCGTCATTTCGATTGTTTTGCCTGGGTGTGTATCTCTCAACAATGCCAAGCACGGGAAGTTTTGGAAGAAATTTTGACTAAACTCATTTCTCCTACCAATGAGCAAAGACAAGAAATTGCAAAATTGAAGATTGATCAAATAGCAGAGAGGCTTTGGAATACTCAAAGAGAAAGGAAATGTTTGGTGGTGTTTGATGACATTTGGACCAGTGGTGCGTGGAGCTCTTTGCAAGCTGGATTTCCAATGAATGAGGAAACTGAGAGTCGCATTTTACTCACTACTCGCAACAAAGAAGTCGCTTCGTGTGCGGAAAAAAATGGTTTCCTCTTCGAACCACAGTCGTTGAATGATGATGAAAGCTGGGAACTATTTGAGAAGATATCAATGTCTGGAACGGAAGATACAAGTATGTTCTCACACAAACCTTTTATCTCTACTTTTCGTGTTTATCAATTCAGCGTGTAACTTTTTCTTTGTCACTCCTAGAAAATTCTACTATAGGATATTCAAAACTTTTGCACTCTGAATTGCGATCAAAGCGCCTCTATATGCAGATAGTAGTTTTATTATCACAATATTTATATTCATAAAATATACTCAAATCAAAACCATGTACTCTAATTACTTTTCTTCAATAGAAAGAACGTGTACCTAACAACAAATCTCTCACTTAATATCCAAATAAATCAGGGCTCACATAACGGACCAACACAAATCAAAGTTGTAGCCCAAAGAAAAATCAGAAACTTATGGGATGATTTGTTTTGTATACTTTTCGTCAATTGAACAAGTATCTGATCTTAATATTGTTTCTCAGACCATAAAATTTATGAACATAAGAAAGAGTTAGGAACGGAGATGCTTCAACATTGCAAAGGTTTGCCACTAGCCATCATGGTGCTTGCAGGACTTCTAGCTAGAAAAGACACAGTTGACGAGTGGAATATGGTGCATAAGAATGTTTATGCATATATAAGGAGAGGCACAGACCTTGGGCCCGATTACAAAGGTGAAGGATATGAAAGGGTATCATGGTTATTGGAATTGAGTTATGATAACTTACCTTTTTAATTAAAACTATGTTTTCTTTACTTAGCTCATTTTCCAGAAGATTATGAAATACCAGTAAGTACATTGACTAAACTATGGATGGCAGAAGGTTTTATATCATCGGCATCAGTAGAAGTAATGGAAGATGTATCATATATGTGCTTAAGTGAGTTAGTGGGCAGGTGCATGGTTCAAGTTGGAAAACATGGTTTGAGTAAGAAGATCAAGACTTGTCATCTCCACGATCTTATGAGAGACTTATGCATGTTAAAGGCAAAAGAGGGGAACTTTGTCCATATCATCAATTATTATGTAGCTTCGAAGACCAAGGAAACTCCAAACAGTAGAGTTCGAAGACTTGCCATCTATTTGGACGAAACGGTTGAGGCATATCGTCCAGGCAGATATGAAAATTATGGACATGTTAGGTCTTTGTTGTATTTTGTCTCAACATACTGCTACGGGAACTCAAATGTATTACGGTCACTATTAAGGGACTTCACATTACGTAGAGTTTTGAAGTTTGAAAGTATGAGTGTTAGAAAGCACGAGTTACAGCATGAAATTGGGAATCTAATGCACTTAAGGTTTTTAAGTGTATGGGATAGTAATATTCATTTGGTATGTTTGCAGACTCTGGACTTACGTAGCAAGTATGGGGATATTAAAATTCCAAATCGAAATGTGTTTTCCAAGATGGAAAATTTGAGACATATATATATTTACCCTTAGGTCACAGTGCAAGAGAAAAACGTTTGTTATTTGCTATTGAGGTAGTGAATTTGCACACGGTAGTCAGTATTTATATTCAGGCATCATCTGATCTAGATGATTTTGTTAAACTAACCAACCTTAGAAAATTGGGAGTTATGATATTTGACGGAGGGGAAAAAAAGGAGAAAGGGACAAACATCATATTTAAGCATCTTCAGTCTCTGTCGGTGGAGTCTCGTTTGGAGGATCGAGCAATACCATGGAACTAGTATTAAGTTGTCCTAATATATACAAGCTGCGACTACGCGGACATATCACAGAGTTACCTGAAGACCTCTTGTGCCTTAGGAACCTCACAAAGCTTACACTGAGTGGGTTTGATCTCAAGGACAACCACATAAAAGTATTAGAGAAGCTGCCAAGCTTGAGAATGCTTTTTGCTGAGGTCGGGAATTTCCTAGCACCTCTTGTTTGCTCAAAGGAAGGCTTTCCATTTCTTGAATTTCTTTCTCTTAGTACGTTAGAGTTAAAAGAATGGAAGGTGGATAAAGGAGTCATGCCTAGTCTCTGCAAATTGCAAATTGTGGATTGCTTATATTTGGAGACAGTTCCAGATGGGCTCCAATATATTACTACCCTCAAGGAACTAACCATCAATTTGATGCCTTCCGAATTCTGTAGCAGGCTTGGGGAAGGAGGAGAGGATTTTTACAAAATCCAACATGTGCAGTCTATTATTATAACAAATATTCGGGCAAAAAGAAGATGGGAATAAAATGGTATGCTAAATTTTGTTTTTCTTTCTGTTTTTTCTTTTCTTATTTATTTTTTCAAGGGAAAAAGAAGTAATTGTTTTTTTACTCTTTCCAGTTGAAGGGAAAACTCGAAGGGAAAAAGAGTTGGGGGCGGAGCAGCAGCAAAAAGAGTTGGGTGAAAAGTCTATTTCTTTTAATGAGTAGTGGGTGAAAAGTCTGTTTCATTAAAGTAGTAGTATATATAAAGGGTTTATTTATATATCTCATGTTAAAAAGCTGATTGATTGGACTATCATTTTCCCGGCAATCAATTCCCCATATACTTGCAACTTCGACACATTTGCTATAATAAGAGCCTCTTCTTTGGATTAATCTAATGAATTGAATTATTCCACATCATCATAATTACATTAAATTAAAACTCTCCTATTGTACCTTATCACTTACCGGTTACTCATCGTTAACCATTCGAATAGCCAATTCTTTGGCTCTTTTCCTTTTTTCCTTTTTTCCATTTTTTTTTTTTTTTTTTTTTTTTTTTTTTTTTTTTTTTTTTTTTTTTTTTTTTTTTTGGAAAATTGATTCTTCTTGTATGATTGTATTTTTTTTTTCTTTGTTTGACTCCTCTTCTTTGGGTTTTTAGGGCAGGGTTTAATAAGTTGAATGTGCAGAGACTAAAACTAGAAAATATATAAATATAAATTGTAAGGGGGTTGAAGTCGGATCATAGAAGAAATGGCCGCCATGATCACTACGTGTCCAGGGTATTGATTAACACTAAAATAAAAATAAAATTTGATCTCATTAAAGATGGGCAAGGGATTGGGCACAAATAGTCAGTTCTTACAATAATATAATTTTGATGACGTGCACTAACTAAACTTTATTAAATTAATCAAATTATTAAAATTGCTGTAAATGCATATAAATACGTAAATATCAAATGTAGAGGATCAAAATCCTTATTTATCATACACTTATAATTATGCATATACAAAGGTGATCTAATATACAAAGGTGATCAACAATTCGAACAAACCAACGAGACGATTCGAACAAACCATCGAAGGGTCGTTGATACCACTTAAGCCTTTCAAGCTTTGTTTTTAATTAATTATAGACAAGAAACATTAATAAAACTTCATATAAAAAATAAGGTTTTTTAGGTTTTAGACATAAAAAAAATTTCACTTTTGGAAAAAACCAAAGCTTTTTCAAAAAAGACAAAAAAACCGCTCAACTTTCAAATCAAAGACATGCAAATGTATTGAATTCCTTAGGAAATCTAAAAATAAATAAGAGCATTTTTGTCCATTTTTGCTTCTTTTAAAATTTTTCTCTCTCCTTTTGCTTTTTCCAAAAATAAGAACAAATTACATTTTTCTTTTCTTTTTTCTTTTTGGTTTTTTGCATTCATTCTCCCTTACTTCACCTCTATCTCTCATCTTTCTCAATAAAAGTTGAATAAATTCATTCCATCTTTTAACAAGAAAATGAAAACTGAAAACAAAGAAACAAAAGTATTACCACTTGAGCCCAATGACTACACAAAAGAAATATATATATTAGGTCTGGGACAACTAAAGATGTAGAAATTAGAGTTTTAGGAAGGATAAAAGGGTCAGGGCTGGGTTGCAAATGTTATGGCAATTAAAAGCACAAAGCTACAGGAAATATTAGGCAGCAACCATGTGGAACAAAAGGAATCTTAAACAAGGGCAAAGAACATAATTAACAAGTGAAAGCAGTCTTTCCCGTGCCAGAAACAAATTAAGCCGATCAAATTTTCCTTTGGTTACCTACTAGCAAGGCATGTGCCGGTAGCATACAACAATCTTCAATTTAGTTTCAAGATGCATAACAAAACAAATAAATTGATGCACGTTGCCTCATCGACCCAGTGAAACACAGGTTTAATACAAATGCTTGAATCCAAGAACTCTTTAATACGTGAAACAAAAGATTAGGTTTGGCCCACCTGCAATCATGGTTAAAGGTCATCATTGGAAATGGCACTTTATTTGAATTTCCATTTGATTTTCGAAAAAGTACATAAATAAGCATGCCACTCACAGAAGATTTATACCTGAAATTTGTGATTCTCAAACCTTCAGAGCAGCCTTGTGAACCATGGTTTCTTTGTGTATTTGGTGGCAGCTCTTCTCAACAAGATCAAGCAATTTCTCCAAGTTTGTAGCCCACGAATTAAGAACATTGTTGCTATCCTTTGCAGTTTGAAAACAGACTATTCCTATTGGCCGGTCAATCTTCGCTACCAGTGCCTTGGACACAACCATATCTGACAGATGCTTCTCAGCTTCCTGAAAAGAATGCGACCAAAACTATAAACAGACTGGAAAAGAATTGCATATTTCAAGTAAGTCCAGCCATGGCATCCCAAAACTGTCAGATTAGACTGATTACATTTATACAGTCTGGAGAAATATTATTTTATACTTGTTTATGTCTAAATACACACACACACACACACACACAAACCCATAGATTCTCACAATTAATCAGCATTACCTAATATGTTGAATATAATAAAGAACTGAAGTGAGAATAATTAAGGATCTAACTCAACAAAAGTATAGACAGCAAATGGAGTGAGGAAGAAAGACAACTTTACAAGAGCAGTGAGTGTCATCCTTTTTTTATGGCTCTATTATTAAAATTCAAAACTAAAATGATGTGACAAATTCTAAAACTAAGGAGTTAAGCTTCACAAGAAGTCATCGTAAGAAATGTGTATGACAGGAACTGGTAAATAAAATATGGCTTCTGGTGGGTTACCCTGGAAATTGGAAAGTGAAGCAACTAAATATATTTATGCATCTTGCAAGTCATCCAAAAATAATCCATTATGGGTCAACTCTCAAAAATAAACACAAATTAGTAAAAACAAACCTGGACACTCAGACACAAAAGCTCTGCAAGTCTCTTCAAGGTTATCCTTGAGTAGTACTTTGAAACAACAAGAATGTTCTGCAAAAGCAGTATCACATGTCAGCAAAACATAATTACTAACTGAACAGTGAAAAACGTGCAGATAATGATATCTGGAGAAATTTTACGTGTTCAATTATTCTCTGCCTTAGATCTTCCGCTGCTTTGTCACCCAAAGAGCCCCCAAGCATGCTCTTCTCACTCTCAAACTCAGCCTTGTATGTGTTCCAAAGGGATGTCCATTGTATGACCTCCATAGTTACCACCTGTTTCAACAGCAACCTACAACAGAACAAAATCGGCCTCATAAGTCATACTAAGAGCTGTATGATATATGTGATCCAATAAAGGAAGAAGTGCAACAGATGCATTTTCTAACATACTTAAAATATGGAATCTCAGTAAGATTCTTATCCTCCAGGGTGGAATTGAGAAGACTTGACTGCATTGGATCGTATGGCGCCAGAACCAAGTACCAACAGATCTTCCTCAAGACCTATGAGAAGAAAAATATCAGAAAAGCTCAACCAAATTCAGGAGACAATAAAAGTAAGAGCTTTACCGGTATCCACTGGGCTGGATTCTCCCTGACAGAAGGAATATCATATATCGCCTTATAGCAACGGCAAATCTCAAGGTAATCGTTGTTATGAAAATAATACCTGCAAAGGAAATAAGACAACATCAACAATCCATCAAATTTCACCAACAGAGCAGTTGTGAAAAGAACATCCAAAATTCAGATGGTTTGCAGAGACCAGATACAACTAACACAATGAACAATTGCATAGAATCAATTTTGAACGCCTGCAAAATATTGAAATCAATATTTATTGGTTTCCATAGATCATGCTTGGTTATACAAGTAACTAGTGATTGTGATTAATAGGATGACCTAAGCAATGTAATACAATGGATGATAGGCATTTCAAGAAAAGAAGGTGCAATTTTGTTAACTAATCCAAAAGAGCATGCGGGAATTTAATTACTTCAACTGCCCACCTATTTGTACGGCTACCTAGAAGATACTGCATTTCTTTGGGAATGTGAAACCTCCGGTTGTTGGTTTTGGATAACCATGAGAAAGGAAACTCCATAATATATTTTCACTTACCAAAAGCAGGAAGAGATCCATTCCCAAATGGCCAAACAGTGAAACAAAAACTTAGAGCTAGATTTTGCATTTCTTCACAACACCCTAATAACAGCATTTCGAAAGTACATATTTACAGTTCAAGTGAAAACAAACCCTACACGAATGTATAAGAATCTGATGTCTCATGAAACAAAATCTAAATAAGTAGTTGAGGTTTAGCAAACAGTGGGAAAAAAAACGTGAACAAATACAGAACAATAAAAACATAGGAAAGGGATAAAGACACCCTACCGTATCATTAACTCATAGTAGATCCGCTTCAACTCCAAGAGTGATGGAATATCAGCAGGAGCTTCTTCCACAATATTGTCACCTTCTTTAGGTTTTTTCTTTTCTTTTGCAGGATCAATATCAAAAACTCTTGGACTAATTTTCCTTGATAGTATCTGAGCACGAACATAATCTTGACGGTCTAAACACAAACGAACCTGCAAAATTAAATGCAGAATGACTCAAAATAAGAATCAGAAATAATATTTCTGTACTTGTGCTTGTAATGAATGAGTGGTAAATATTAAGCAAGGAAATTAAACCCATACTTGTTCAAGAATGAAAGCAATCTTCTCAGTTTTTGCCATAGCACCAAATGTTTCCACCTGTAAAGCTTAATGATTAGAAATGAGTGCTCTGGAATGTTTTCAGCATTTTTTTTTCTTTTCTGTTTGAGGGGGAGTGGGAGAAAGGGTTTCCAAAGATTATAATTCCATACTGACCGCAATTTCTTGCATCAAATCAGCAGCTTCAGCAATAAGCCCTTGCTCTTCCTTAATCTTTGCAAGTCTTTTTATTAGACGTGCCCTCTCAATTTCAACATATATCTAAAGAACAATAGAGTTTATTAAAAAATTAAACAAAAAAATACATAAAAAGTTAAAACTGCATCATTTCAACGGAGGCAGTTGAAGCTTTTAATACAGTTTACCTTCCCAGCAGAAATATTATTTAATGTCTTAATAAGCTCTATACGAGTTCAAGATCTGGTGTCTGATCAATATATTGCATTGCTTGCTGGACCATTGCAGTTACAGCCTGCATTGAAACAGACAGCCCAATGAGTGATAACAATAAAAGCACATTACTTCTAGGAATGGAATCAACAAAAACTAAAACATATTCTCACCCAAAAAAAAACTAACATAAAATAATGGCAATACTGATTAAAACTAAGACAATGCAGACAAAATGTGCAATCCAAAGAAGTCTTCAGCAAGAATATAAATATTCTCTAATCAAGAGATGAAAAATATGTATTTACAGAATTAAATGCATACATATACACATTTTTTTTACTTAAGAATTAAAGAGCCCACAACCACATATGTCCCAACCACAACAATACTCCTCAAAAAGTTCACAAGAACTCACATAACTACAAAGTTGTAAACATGCCTTTTCATTAATACTTGGAAAGTGTTGTCTTCCACTGTACAAACAAATAGAAACAAATATAACCATTCCCAAGACAAAGATTGTTAATACATACAGAGATGACCAAAACTCAAGTCTCTTCTTAAAATATACTCAATAGCACAAAATTTACTGTAATGGATAACAATAACTAACTGTACACCGTACAGGCACCATTTATCAGAGATAAAAAATCATTTTAATGGCTGGTTAGTTACATACAGATACTTAAAACTTAAACAATGACACAACAAAGATGACACAGAATCTAAGATTTACTATGGGTGTACCTGCTTTAGCTGACCACGGCGTTTTGATAAGACAACAATCTGGTCATTGAGGGTCTTCCAAGCACCTGCTTTGAAGCAGAGCTCAAGAATGTCAGTGGCTGCTTTCTTGGTTCCTGCCACGTCACCAGCGGTCCTCATCTTCTTCTCTACATTCAGCAATTGCTCTATTTGCTCATCTAAATTGCCTCCTCCTTCCTGAAAATTCCACAATTTTACAAAACCACGACTCAGGATCAAGCAATGTCAATAATTGAAAAATTAGGGCCTTTCAGATCTGGGAGATGGGGGTTCACAATTGGCTTACCATTTTCGACGATGGAGTGGTGAATAAAACCCTAGTAGAGTCCTTCTAGTATGAAAGAAACCTTTACCTGAAATGATACAAGAAGCCAAAAGAACATGATTCACGGGAAAATAAAAAGTACATCAGATTATCAGATTACTTTCAGTTTAACATTGTGAATAGCAAAACAAAATCTGAACCATACACCTCCATTTCCACCTCTTTCCCTTCCAAACATATCCACAAAGAACTGTGATGGACCACTCTAAATTTCTTAAGAAATTTGCAAAGAAGCAGCCAAAAGAACCCTATGAAACAAGTGACCCCCGTAAATCCAAATTCAAACCGAACATATGAAAATATAACCCAAAACAATACCCAGTCCCATTAAATATACATTCCCAAGTACGAAAATACTTTGAGACCAAACCTAAAAATCAAACTGAAGAAGTACCCAATCAGTCCCCTTAAGCATAAAAAGCGAGATGCTTGAACCCTAAATTATAGTAGTCAAAGGCGGAGATGAAGAAAACATCCAAAATAAACAATCAGGTGCACAAATCATATTAAGGAAGACAAACTCAAACCCTAACCCACGACCGTCAGATTTTTCATAGTAAACAAACCCAATCTCAACTTTGTAAATGTGAATTCGAAATCCATACAAAAACCCTAAATCGAAACCCGAGCAGATTCCTCTTTGTATGATACAACAACAAAAGGAAAACCCTAATAAATGTAATCCTAAAGCATACCTGATGCGCGAATTTAGAGAGAGAGTGAGTGAAACAGGCCAGGAGGAGAGAGAGAGAGAGAGAGCGATCAGAGAGTGAGGGATCAAAGGTAAAGACTAAACAGGCCGATTTTTCTTTCCTTTTTTTTTTTTTTTTTTTTTTTTTTTTAAAAAGAAATTTAGAGTAAGGGATAAGTCAAGACTAATTGAACCCCCAATTCTTTTTTTTCTCTGTTTTTATTTCTTTTTTCTTTTAACTTTATTGGTCCTTGAATTATTTAAAAGTCCTCATTTAGTGCACAAACTCTCAATTAATACCAAATCCTCATCTCTTGATTCACATATAATTGGTCCCTACTAGTAGTCTAGTACTATTGCATACCAACAAAAATTTTGTGAAACAGTGACACGTGGCCAACTTTAAAGTGTATTTTTCATCAAAATATAATTTATTTTAGTCTTAAAACTCACGTTTTTGCTTAATAATATCTTCTTTTTTTTTGTTCTCTGTCTTGCTCTCTCAAGCCTTGGGTTGCTGCAGATCTCGGGTCCTCATACTCTGTAACTCTTTGTCAGATGGGTTTAAAGTTGTTATTTGTGTTCTAACTATCTTGTAATACTTGAGCTTAGTTGATGTTGTTAAAATCTGTATTGCAAGAACCTCCTTCCAGGACTGTGTTCTTAGTGCTGTAATTTGGGTTTATGCCCGGTTTCTGCAATGAAATTGCTACTGTTTCACAAAAAAACAAAAAAAAAATCTTCTTTTTCTTTGGTCGAAGCTCAACAATGTCATCTACTTAATTCTTCCTTCAGCGCATATAGCATTGTTTAGCAAAAGAGGTGAACTTTACTTTGTGTCATGAGTGGATATCCTAAACGGAAGCAAAATAACGACACATGGGTAGCTGCATGGAAAATGGTTTTAATTCATGTTTCTTCTAGGGTGGCATTTTAGACCGAAAAATTACAAAAATCAACCGATAATTTACTGCAATAGAATAGCAATCTAGGGAAAACGAACCGCATTTGCAGTTGTGGTTGCTGTATTTGATTTTTAAAATTTACGGTTACCGCAAACCGCGACTATATTTAAAAATAAATAAATAAATTGCATTTTGTAGATAGCATTGGTGCTCAAACAACACAACAAGGTCCTTCAAATCCACTCACCACCACCAACACTTGAGTTGTATCGTTGGTGCATTGCATTTCCTTTTAATTTGTAACTTAATTAACTTTGAATTGAATTTTCCTTTGGGTTGTAACTTTAATTCATTTTGCATTGCATTTTCCTTTTGGTTTGTAACTTTAAAGGATTTGGAATTGGAATGCTTGAGAAGTTGAGGTTGTGAATGCTTGAGAAGTTTAACTTTAATTTGAATGCTTGGAATTGTAACTTTAATTTTCTTTAAGTTGTGAATGTTGAGAAGTTGAGGAGGTTGTGAATTTATATATGTTTGAGAAGTTGAGGTTGTGAATTTATTTATTTATGTTGTGAATTTATATTTTGGGTTAAAGTATGCTTGAACTCAAAAGGCTTAAAAGAAGCATCAAAATTAGGCCTAAAATGTGGAAGATTGGAGTTTTATGACACAAAAAAAATTTGCGGTTTTTAAACTGCTAATTCACGGTAACCGACCGCTTTTTAAAAATCATCATACTGCAAATAGTAGGTCGGTTTGCAATTTGGGCAAAAATTCGCTGTTATCGAACCGCAACCACCCCTAATTTATTCTATATTTACTAACATATGGATATTGCATAGTGAAAAGATTCTAATTTCTAACTTCCTATATATAATATATAGCTTCATGATTCATAACTTCCCACATTCCTCGTATGTAAACAAACTTATATCCTAAACCTAAATGAAAGCCAAACGACCCTTTTAAAATTAAAGTAAATCAAATCAAAGTGGACCTTCAAGAGATCAAATAAAATCTGATAATATCATGTGTGTTTTTTCCGCGTTTTGTTTCTTGCTGGCCTGGCGTACCATGTCAATTTGCTTATGTGGCACACCCGTTCTTCAGGTACGACTTTCTAGCTGCGTCAGCCGCGTTGAGGTAGGTAGGTAAGTGCACTAAAGAAAACCGAAGAAAGAAGAGGATTGATTGGAGTACTGGTCGCATGGGGTCGAAACCATCCTCTTCATTTCTCACAGGTGGTGGCGACTCTGATTCTGTAACTGCCCTTGAGGTACTAAAAGTCCGAAATTTTTCGTCCTGATATAATTTAATGATCTGGGTCAAGCTTAGTCATCATTTTTTACAGTTTGAATTTATCATTTTTCTATTTTCTTATCCATTTGGGGGAAAGAAAAATGGTGTCTTTCTCTGTGCCTGAAGTTTGTATGTGCTTGTTTGTTTGTTGGGATTATTTTCTTTGTATTTGTAATGCTTTCTGGAAATGAAAAGCTATAGGATCTGCCTGCAGTGCAAACTTTCATGGGTTTAGTGGAAGTTCAGACTTCAAGTAAGGATATATTTACATAATTAGCTTCAGAGGAGATTTTCTCAGTTGCTGTTACTTGGTTTGGAAATGATGAAGGCATAACTTGAGAACTATGTTAAGGCTTGGTTGTTCCTTTCATTGGTGCATAATTGTAGTTAGAAACAAGAATCATATGCAACTCTCTTGCCTGCAAAGGGTCTTCTACTTTTGTATCCTATAGGTCTAATGCCTCTTTAAGGACTTCGCTTTAATAACACAGTTCTTTACCAAAGTATGAATCTTAGGAACCACTTGCTTCCAAATCTGCAAAGAACTTCATAAACAATTAAATCACTTTTGTTTTTCTGGTTCAATTTCCTTTGTCGCCGAGCATTGACATAGGTTTTCTTCTTTGATTATGCATTAAAGCATCATAGGTTTCTAGAAAAATTACAAAAGTGGACGCTGTTGGCAATCAAGGTATGAGGTATTACTTAGGATCCCACCATTTTTGTCACCTAAAGCACCTTCTTGAGAAATGTGTGCTTGTAGTTCTTTAGTAGTGGCATGACAATCTAAATGTAAGATTTCCTGACAATTATGCTGTCAGATAAAGATGTCTTTGTTATAATGGTATAGTTCTAGATTCTGAACATCCAAATTCCAAATTCCATGGAATTTTAAACCCACTGGGGCTGTTGCTATTTAGCTCTGGATCTTTGGACCTTGATATATATTATCATGTTCGTGGCATCTGACTTTGAACCAGTTGCAACCTGCATTAACATATGCATTCTTGTAAAAGAACAGATAGTATCGGCTAGGACATTATCTTTCTTTCCCCTGAGATATTGAAGAGGGTAGGGTAAGGCTTCGAGTACTGGATAATCTTTGGTGGCTGCTGGAAAGTGTTGATCAAGTTGAACTCCCTAGGAAGCGGTTTTTCCAGTCTGGGGCTGCTAGTGGTGTTCTCCATCAATAAAAAGCTGTTAATTTCCCGATGAGTCATTTTCCATTACAATGCAGTACACTGTAGAAAATTGTTTAAAGCTGGTGGCATAAATTCTAGCTATCAGCAAGGATTAGGCAGGGGATGTGTGCTTCTTAAATTTTCTTCATAATCAAATATAAAACTTGCATTGTAAATGCAAATTTTCTATCATTTATAAGATACTTCTATCCTGATTGTTGCTTGTGACTTATGAGCATACAATTCTTTGCAAATGATTTTCCTGTGGAACTAACAACCCATTCTTCTGACGTCAACTTTGTATTGTGGATTACTCATAACTTGAATTATCCATCAAATGTAATAGCTCTTCTGAAACACTATTGTTGATGCAATGAATGCATTGCTGTAATAATTTTTCATTTCAAATTTTCTTCTTTTCTTGTTTGTTTCTGGTATGTTTGGCAGATTTCACCTGTGACATCTTTTGTTGTAGTTACAATTTTCACTTTATTATCTTACAGCTTTCAGAAAGGCTACATGGCGGTCTTGTTAACGAGAGAGGTCCAAGGTCTTTCTGTTCATCCGGCTCCATGCTAATGGTACATGCTCCTGTGAAACATCCTTGATGGCTGAAATTTCCAGTATTCTGCAACTGTTTTGCGGATAATCATGCTTACTGAAGCACTAAACGAGGTGAATTCATGAGGTCAATAACCTTTTTTTTTTCCCTCATTATTATCAAACTTCATTTTTCAGAATATTTTTTTATCTGATTGAAGTTTGGCATAACAGTCGTAATCTTCGTTGTCAATGTTTTTGAGATTTACATCCGAACTTAGTCTTCAATTTCTCTAGAACTTTCACTGTTCTTTCTATCCTATGGTTCTAAGTTTCCCTTTTTTAGCATCCCAGACAACCCTTTTCCCTTTTCTCCCTTTTAGCTGTATACACACGCACGTGTGTTCATTATTTTTGAAGTTAAATACTCATTATATAGTTAAAGCATATGTACTGTTGGCAATACAGATTTGGATCATAAGTTGTACAAACCACTAGTGCTTTCACAACTCTCTCTCTGTCTCTCTCTCTCTCTCTCTCTCTATCTGTTGGAGTCATTTTGATTTTAACTTTATCTATGAGCACATTCATATTTATTTGGATGCAGATCTTGGATGAAATACGTCATGTTCCATTGTCACTTTCACAATCTATGCTCTCTCTCCCAGCTCCTGAGAATGTTGTAAACTCGTTTCCTCTCAAAAATCATAAGTCTGAGATCACTGAGAGCAAGGCCCAAGATGCACAAGAGTAAGTTTTCTTGTTTGAGTTTAATGTTAAAGTACATTCATTTATATGAATATTGAAGCTTACACTATTACTTTTGAAAGCATAGCTATAAAATCAGGTAATCTAGTTAGTTGTAGCAAATATGTGACGGTTTTCAATGTTAATGATGTCGAAATATCATGGCATATGGACATAACTAGAAGTGTTCTTGGGAATCTTCCTTCACATATTTAGTTTGCTCTCTTATTTTTCTTATTCTTTAGCAACTTACCCAAAGGCATTGCCCAAATTCCCCCCTTTTTTGGTTGTTGAAATGTTAAAAAAAAGAGGAATGAATATATGGAAGAGCCTGGCCCTGTTACTTAGACCTTGACTTAACACTGGCATGTCTGTGTTGAAGGGACTTGATTGTAAAAACTAAATCGTTAACATTGTTACTATGCGCATACATGATAGTAATAGCTGAATGCACATGTAGTTAGGATTAGGAAGTGTATGAGGATCGATATAAATAACTGATAAGGAAAAATCATGTTCAGGTCCCTAGGTAATGTTGAAGTCATGTAGGCAGCGCTTTGGATGTAGCCCAGTTTTTGGGCATAAATGCTTAGTTTGTTATAGGAATAGCCAAGGTCCCTATGAATTTTTATGCTACACAATTATAGAATCCCATGATTTTTTTTTTTAAAAAAAATTTGCATAACATTTATTGTAAAACAGAATAAAAAGTTATGGAAAAGACTTTACGGTAAATTATGTATAGACATCTGTAAATATCTGTAATGTAGTAACTAAACCTTATATAGGGTACGAAAGGTTCCACAAAGTGTATCCAAGTTTTGAAAATGCTTATTGCTTCTTTAGAAATGTGGGGAATTTTTCAAGGCCAGAAAAATGTAATGAACTCTTTTGTCCTCAATTACTTAAATAGATTAACTCAAATTAAAAGGAAAAACGATTGAAAACATAGAGTAGCTCAGTAGCGTCATTTCTCAGTGCTCATTCCAACTTCAAAATACCTTTTTTGACAGATAGATTGAGGATTTATCGGTTCAAACTTGAAACTACCTATACATATTATATCCCCATGATACAAATGTTTTTATGGAGCAATGTTTTAATCCTTATAAAGTCTGTTGTGGTTCGAGAGAGCTTTTCTGATGTTGGTCTTGGTCCTATGAACAGGTGTTACATTTGCTTGTCTGAGTATAATGAAGGTGATAAAATAAGAGTTCTCCCTTGTTGTCATGAATTCCATATGGAATGCGTTGACAGATGGCTAAAAGAAAAGCAAAGGTACGTTCATTACTTCCATCATACTCCTCTCATTTTACCAAGTGCTTGCTTTTGATTAATTCTATTCGTATATATGACGACTTCTTATGTTCTTCGAATGCTACAGTGTATGCCCACTTTGCAGAGGAGATGTTTGCAAGGGCATTGCTGAGAGTTCTGACTAAGTCCAGAAATCCAATCCAGCTGATGGAAATGTAAATGTATATATAGGTTTGAATGTCTGATTTGCTATTTCTCTAAAGATCTCCCTCCCTTTTGTGTTATCAATAATTTTTAATTATGGTTTTCACCATAGATTTAGTTACTGCTCTACAACAATGTACAGCCATAAGATGATATGTATGTCATCAATGTTCATACAGAAAGAATATCATCTCAAATTTTAGCATAAAAATATATAGTGTGCATGTAATTCAATAATTGTGTTGGCGTTTTTCATTGGAATGAAGTGCTGGGGTGGTTCTATTTGCACGTATGTATGTTTTCATTGCACCATGCTTCCAAAACATCCTATTGGTCTCATTTTGCCTATACTTGGTTTCAAAATTTTATTTTCTTTTGACTTAAAAAACGTTAAACTTTTGAAACAAAAAGAAGAAATATGAACTCAAATCGGCGACTTCTCTGCCCGGCCTGGCATCCACCAGATTAGTTGTGCTCCATAATCAACCATGGTCATGAAATGATGAGGCAGGGAAGGGTAGAGGGAAAGAGAGGAGGGATAAGGGCAAGAAGGGTATTAAAAGTTGTTGGTGGGTGTGGTAAGAAATTTATGGGTATAGCTTTTTACATAAGTGGTTGGTAAACAAGTTTTAACAGCACCCTTGTTGGTGTCTCATTCATGCTTAACGTGGATGTGTCTTCAAAGGGCCATGAACAGTTTTTTGTTTTGTTTTTTTAAATACAAGTGATGTCGGGGAAGGGGAAATCCAATCTAGGATCTCTGATGTCGGTCAGGTGCATAGGTAAATGCTCTTAACCATACAATCCCTTGCTGAACAGTTTTGAACATATGACAATCAGAGGCTTCTCATTAAATAAAGAGTAACAGATGGTTTTGAGAAGCATGCCAGGAGTCCCACGGAAGCAAAGATAGAGTGATGAGAGAAGTACTGCCACCATTATATTTAAACTTGGATTTTTTTGGTAAAAGTTTCTATAACATATAAATATTGGGTTCAACATTTCACTGTTTTTCCTGTTCCATGTCCACCTTTAATGTGGTGGTTGCAGGCTTTCAATCTCCAAACTTCAATGTTGTGCTGGGTTGGAGGGTGCAGCACACCTGATTTCAATTACTCTCTCTCTCCCTCTCTCTTATTGCCAGTCCAGTCCTTTGAGAGTCTGAGACATCAATGAGCTGAAGCTTTGAGTGCTGGCATTATATCCAGATTTCTAAGCGTATATGCTAGCTAATACATAAATCGAGTAATCAAATTCTACATAAATTTGAACGTAATAAGAGAAATGTTAAAATTGACATTCCATAAAGCTTAATGTCAAATATTATATTATTATTTTTAAATATTGATATAATAAAATAAAATAATATTTGACATTTCAAGTAGAGCTAAAAAAAAATTTTAAAATGTCAAATTGCACCTAGGCCATCAAATCCAAATTTAACACTTTTTACGTTCAACATTCTGGCTTAAAAATGGAAATTCTTGACACATTAATTTTTTTTTCTGAACACTGCCAAGCACACACATTGAGCCTTGCGAAAGCAATCCAATTTAATACTTTAGCGTTGTTTACTTTCATATTAAGTTTTCTAATTAATTAAACAAACAGTGAAAAGTAGGGTTGCCTTGAGCTTTTCCCTCCGACTGATTCTAATACATATTGCTTGGCATATATACTTGGAGTAATCTTTAATAAGTTCTTTTGAAAAGAAAAGAAAAACTATTCCAAATTTGTCAATTGGTTCTGAACAATATTCCTTCATGCAAGCGTAAGAGTAACTTGCACGTACACAAAATAACTTTGAGCGAGAAAACCTTTTCTTACCTAGTTAAGACTCATGGCTTGCTCACAACTTTACAAGACAAGGGGGCTATGGTCATGGGACGTAGTTGAGAGATATATGGCGTACAATCTGTTCGGGGACCCCATCGAAAACTCAACGTTGAAGGGGATGCCGGAGTACCAAGTGCAGGGCAATAGAAGAAGAAAAAAAAGACAGCGCAAAAGTGGCTCTGCAGATGAAGTTACTTGTGTTTCCTAATCTTTTCTGTTTGGATTGAAGATGGCCCTTCATGGCTGTTATTAGATGTATTCCTACCTGAGGTTTACCCTCATTAAACAAAAGCCATCCCTCCTTTTATCTGAAAGTAACAAGCGAGAGGAATGTTAAAATTTTAAGCCCATGCTATTACATAAATCGAGTAATCAAATTCTACATAAATTTGAAAGTAACAAGCGAAAAGGAATGTTAAAATTGACATTTTCATAAAGCTTGAGGCCAAATGTTATATTATTATTTTTAAATATTGATATAATGAAAGAAAAATATATGGTATTTGACATTAATTTTGGGTGGAGCTAAAAATTACAATAAAAAGAAGTCAAATTGCACCTAGTTTATCAAATTCAAATTTAACTTTTTTTCGGTTTAATTTCTCCATTAAAGATGCTCTAAGAAACTTTAAGAAATTCTTGAAGAACAAGGACGGATTCACACTTGGGTTAGAGTGGGCTCTAGCCCGATGCTTACTTTGGAGAGAGACAAATTAGACTTAGTTGTATAAGCTCAAATTCAAGAAAATTAAATAATAGGTCATCCATTTTTCTAGAAAGTAGCCCACCTCATACGCCATATCTACAGTCGAATACTTTAATGCTTTCATTACTGAAGTTTTTTTTTCTCTCTCTCTCTTCTATCATTCTATGGTTTATTTAGCCTCTGATTTGCTGAACACTGCCATGCACACACATTGAGCCTTGAGAAAGCAATCCAATTTAGTACTTTAGCGTTGTTTACTTTCATATTAAGTTTTCTAATTAAACAAACAGTGAAAAGTATCTAGGATGGCCTTGAGCTTTTCCCTCCTATTGATTCTATTACGTACAATTGTCTTCTTGTTAAAAGGTTACTGCTTGGCATATATACTTGGAGTAATCTTTAATAAGTTATTTTGAAAAGAAAAATTACTCAAAATTTGGCAATTGGTTATGTATTCAATATTCCTCCATGCAAGCGCAAGAGTTGCAAGTACACAAAACAACTTTGAGCAAGAAAACCTTTTTTCCTAGTTAAGACTCATGGCTAGAGCTTAAATTAAGACAAGAGGGACATGGTTCATGGGACATAGCTCAGAGAGAGAGAGAGAGAGAGAGAGAGATGGCGTGTAATGTGTTCGGCAACCCCATCGAAAACTCAACGTTGAACGGGATGACGGAGTACAAGTACACACCTATAGAAAGAAAAGACAGGGCAAAAGTGGCTCTGCAGATGAAAAACGTCGGGGACAAGGACTGCAAAGCCCTTACATTTGTGGAGAATTTGAAGAAGCAGCATGGTGACGGAATTTCTACACTTTGCCTTATTTACAATGCAACTGGGGATAACTTAACCTGTTCTATAAGTAAGGACTGGTGTGGGCACATTGGACACTTCCCCTACCCTGCACTCATTGCAAATGGGCAGTGGGGTGCCTTTCTGCATGTCCAAAAACTTGGACCGATTGAAGGATCTGTAGCCACTGTTGTGTACAACGGCAAGAACAGATATGGAGAAGAAAACGGCCTGCTGCTGGCATGGAGCAACAATGGGTGTGAAAACAAGGTATGTTATTTTGCATACAGATTACATTTGTGAAGTAATTATAGTGCGATACTGGAGTCCTTATAAAATTTGTATATGTCCTTTAGCGAGAGACATAAATATATACCAGCTAGATTGCTACTTGATCTTGTACATGTGCAGGTGTTTACTGAGAGCCGACCTGCTGAACACTATTTGGATAATGTGGATTGGATCCCCCTAATCCATGATTATGTGGATAAATCTGGCTCCTACAAAAGTGAGAAACGGGGTGGATGGTTCTCAACTATCTCAACTGGCAGTGGCACTTCCCCAATAGTTGAAGCAATATTCACGTTGGACGATGCTTATTGAGTTGGTCCTTTAATTTCTCATGTGAAATGGAAGGCCCTTGTTAATTTCAAGTCTTAATAAATTTGTGATGCATAATAAATAAATCATGTAATTTGTTCCTATACTTGAAGTGTTTGTAATTGGCAGCTTCACCTTCTTGTGAAGCATGCACTTGTGTTTCCTAATGTTTCTGTTTGGATTGAAGATGGCCCTTCATGGCTGCAGTTAGATGTATTGCTACCATGAGGTTTGCCCTAATTAAATAAAAGTCTATTTCTATAAGAAAAAATAATGATGATTTATGTGATCACCTTGAGTAGTATATCTGTTGCCTTTTACCCTTTTAAAAGTTTACTTTATATTATTAATAGATTTTGAGGACTTATGAGTGACAAACTCGTTACATCCATCATACTTAATCCAATTGCCGCTAGTGCTAGCCTCTTTAAAATATCCATTTAATCCGAACTCTAATAGACTATAATAAAATAACTCAAATATTTAACACATTGGATAGAAATGAATTTAAGTAAAAACGTCAAATTTCCAACTAAGCCATCAAATACAAATTTGAAATTGATATCTGCTGAACACTGCCGTGCACACACATTGAGTCTTGAGAAAGCAATCCAATTTAGTACTTTAGCATTGTTTACCTTCTGATTAGGTTCCCTAATTAAACAAACAGTGAAAAGTAGGATGGCCTTGAGCTTTTCCCTCCTATTGACCAAACCCACAGTCTCCCATGAATGTTATAGATATGATGAACTAAAGTGTACTATTTCAGTTGATTTTATCTTGTTGCTAAAAAGATTAATGCTTGGCATATATACTTGGAGTAATCTTTAAGTTCTTTTGAAAAAGAAAAAAAAAATTGCTCTTAATTTGTTACTTGATTTTGTGTTCAATTTTCCTTCATGCAAGAGCAAGTATACATTTTCATGTAAACCAAAGTTGGACCAGAAAACTTTTTTTCCAAGTTAAGACTCAGATGGCTTAAAGACAGTGGTCATGGTCATGGACATCACCTGCCCACTATTAATATTGCAAACTGAAACATATTTATTCCTTAACCCATTTATTCCTCTCTTTTTTCTTTTCACAAAAGAATTTTAACAACATTTTTTCTCTTTTAATACTAATAAATTTTCATAAAGCACCCATTAGTGTAGTGATTTAGAGCAATTGCTTTTTCAAAAAATGTCATGGGTTCGAGTCCTAGCATCCATATAGTGTGTGTGAGTTTAATATGTTATCGCACCTCTCAACCAAGAAAATAGTAATCAATTTTGGATAAGACATTTGCACTTGTATGAGATGTAAAATTAATTTCAGTTATCGTAATTCCAACTACATATATGAATTACATAACTTTAAAGCCTTTGGCTTTTCCTCAAATTAGTAGGTGCCTCTCCTTCCTGACATATATAGGGTCCAATTCCTTATTGAGTTTTTCCTCTTGTGTGGTGAGTGGATAAATGCGTCTTATCTTGTCCATGTTATTCAACAAAGAACTAGATTTCCAAATTTGGTTTATTCTGCAACAAAATCTAGTGGGAGATTTATGCTTGGCCACATATCAATCATTTTGGAACTACTGAAATTACTATTTCTATGCTTCACTGCATCGTCATATGTGAGACAAATTAATTGGCCTCATATGCTGCATATTTCAAATCAAAATCAAATCAAAAGAAAGCAAGACCTAAAAGGCAATGAGAAAATATCCTTGATTGATTTTACCGTAAATAATTAATTTTTTAAACGTTCAAAAAATATCAAGACTTTGATCAAGCAGATTTTCGGCACTCCTGTTATAATCCGTGAGAAAATACCTTAAATCGAACTCTTGTCGTAAACATGGGAGTTAATAAGAAGACATAAAGGCAATATCTTGTGTTATCATATAGAAGACAATGAAAAGAAAACCAATGCACAAGTCAAACAAGTGTGTAAAGTTAGAACCTTCTCGTCCAATCAACCTCATGTGACACTTCCAAATTTTCCTAGTAGATGAAGTGAGGAGCTTTTGGTTTCATTTTGGACCACTCAGTTTGTGATGCGTAACCGAAAAACTACAACAACAACACTCCATAATTTACCACAAGCTTTTCTGCACAAGCTTGTGGATTATATTTTGCACATAAAAGGGTAAAAAGAAGGAAACCAACCAAAAAGTTTTCCAAAGCAACCAAATCTGTTTGGCCTCTCTCTCTTTGTTTCACCAATTTACTCTTCTTTTGTTTGCTCTTTTTGGGTGACTATATGTAAAGCAAATATTCCAGAACAAGTATGAAACATACCTATTTCTTTCTGCACTGATTTGGCTGCCTTTAAACTTTTTTTTTTCTTCAATCAAATCCCAATAAAAAAATTGTCAAACACAACCAAATATTCTAAACCTTCTTGTTTCAATCACAATCTCTAATCACATGAAGGAAATTAACTGCTACATAATTCTTTTTTTTACCCAAACAGTAAAACTAATATTACCGCACAAGAATCATAGTCCTGGTAAAAAGCTCTCCTTGTATCTTCTTCACCCTATGTACAGTGCAGAAAAAGGTACGGATGGCTTTATTCTCAGTTTTACCCACCCAAAATTTACTCAATCCACCCATAATTTTTTACTCAGTCCACGTCAGCTAGCAAAATTGGGGATTTCACCTTTATTTACCGTTACACCCCTGATAGCCAACGGAACATCTCTGATATCTCCTCCCCGACCCGGCCAGACTCCAAGCTCCAATCTCCGATGATGGAAGCCTCACTCCGGCGGCTGCTTCCGGTGAAAAATCTCCCCGAGCTGCGAAATGATATGTCACGAGAAGATAGAGAGCTCGATAGGCGGTCGATGTAATCTTTCAGCCAACTCGTCCTCCCCGAGCCTACCTCGGAGGCTAGGCTCGGCTCGAACGGTTGCGATGGTGGCTCCGGCGGCTCGGTGACGACCAAAATGACGTCTTCCTTCTGCGCATTGCTCAACCGCACCTCCGAAGACTCGTCCTCGACGACATACTCGAATGAACCAATCGAGTAGGACCGGCGATTAGCATCGGCCGGAATGGAGCTCTCATCCGACGTCGTTCGGTTGCGGCGGCTTACGTTTCCGATCTCCAGACGGAAGCTTCCGCTGTTCATAGTCGCAGCGCCGGCATTGGGGACGAGCGCCATGAGCTCGGCGTCGGAGGCGGCGATCGGGGAGCGGCACAGAGGACACGTCTGGTGCGATTGAAGCCACGTGTCGATGCATACGGCGTGGAAGGCGTGGCAGCAGAGAGGGAGGAGTCGGAGCTCGTCACTCGGCTCGAACTTCGACAAGCAGACGGCGCAGTCGGCGGAGACGGTAGAGGAAGACCGGCGGGTGATGGCGGAGTAGGTGAAGAGAGGGAGGGAGGCTGCGTTGTCGGGGCTGACTCGGCGAGTCGAGATTCGACGCGACTCGGCTGGTGCTGACCCGGCTGAGGACGGGGCGAGGCGGCGGAGACAGCGGCCGTTTAGGTGGCGGAGGAGGAAGCAGAGCGAGATTGAGGCGACGACCGTGACGGCAAGGATGAGGAGGATTATGAGAAGGCTTGGGCTTAGGGTTTTGAAGGAGGAAGAATGGTGCTGAGGTTCAGAGGGTATCAATGGCGGTGCTGGCGATGATGGCGGTGAGCCCTGCGACATCGTTTTGGTAGAGAGAGAGAGAGACGAAGAGAGAGAGTGGGTGGGGGGAGAATTAATGGGGGGGTTTGTTTGGTTTTCGGTCTTGATGCGGACAAAAGTGAATAAAAGAGGGAAAATTGACGGGGTTGAGGGGATGTCACGTGAGAAACACGTGAGGGTGATGTGGAGGTGGTGGGTGGTGGTCTGTAGAGAGAGTAAGAGCGAGCGGGGACGGGGGAGACTGTGTACTGTGGTATTGAATTTTGGGATCAGTCGAGTAAATGCGCGCAGGTTTTTGAAGGGATAGGCAGGAAGATAAATGAAACTACGATTATACCCCTCTCCGTTTCAATTTGGGTTCCGTGCGCTTTGTGGTGTTACTTGTTGGTTTTTTCATCCGATTATTATAATGTGGATTTTATTAATCTCTCTAATTAACCAAACTGGTTTTGGAAAGATGAGAATTATGTAATTTGTAATTTGACTTTCTCCGGGGATTATGCCTCATTACTTAGTTAACCTTGAAAGATTTTAGTCAAAACCCATTATGGAAGTTTCTTTGAAGATTAAAATTTCCATATTTAATAAGATTTTATTACATAATATGTAGTCTGGGCCCATTGATTTACAGCCCTGAACTCTTTGCTATGAAAGAGGAAAAAGGACAAAACTGGAATTTCAACCATTTTTTTAATAAATAAAACGATAATATTAGACGAGTTTCTCTACACTAATGAACTTAGCTGTCGGTCTAACCAAGCATTTGATCCGGAAGGAAGGAGCTAAAGAAGCGTAAAATGGAGCTAACAAAAATATGAAGCCTGGGAAAAGAGGTGGATTAAGTAATAAGTAGCACCAAAACGACACTTGCTTACTTTTTTAAAGAACTCTTATGTATTTACTTATAGAACGACACGTGTATTTTTAAAATCAGGTTTTTCAGGTAAACTTAACTCAACAATCGATCCAGTGGAGCATGTTGTTAGTTGTTTAATCAAAAGCACTAAACTAGTATTTGACATTCTTAAGGGTACTTCTTTTTGGTACTTTTATGCTTATCAGAATAATTCTTTTTGGTACTTGAAAAGTAATAGGAAAATACAAAAAGAAAAAAACATATTATATTATGTAATTATTTTAATTAATTTTATAATTAATGGGATTTGCAGGAACATGAACTGCTACGCTTCCTGATATGGAATAATGTGCAAATTAACTGGAAAAATTCGAGAAAAAATCATGACACTATCACTAGGGTCCTATTATAATAGCACAACTATAGCATAAACTTTTTTAATAATACATTTTAATAATTCTCTAACATTAAATAAAATTATCGTACATCTAACTTTAGCAGTATCCATTAATTCATAGAATATATTATTGTCACACCCTCCCTCTCTCTCTCTCACTCTCTCTCATCTCTCTCTCTCCTATGGAATTACTTCTTGCACACTCTTGGCATGCATGTTTAAAAGTATACAATAGTCTTCCCCATGAAATGGCATTATTGTTTCGAGAGGAGGTAGTTGGTTTGTTGGCATTGGGCAACAACATTAAGTAGCCTTGTACTTTATTAGATTATATTCTATGTCACTCGAGTAAAACCCGATCCTATGGCAAACAAAAAAGTAAAACCCAACCTTTGACCCAAAAAAGAAAGAAAAGAAAAGTAAAACCCAATCCTTTCCTTCCTATGTAAAGAAAAGGAATAGAATTTCACTTAAAAATATACGATGAACATGTTTCATGAGCATACAATAAGGGAGTCCCTTGATGTTAGGATAATGTTTTTTTGCCAGATATTTTATATGTTATGTAACGAAATTTCATGTGTGATCCAATTCATTGACTTAATTAATCATTATATTTGTTTTTATTTTTCGTGCATACAACATAGATGTGAATTAAACAGTTGATCATGGTATGTGTTTTAGCCCCCACTTAATTTCAAATCATCTTTATATATTAGAGTAATTTATAGAGTGTTGCTATTTCACCTCTCTTTAAACAATTATCTAGAATATTTTTAGAAGCTGGACGGTAGAGAGTAAAAAACTAAAAGATTTAGAAAATCAAAATATTAAACTAAAATATTTATCCAGTCCGTCAAACACAACTTGATTATCTTCATATACTACTAATAATTAGCAAAGAGAATTTGCTTGAGTTAATAATTAAATGGTATTTTAGAAATAATGGTGGGTGGAAAGATAGGATTGTGTGTGTGTGTTTTTTTTTCTTTCTAATTTTACATGGTGAGTGGGAAAATCAGGTAAATGAGGAAATACAACAGGAGATTTGAAAGAGCAGCACTCAATTTATAATATCTCATTATTTAAATAAAAAATTTCTTACATACGTGAAAGCACCTGAGTTTCATTTTCTTATATGGGTTGTGCGTAATTACGTATATCTAAAATATTTTATCCGGTAATTAGAAATTGGGTCATGAAGGTTTTTCTAATTACAAAATATAGCATTTTCTCAAATATCTTATACTTTATATGATAAGTACACTACAATAATGTACATATTATTTGCACCCAAAAAATTTAATATTAAATTATTATGTTCATCATCGAAGAGCAAAATTCCATTGATAATTAGTCAAACTAGGGTTCACCAGATATGATTAGCTGATGATGTAATTTGTCGAAAGCTCATGTGAACTTTCATGTAACGCACCAACTTTGAGAAAGTAAAAGGAAGAAGAGAATTGCATGGGGATAATTAATTAATTAATTTATTTAATCAGTCATTATATGGAAATTAATTAAGTAAATGGTCAATTAAACGTGAAATTACACAGAAATTTTCACTAAAATTCATGTTAATGGCTGACATCAGATAACATTGATGGATGATTCAGTATGTGGATACGTGGAGTGCAAATCCGAAATGGGTTACTTGTATAATTGTATATAAAAAACAAGAGGTAAGCATTGACGACCATAATGAAGCAAAGTCAAGCTCTAATTCCTTGTCGTTTTGGCCCCATGGCTGAGGGAGGCGTACGACAGCAAATGTGGTTGCGCTTGACCTTGACCAAAACGACCAACCACACTCGCACAAATCCACAGAGTGGGGACAAAAACGAAAAACGGATAATACGCAAGCAAGGGGCTTGGAACAAGTTTCGAGTGTGGACACTTCGCTTCTAGCTTTCTTCATGATGTTTGTCGCATCCCATCCCAAGGGTGGGAAGTTACTCGAATTTTCCGTTTTTCAGTTAATAATTTTACTAGATTTTTTTTTCCAAGTTAATTCAAATTAAGGCTAATTTATTGAAATAATCCCGTATATTTGGAGTCTCAAATCTCCACTTCAAACTAGCTCAAAATACCCAAAATGACTTTCCTCATTCGAAGTAATGAATCATACTTAACAAATTAGTAGCAAAAGACCCACTAATGTAGTGATTTGGAGCAATTGAGTTTGAGTCCTAGTATCTATGCAGTGTGTGTGAGTTTAATATATTATCGTCATTCTCAATAGAAAAGATCATTAAAAAAAAATATTGGTAATGTCTTCTACTAAACTACCCCATAGTTATCATTACTCTTCACTAGTTTTACTAGATATTCTTTTCTCTTTTGTACCACTCGTAAACTCTAGAGAGCAAATCCGTTACGTGGTTGTTAGAACATAGAAGCATTCTTGATGTCTTCTTTGGTGTTTCAAGGTGAGTTAAGTGTTTTAGGTCCACTAGGTCATGTCAAGCTTTGTGTATAAGGTTCCACTATTAAAGCTTGTTGGTGGTTGATTTGATCATAAATATTGAAATCCACGAGTTGAGGTTTAGTTAGTGTTCTTAGGTGTGGTAGCTAAGATGTTGAATGTGCATTAATTCGCTCATTTTCTAGCCCTAGCTCAAACCCCATCCCATGTGTCTAGGAACCATTATGAAGAAAACAACACTTTGGTTTACACTGACAATTCATGGATTCAGTCTTTAACACAGAGTGAGGTCGTGGATTCGATTTTTCTTGTGCCAAAAATTCTGAAATGTGACGGCTTTTTATTTGTGTATTATAATACGAGTAGACGATATAGTAATCATCAATAAATATACACTTATATTATAATATATGAACGAGCTATAGAGTGATCATTCAGTAGGAAGATCCATAATCCTACAAATTTGAGGGATAAAATAGTGTCATCATCTTATTCTTAATTTTTTTGTTTAAATTCTATTTTATTCCACGTACGAACCAAAAGAAAATACGTCTATGTGGTTGTCCTTTTGGTTCTCGGGATCCAGATTCTTGACTTTTCTCATGTTGGTTGGAAATCAGTACAGTCATCAATGTCTTACTTTATTTCTATATTGTTTTTCATTCGCAATTTTAAAAACACATGCATAAATCTGCATATGTGATATTACGTTGACAATAGACAATGTTTTAAGTCAATTCATCTCAAGACACGTGGCTCTACAATATCCACAACAATGTGGATAGGCACTCGTCGACGACTTGTAACTTGTAAGGAGAGGATACCGATTTTAAATATCACGATTAAGAAGACTCCTAATTTGTCTTTGCATAACTAAAGCATTGATGATCTCTGTGGGAAACAAACAAATTGCAAGATGAAATTAAGGCTCGGTTTAAATGAAGGAATTTGAAAGAAAGGACTTGGATTTAACAATAATTTGACATAGATTTGAAATGATTATGTAAAAAGAATAATTTGAAATTGATTTGATTGATTATAAGTATTTATTTATATCAAATTAAAAAAAAGAAGTTGTTATTGGCACTCTAACAAACTCATCATGCACTCGTTTATTTGTAATTTTTTCCTCTTATCTATATATAAAGCAAAATGCAGAGAAAGGCAAAACATTCAAAATCCCATTCGTTAATGCAAACATTAAAATTGAAATTAATAATTAAATGAGGATAATATGGTAAATTTACATTTTTTTAATATTAAAAAAATTAAAATTAAAAGAAAAAAAAGATAATGGAACATATTTTTATGAAACACAACTACCCATTATCTTTTTCAATTCTAAAATAAATTAAATTTTTTTTTAAAAAACCTCTCGAAAGCATGGAAGCACGTGCCAAGAGACTAGCATTTTTTATAAAAGAGGAGTACATAATAACTTTTTTGGAGCGTAATTAACAGTTTCCTATAAGATATAACAACTTTGCTCCAAAGTTTATTGCCTAAAGCCCAATGCATGGCCCAAACCAAAAAGATGAACAAGATCATATATATATTTTTATTTTTGGGCCAAGAAGGAGGTGAACAATGCAATTATCAAACCATTTTGCGAAATCATATTTCATCCACCAAAAAAGTAGCCTCTTGTCTCGATATAAATGGTCTAGTGGTCAAATTTGAATTAGTGTGATTTTTTTGTGACTTTGTAACATCCAAGGTATCTACAAAGGAAATGAATATGATTGGAACCAAAACTTATTTAACAGTTCACTTATTAATTTTTATTATTTACATATATCTATTATCACTCCATCTTCAAGGCCAGAGTCCGGATCCTAGACAGTCAGCTATGTTGAGGTCCACGTCCTCTTAGCTTGTCTCTAATCATAACATATTGCACCGCTATTGTCTCCAACTTCATTACTTAGGTCCATCAAGGTTGATCATGTCCATGAACCCCATAAAGACTTCCATGAAACGGGAGTAGTACTATTTTGCGATTTCCAACCAATAATGTTATGACATGCGTGATAACACTTCCACGTGACATAACATTATTAGCTGGGGATAACAAAATAGTGCTATCCCCGTTGCAACTAAGTTTTTCATGAACCCTTCTGGGTTTGAGATTTAACCTCAGAAAGCCTTTGTCCAATTGCACTATATCCTTTTATTCCTGACATAGAAGCCAATTCTCAAATTGCATCATATTACAGATATGGTTGCTTTTCAAAAAAGCTGATATCAGCTTGCAAAGTCAGTTAGAACAAAATAGATTCAATGTAACTGTTCTGTCACCAGTGACAAACTATTTAGACAGTGTCAAGTTTTATACCATGCAAACTCATGAAGAAACATATCCAACAAGAATCAAAGGAATATAAAACCAGAAACATAAGTTGTAATCCAGAACTTTTGCTCTCTCTCTCTCTCTCTCTCTTAATTCAATCTTATCTGTAACAAAATTTTGAGCAACGTCTTGTTTAATATTTCAGTTTCATGAATTACAAATTGAAGTGAAACTGTTTCAAAAGATAAACAACACATAGAAAACCCATGATCATAACATTGTTCAAAACCAGAGAAGCATTCTGTTGTCCTGCACTGCATGGTATGCTGCTTCCACTATAGCACCCTTTCTTTTGCTGGATCCCTGCACCGCGATTTTCAAGAACAAATGTAGAGTTTGTCTTCCCACTGCTGAAAAGAACACTCCAAAAGAATGGCCCTTTATGAACCCGAACCATGCCTACACCCACCTCGGTATGTGATTTATTTCTCAGAATTGATAAAGCCTTGCTGTCTCGAACAAGAACATGCCCAAAAGCTAGTGATGGCTCAAGATACTTGGATTGGCAACCCACAATGTGGCCAGTTATGGTGCTGAAAGTTGGTAGTTCCACACCACAATCGGGGGCAAAAACTTCGGTGAAGTCATCTTCAGATGGTTTGCAGTTTACAGTGTTGTTGATAGAGCAGTTCCCCTTGCACAATTCGGCATATTGCAGTGCAATGCACCCGAGTCCAGGACTGTCATTTAGTTTTGAAAGTTTATGGGCTGTTCGGTTGTTGTTGATAATCTCAACAAGATCATTTGCAGGGTTTCCTGAAGGACAAACCACACCCAATGTCGCAAAATCAACATATGTGGCCATTCAAAACTCAAACCTACCTTCAAAATAATGCAATACACTTACACAAACATGCAGTCCTTATTTAATCTTTGAAAAAAAATAGATGACAAATATATACACGAAGAATGTGAAGAATAAGAATGCAGAAATTTTCTAAGTTAATCCAATCACATTGATTTTGATAGTTAAGAATTAAATGCCACTTTTCCTACTCTCACCAAGGAGTCTTACAAGTGAATATAACCACATCGACATCATTTTTAAGAAAAAATTGTAAAGGAAAAGGTTAACTTGTGATCATGGTTCCTACCGTAGAGAACCAAATTAGGCCACATCACAATAACCAACTTGTGGTGTGGAACTTTTAGAGATCCAACTATAGCTCCCTGATTTGACTAGATGTGTAAACTCAAATTCTATGGTTGGGGATGACCATTCACTGGGACTCCGAGTTTTTTCAACGATCACAAAGGAGGAATGGAACCACTGAGACTGAGCATACCCTCATGAACATCATTTTTTTGGGTACTCCCCCAATCCAAGAAGCGATCAGATTCGAAACTGGAGCCCCCCCCGCCAAATGCTACAATCTTTGGGAGGCAGGAAACACTAGCAAATAGATAGGTAGGTACCTTAGGGGGTTTCGAGCCTCATACCACATGGGAGCAAACCATGCGATTGAGATTTGAAATATAGTGGAATGTGAATGGGAACTATGAAATTCTTAACTTTTATGCAAATGCTAGATCATAGATAGAGATAAGATATGTAAACAAGGTGTAGATGACATAAAGCACTTTTAGAGATCCAACTATAGCTCCCAAATCAGGGAGCAAAATGAGGCAGAAGAGCAATCTAATAGTGAGTGCTACTGTGCCTTTCTTGACTTTGGAAACTCTTATTACCATGATCGGTGATACGCTCCTCTTGTTGTCTGAAAAGACATTTTAGTGACTGTTGCAGTGTAGGACTTTCTCAATGGCAGTAATTAATTAAAAATAAATTAAAATAAATTATATAAATTAAGAGTATTCAGAACAGGACCTTCTATTTAACCCTTCATCTGTGGGCAAAGTGCAGAAAAGAAAGAATATGCTAATCTTATCTTAAAATAGTTACTTGACAAGCCAAAAAACCAGTATTTCTTTCAACTCAGATTAGCCAGAAAAAATAGAAAGCTATCTTTACCAACATCATTTCAGAACAGCAGCTCCTATTGAGAAAAAAGAAAAAAAACAGAAACCACAAAGAGAATGTATATGCATAGTTCCATAGAGGAAAAAAGAGAAAACTCAAAACAGTTAAGAATTCAGCATAAAAAATGGCAAAGAATCTGTAAGTTGTAGCTGCAGAAACCACAAAGAGGGAAGAAAATGCAGGGTTATATAGTACCATGGTTCTTGGAGCAAACAAGAGCTGCTAGCAGTAGATGACTGACAAATATGAACCACCCACAGCAACAAAGCCGCTTCTTCACCATATTCACTTGTGATGTGAGCAAAAATGGGTTTTGCTTTACAGACAAACCTGAGCAGGAAAAACAAAGAGAGAGAGAGAGAGAGAGAGGAAAGCTGTAAAGGGTATTGATTATTTTTTATGAACAATATGAGAGAGGTGTTTGCTTGGTGGGAATGGAAAAAGGGCGTGAGAAAGCAGAGATTTTCCAGGGGAAGGAAAAAAAGAAGTGTGAGGAGGAAAGTGCTTGAATAGTGATCAATGTTGCAGAGTTTAAGACAAAAAGACGGATGGTGGTGGACCCTTGTAGCCGCTGTGTGTTCTGTGCATGGATTTCTTTTTCTTAAGAAAGTCGAGCGCATTTCAAAAGATTTGAAATTAGGTGGGGCCAAATATTGACGGATTTTGGGGGATTAGTAATGGAACTATAGAAGACGAGTAGGGCTTGGGCCAATTATTGGCAAAGCAAACCATTCTGGGTTGAAAGAAAATTCCATTTGCATCCATATGTTTACATATCTCAGTTCCCTACACCTTTACTCTCTTAAAAAAAAATAAAAAAAATTCATGGTCATGTGAGTCTGTGAGAAGAATATAGAGAAAGTATGTTCCATGTAAGTATTTCTTCTATACGAGGCAGAAGGCTTCACTAGTAGCATTTAACTTTTGTTTTTCGAAACATAAAACACATTTTATTATTTTAAATTTAACCATAAGTCACAACTATTCACCCACTGCTGCCCACACGGCCCAATGGGTGGATAGTTGCGAATTGAACTCTAATCACTTTCATAAATCTTCATCAGGAAATACTTGGGTTTTGGCCCACTATTTCCATTACCAAACAGACTTTGACGTGCTTCTTTACCCATAAAAGCTTAATTGGTCTACCATACGGAAGCCAAACCATAGATGGGCTTGAACCAAACATTGTAGACCCAACCAAATCATATTTCCTTGCACACGCAACACTACAACAGAAAATGTCGAGGAGCCGGACCATCTAGAACTCTGCAGCTTCACCTACTCGCTCCTTATCTCACACAAGGGTTTGAGATATCTGCCCACTTCTTGCAAACAAAGCATTTTCTTCACTCTCAGCAGCTCGACTAAACCTTTGCTCATTTTCTTTCTCCATCTTTGTTTGACCTCTATCATGGCTTCCACTTTCGTCACTCTACCAAACCCTTTGCTATGCAAACCCAATACTGCTTCTCTGTCGAACCAGAAGCTACTGCCAGGTGTGTTGAATTTAACTCCTTTCTTGACACTTTTCTTATATCTTTCTTGAATGTCTAGACTTTCTTATAATTTGTTAAATTTTTTTTTCTGATTTGTTATATGGGTTTTGTGCAGGTCTGCGAAGAAACTCTTTGAGAGTTAACGCAGTTTCCAAGAAATGGGAACCCACCAAGGTATTTTTTCTCTTATCTATACTTGTTTGAAGAATCAATTTCAAAATAGTTTGTGGTTTTCCAAACATTACATGTGGCTGCACTGCTAATATCTACTTTGTATTTTTGACAATGAGTTATCTGGGTTTGATTTTTATGGTGGTAATTTGTGAGTGACAGGTGGTTCCTCAAGCTGACAGAGTGCTTATTCGTCTTGAGGAACTCTCCGAGGTATGCGGGTTTTAGTCATGTCAATTGAGTTTGAGAGTCTGGATTGGTAACTTTTTATGTGTTTCATTATTGTGAATCCCAAATATCTAGGTCAATGACCATTTTAGTTTAGTGTTTGAGCTTTTGGAATGTGAACCTTGTGAATATCCATAGGATTGCCAAATGGCTTTAGTTGCAAGCAAATTGAATTTTAAATTGCTGAATGAATCTTGAGCGCTGGTGGGCTTGAGTTCAACTACAGTTCTTGAATGCGATCAAGGATTTGAGCTTGAACTCTAATGGTTTGAGAAGTCATCCCATTTTGATTGGCTTGCCTAGTTAAAGGACTCAGACTAGTGGCAATTTGAGTTATATTGCCCATTGCGTGTTTATGCGGGCTGTGTCTCTGTTAGGTGGGCAATTATCTGACTGAAGTCTTGAGAACGTTGGCTTGAACATGAGGCACATGATCTGAAAGTTCAGTCATGATTGTTGATTACGTGTGCCCTCATGTGATCAAAGAGACAAAAGCCACCCCATTTGGGTTGAGGGATAAAAATCTTACATCCCCCCACCCCCCCCACCCCCCCCACCCCGCAAAACAAAATCTGTATTAGTTATGAATAAGTTTGTAATGGTGTTAGGCGGACTTGACTAGTTATGAGTAGTCGGCAATGGTTACATGCATCTCAGACTCTCTATTTCTTTATTAAGCCAATGTCCCAAAAGCATATTGATCACTGTATTAATTTCTTATGACCACATTCTCCAAAGGATCTTATGAGTGCTTTCAATTTCTCAACAATGGCAAAAAAATGGCCTCCGTTGCACCAAGTCCTTGCTGGCTGTACTTATACAAATATTTTTGATTCATGGTTTTTGAGGGGATGATTATCTTATGGTTGGTTACAATGGGATTCCATTCAAAATTATAAAGGTTTTTAATATTTCATTTTTTACATATTCTTTGGTTTTCCTTTTGTATGTTTGTCTCTTGAATGATATCAAGAGGTTGCACATTGACTGATGGCGGTTAGTTGGAAACAGTGGGTTCTAAAATTGACCTCATTGTTTGCATTTTTCTTCTTCTTCTTATTAGATCATGGATAAATATCTATTTAGATTTGAAATTCTGCATTTTTGAAATATATTGCGTTGGTGTTACTTGTGTACCTTATCTGTTAAAATTAGCATGATAACAAACTGTCTTATGCCACAGAAATCAGCTGGAGGAGTTTTGCTGCCCAAATCAGCCGTTAAATTTGAGCGGTATCTTATGGGAGAAGTATGCCCACTGTTTCTGTCTCGTTATGATTAATTTTTTTTGTTTTTGAAGTAACAAGTTTAATATCAGGATCTTCTAACAAGTGTTGTTATTCTCAGATTCTTTCTGTTGGTGCTGAGGTTGGGGAAGTCAAGGCTGGAAAGAAGGTGAGCAATTAAAACATTCTCAAATAATGGCAACTGTCTTCTGGTGTGAAATAATGTTGATTTGTGACATATATAGTTGCTTAGACGATAAGTTTCTGAGCTAGTGAAGTTTTTTGTTGTTTAATGGTTTATTCAAAGTAGTGATTTATGTGCTTACCGTGTCATCTGAATTTTGAAATCCTTATCCTTTTGCAGGTTCTTTTCTCGGACATAAACGCATATGAGGTAAGTACAATTAATTCAGTTGAAAATATTATACAGCTCTGATGTTAAGAGTCTAAAATAAACTTTGATGAAGGACTTCCACTGTTTTGTATGAGTATATTCCATCACATTGTTAAGCTGTGCGTTGTAACTTCTGGACACTTAAATGGCATAGAACGAACTTATTTACTTAACAATTGTCTTGTTTCATTGCTATGACATCAAAATTATCAACTATCTAATCTCGGTTGACTAGCATGATTGTCTGATACAATCATAGCTTATCTTGTGCCTGGTCCAGAGCATGCACAATTATTTTGTTGAGCATTGCTGACACAAACTTGGCACACGTTCTGTCTTGACTCCCATGAATGGCTGACTGTAAAACAAGGAGCTGACATTTTTATCTTCTTTATAAACTGAAGTCTATGTTGTGCAAATGGCCTATGGATTGTTGCATGCAATGGGTGCATATGGATGCTTGCACTATCGATTGACATTTTCTTTTACTGATAATGCATTTTTGACGTCTCAGGTGGATTTGGGAATAGATGGCAGGCACTGCTTCTGCAAAGAGAGTGAATTGCTGGCCGTAGTTGAATAAAGTTTCAGCTACGGGTAGGTACATTGTTCTACAGGATTATTTTGTGAAACTTTTCATTGTCAAGATGGTTTTTCATGCAGTGTCTCCAACTCCCAAAACTATATTGTCAGTTCAAATTTGTTAAGTACATGCTCTTTCTGCATTGATTGCATGGGTTTTGTATTATTTAATCTCCAATGTTGACACTTTAGAAATATTGGTAGGAAATTGGAAGGAGTGGGGAGAGGAAGGCAAGATTTTACAGAAGAGGGCTGTTATCTGGATTTTTAAAAACCTTCTGAGACAAAAGGTCTTCATCGTTGTATCAAATCCACGGTTGGGATTAGCTTAAAAAGTTACAGTAAAACTTAAACCGAAAACTAAAGCAGATTTGTTTGCTGTTTAGTTGGGTCAATCTGATCCAGAAAGCAACCGAAATGGAATTGGGAATCTGATTAGAGGTTTTAAAGACGTTTAACCCCTTTTCTGGTTGAATTTTCCCTGATGAATTTGTTTTAATCTGTACCATACGTACAATTTCTCCACAGCATTTTGAATGGATCAAACATCATATGATTCCGTCCAAAAGAAAAACAAATAGAAACACAGCTAATATAACGAAGCATTCATCAGCGATCCCAATATTGGGGTATTAAAATGTATAAAAATGGGCCGCTACTAAAGAGCTTATAAAAAATCTTTAAATGAAAATGAACAATAAACAGTGAAAAAGATACGAAGAATATCAAAAAAAAAAAAAAAAAAAAAAAAAAAAAAAAAAAAAAAGATGATGCGAATATATATTTATTTTATTTTATTTCTCAATAATCTTCTCTTTGAAGAGAGAAAAGTGGAGATGCAAGAGAGGGCGAAGCACTTGACAAAGACTAGAGGGCTGAAAATTTCACGATTCACAAAGACTTGAGAAAAATATAAACAATTTTGGTTAAGAACTTTTGTCTGATTAGGTATAGATCCAATTCTTCTAGGAAATTAAGTATAGATCCAGTTCTTCTAGCATTGACTGGGTTTATATTATTTGTAGTTTTCTCTGCAGCCGCAATCGGTTAACGCTGGAAATTAAGGATTTTATAAATGATCCCCAAGTCATGAGTCTAAGTACATTCTTCTCCTTGAGAAGAATTGATATATTATGGAGCTTTACAAGTTCAATACTCCAACTGTGTTTTTCTCATATTTTTGCATGCATGCTCTTATTCTTCACTCATGCCTTGGCTTGAGGATGAGTGGAAATGAGACCGATTGGCTAGCCTTGCTTGAAATCAAGGCCAGGATAACTGCAGACCCTCATGCTGTATTGACTTCATGGAATGAAACCATGCACTTTTGCACCTGGCATAGAGTTACATGCAGTCGTCGTCACCAGAGAGTCACCATGTGGAAATTTGAGTTTCTTGCGCGTGATTCATCTGGTGGGCAATAGATTCAGCCACGAAATCCCTCCCGAAATCCGTCTTCTGTGCTGACTGCACGATTTACAGTTAGCCAACAATTCACTTAGTGGTGAAATTCCCTCCAACTTATCAGCTTGCTCTGAACTCCACACAATTGATCTTGGTTACAATTCGCTGGTAGGGAGAATTCCTGACGAGCTTGGCACCTTGTCAAAGCTATTAAAAATAGCAGTTGACAACAACAACCTTACCGGAAATGTTCCTTACTCTTTTAGCAGCTTATCATCTCTTGGCTTTCAGCAACATTTAATAATTTGAATGGGAGCATTCCAGATATCTTTGGCCAAAAGACCAGTCTTTGCTATCTTGCTTTGGATGGAAATAGCTTGTAAGGTATGATCCCTCCCTCCATCTTCAACCTCTCTTCTTTAAGCCTCTTTTCTGTGTCTATAAACAAACTCCAAGGGACTTTGCCCACAAACTTAGGTATCGCCTTTCCAAGTCTGGAGTATGTAGGTCTTAATGCTAACCAATTTTCTGGACCAATTCCTGGTTCAATATCTAATGCCTCAAATCTAGTTCATCTAGCAATCTCAGAAAACCAACTACATGGAAAAGTCCCTTCCTTACACAATTTATATAGGCTTGAGCGAACAATCTTTAGTGTAAACAAAAGATTGGAGATGGGGGAATTTATTCTTGCTGCCAACAATCTTGGAGATGGGGGAAATCAGTGACTTGAGCTTTGTCTGTGGTTTGACTAATTCCACTGGTTTAAGAGTATTGAGCTTTAGTGTAAACAAATTTTGGGTATTTTACCTCACTGCATAGGTAACTCAACTTTTTCTCTCCTATTGTTGAGCAAGGTGAAACAACTATTGTTGTCAAGGTACTCAACCTGGTTCATCGTGGAGCTTTGAAAAGTTTTGCTACTGAGTGTGAGGCCTTGAAAAATATTAGACATCGCAAGGTACTCTCAGCATGTTCGGGTTTCGATCATCGTGGTTGTGATTTCAAGGCCTTATGAGTTCATGGCTAATGGGAGTTTAGAGGAATGGTTGGACAAATGAGAGACCAAGGAGATTAACTTTTTCTCAAAGGTTGAACATTGCCATGGAATTGGATTATCTACATCTTAATTGTCATACTCCAATAGTTCATTGCGACCTCAAACCCAGTAATGTGTCCTTCTCAACGAGGAAATGATTGGACATGTAGGTGACTTTGGGCTGGTACCCGAACATCTGAAATTTGTTCTGGTAATCAATCAAGCTCCACCACAGTTAAAGGAACTATTAGTTATACTGCTCCAGGCGATCGAACGTTTCTTTAAACATTCCTTAAATGTCTCAAATTCATTTAAAAGTTTGAAGAATGAAAATTATAGTTTAGAGAAGTTGATAATAAGAATTTTCTGTGTTTTGAATTTTGCTATTGAATATGGTATGGGAAATGAAGTGCGGATTCAAGATGACGTGTACAGTTATGGCGTTTCCTGTTGGAAATGTTTACAGGAAAAAGACCAACTGATGACATGTTTCAGGGAAGTTCAAACCTTCAAAACTTTGTCAAGGAAGCTCTGCCTACTAAGCAAGTGGTGCAGATTGTGGATCCCATTCTTGTTCAAGAAAAATTGGAAGGGGAGATGAGCGCGAACAATCATCTTGTGGAGGATAGCAGAAGGATTCACATCAAAATTGAAGAAAGCCTTACTTCAATTTTGGTGTTGCTTGTTCTGCGACAGTTGGACATTAGTGCTGCTATGGCTGGAATGTGCCGGATAAGAAAGATGCTTCAAGAAAGTAGAATATTTGAATAAATGCAAACTTAATTTATAATCTACATAGCATGTATGTAATATTCTCTTATATCTAGAATTACATTATTGCTGTGGATATGTATCCAGGAACATTATTGCTTTGTATTTTGGAAGGTCAAGCTTCCTAAATATTTTTACATGGTTGAAGAGTTCAAATTAGCCTGTGCAGTAGTACTAGAGAAATTACTAGTTTTATGTAATAGAAACTAGAAATTTCGGTAGGTCAAGCTTCCTAAATATTGGAGATTTTAAAATAGAAATTTCGTGGAATTGTCAATAAACTTGATAAAGACTTGATAGGCCAAAACGCTGCTTTCTTGTTATTTGACCATGCTTCACCAGTTGGATACTGAGTTCTACCTTCCATCAGCAAATATAATGACAGGACAAAAGTCAGGAAAAAACCTGTCTGATTCTAGAGGCAAGCAAGAAAGAAAGAAAAATAATTTTTCTAGCTCTTAACTGCCACCTGATGAAGTCCGGGTGTTTAGGTTACCAATTTTCTACTCATAATTTATTGCTCACGCAAGCTGTTTGACTATAAGTAGGTACCTCACTCAAGTAGCTATACACAGCCATTGCAAATTTTGTAAGCAACTAAGGTTTCAGATAAAACAGGTTTTATGGTGCTAAATGCTTTCAATTCTGCTGTGTTTCTCTCATGTTTTTGCATGCATGCTTTATTCTTTACTCATGCATTGGTTTGACACACAGCGGAAATGATACAGATCGACTGGCCTTGCTTGAAGTCAAGGCTATGATAACCCATGACCCTTTTGGAGTTCTGACTACATGGAATGAAACCAACCACTTTTGCCGTTGGCATGGAGTTACTTGTGGACGTCGTCACCAGAGGGTTACAAGGTTGGACCTGCAGTCCTTGGAACTTGCAGGCTCTATATCACCACATGTTGGAAACTTGAGTTTTTTGAGAGAGATTTATCTTCAGAACAACAGCTTGAGCAGTGAAATCCCTCAAGAAATCGGTCATCTGCGCAGATTGCAAAATCTACAATTGGATAATAATTCACTGAGTGGTGAGATTCCCTCAAACTTATCAGGTTGCTCTCAGCTCCTAATACTTTTACTTGGTTTCAATTTTCTGGTAGGAAGGATTCCCGAGGAGCTTGGCACCTTGTCAAAGCTAAGAGTACTTGCAATTCACCGAAACAACCTCACAGGAGCTGTCCCTCACACCTTAAGCAACTTATCATCTCTTGAATCCCTTTCGGCATCTTCTAATAATTTGAATGGGACTGTTCCTGATTTTTTTGGTCATATGACCAATATTACATATCTTGGTTTGAGCGAAAATACATTGTCTGGTATGATCCCTCCCTCAATCTTCAATATCTCTTCTATAAGATTCTTTTATGTGGTAGGAAACAGAATTCAAGGGACTCTGCCCTCAAACTTAGGTACTGCTTTTCCAAGACTCGAATATTTTCATATTGATAATAACCAATTCAGTGGATTTATTCCTGTTTCAATATCCAATGCCTCAAATATAGTGCAGCTTGGAATGTCAGGAAACCAACTACATGGAGCAGTCCCTTCTTTGATAAAATTATCTAGGCTTGAGAAACTAGTTCTCGGTATAAACCATCTTGGAAGTGGGGGGGTTGGTGACTTGAGCTTTTTCTGCGATTTGACTAATGCCACCAGTTTACAAGTACTGCAAATCAATAAAAATAATTTTGGAGGCATGTTACCTCAATGTACAGCTAATCTATCTTCTTCTCTTGTATTATTCTTTGTATCTGCGAATAAACTGTTTGGAAGAATCCCATACGGGATTGGAAATTTGCTTAACCTGTGGAACCTACGGCTGTCTGCAAACCAATTTTCTGGTCACATCCCCTTGATCTAGGAAAGCTTCAGAAATTATATGAATTAGATATGGCAATGAACTCTTTTGCTGGGAATGTTCCATCCTCTTTGGGAAATTTAACTCAGTTAACGAAATTATATTTGTCTTACAACAACCTTCAAGGCAATATCCCTTCGAGTTTAGCGAAGTGTCATAATTTGATGCTCTTATCTCTTGCCTATAACAATCTTAGCGGTTTCATACCCCAAGAAGTCATTGCTATGCCACCTTCATATGTTGCTCTCTACTTGCAAAACAATCGTTTTTCTGGTTCCCTTCCCCAGGAAGTGGGAAATTTAATAAACCTGGAGTATTTATCTGTTTCTGAAAACATGTTATCTGGTAAAATTCCTGCAAATCTTGGTCAGTGTGTAAGGTTAGAATATCTAGAAATGCAGAGAAACTTCTTCCAAGGGGAAATTCCATCATCTTTGAGTTCACTAAGAGGTATTATAGAAGTACATCTTTCTCAGAACAACTTGTCAGGCACAATTCCAGAATTCTTGGCGCGTTTCGAATTTCTGCAGTATTTGAATCTATCTTATAACAATTTTGAGGGCATGGTACCAATCGAAGGAGTTTTCAAGAATGCAACTGTGACATCAGTCAAAGGAAATAGTAAACTTTGTGGCGGTATACCTGAGTTTCAATTGCCAAAATGCAAACTTCCACATTCCAACAAGAGAAGATTGAGCACAACCTTGAAACTCATCATATCTCTCATTGGCGGGCTTCTTGGCATCACTTTTGCACTCACATCTCTGTACCTCTGTTGGTTTCAGCGAAAAAGAAAGGTGCATACTTCACGTGATTCAGAAAAATTCCTCAAGGTGTCATACCAAAGTCTTCTGAAGGCTACTGATGGATTCTCCTCTGCCAACTTGCTTGGTACAGGCAGTTTTGGGTCTGTCTATAAGGGGTTACTTGAGCATGGTGAAACAACTGTTGCCATCAAGGTACTCAACCTGGTTCGTTCTGGTGCTTCCAAAAGTTTCTTTGCAGAATGTGAGGCCTTGAAAAATATTAGACATCGTAATCTTGTGAAGGTACTCTCTGCATGTTCAGGTTCTGATTATCGTGGTTTTGACTTCAAGGCCTTAGTTTATGAGTTCATGGTTAATGGGAGCTTAGACGCATGGTTGCATCCAGCTCCCACAGTTGGCGAGGCAAATCAGCGATCAAGGAGTTTAACTTTTCTCAGAGGTTGAACATTGCTGTTGATGTTGCTATGGCATTGAATTATCTCCATCATCAATGTGAAGCACCAATAGTTCATTGCGACGTCAAGCCAACCAACGTTCTTCTCAATGCTGATATGATTGGACATCTAGGCGACTTTGGATTGGCAAGATTCCTTCCTAGAGCTGCTAATCAATCAAGCTCCGTTGGAGTAAAAGGAACAATTGGTTATACTCCTCCAGGTGATTACTTTCTTTAACAATTCCCTATATTTGTCTGAATATTCATTTTAATAGTTTGAAGCTTGAAAGTAGAAATAAGAATACGGTGTTTGATAAATGCAAATGCAGAGTATGGCATGGGACATGAAGTGTGGACAAAAGGTGATGCGTACAGTTATGGCATCCTCTTATTGGAAATGTTTACAGGTAAAGCACCAACCCATATCATGTTTCAAGGAACTTCGAACCTTCCTAACTTTGTCAAGGCAGCTCTGCCTCATCATGTGGTAGAGGTTCTGGATCCCATTCTTTGTCATGAAAAAGAGGACTGGGAGATGAGCACAAATAATGCTTCTTGTGAGGATAGCTTAAGGGTTCACAACAAAATGGAAGAAAGCTTGATTTCCATTTTAGAAATTGGATTTGCTTGCTCTGCGGAACTGCCGAGGGAACGACTGGACATTTGTGATGTTGTGACTGGGATGTGTCTGATTAGAAACAAACTTAGGGCATATAGAATATGTGAATAGAACCATCTTTTTTGTTATCTGCTGTATTGAATGTAATTTTTATTGCTTTCTTATGTGAAATAAGTTTTCATTAATCTTCTTAGTTTGGATTTGCATATGTTTTAGAGATTCTTCAACGCCAGCAAATCTTCCTCTCTCTGATCAGCTTAATCTTCTTAGCTGTGATTTGCATATGCTGTCAGCTCGATCATCCTCCCTCATAGTCCCAAGTTCTTCTGACAAACCCATTATTCAGTTCGTTAAAAAAATAAAAATAAAAAACTCATTAATCCCAAAACACTCCGAACATTTGATATGATGAACCACTGAATGATTTTGTATGGGCGATCCAAATGACATCGAAATCACACTGTGCTCACACGCAAAGAAAAGCACGCTAATGGTGCTAATATATTATGGGACTTTACAGCTGTGCTCACACACAATTTCTCGTCGACTTTGACATACTACAAGTTGAGCCCATTTTAAATGTGTGGATATAATTGTTGGCAGAACCATAGGAAATGTGAATTTAAATTATAATAATTCTCAACAAAATTATAATATATAACAAATTTACATGGAATTAATGTAAATTAACAAACAAAAATGTGTAGAAATGTTGACAATTTTAGCAATTGAGGTTTGCAAGAATTGCAATGTCCTAAAGATATATTTTGCCCCGGTTTTTGTGCTCGCAGTTTTATAAACGTCCATTTCTAAACATTCAACAATTGATAATCCTAAATTAAAGCACTTCAATTTAAAACTTTTACGAACCAATTCTGTATTTATACTCTGTAGACAAAATTCGGAATTTTTTTTTAACAATAGAGTACGGGGATACCAAGCACGAACCTTAGTACAGCCTCACCTAGGCACTTTTATTTTTTTACAGCCCAAAGTAAATTTTAGCCCTGCTCAGTCTTTGAAAAAAAGACGTTGCCTCTTCACACACAAAAAATAGTATTTAACATTTAAATTTTGTTTATTTTAATATAACATAAAATTACCTTATACCATTGAGTTTAACATGAAATTTTTTCGTACCGTCGAGTTTAACATGTAAATTTTGCTTACTCAACTTTCGACTCCTGGAGCCGCCACTGGCCTTGCTGCTCCTCCTCTCTTGATAATTTAGCCCCTCACAATTTGGAATCCTAGGCCATTCCTGGGGGATACTCTTTGTTTTTTACGGGTAAGAACTCTATGTATAGAACTCTCTTCATTCTATATATAGGTGAGGGTGTTTGGTTTATATAAAACTCATAACATAAGTAGCTTTTTATTTGAAACAATACCACTTGATCATTTGAATCCCACTATTTAATTATTAATAACTGTACTTTAAAGAATAATCAAGTGCAAAACAAATACTAAGACACAAACACTTATTTTCATTCACTATAGAAATTAAATATTATCAGATTACATCTGAACATGCATCGCTGTACAGCATTGAATTCCAAGAGGCTTTGGATATAAATTGGATTGTCCTCAAGCTGCTAAACAAGGCTCTGACATGGTGCAAGTGAAGCCATTGTATAGGGCTCTCAATTTTTAAGGGCCTCCAAATTTTTCTACTTTATATTATATATTAATATTATAAAAACTGTATATAAACTCCAGCATGCAGCACATTAACATAAAAATGTATTTGATAGAGCTGGTTTCTAGTGCATATCCTTTGATACAAGGTCCAAGTTTGAGTCTCAGTGATGTCAATAAATTCGTAATTTTATTCTTTTTTCATTATAGTAACAAAATAGTTTTAGAAAAGAAAGTTGAAAAAAACAAAGGGAAACATCCAACTAAACTAACACCAATATGTATCATACCCATGCGCTTTCTCCTTAAAAAAAGTACTTTCTTCCACTCAAAACAAAACAAAACATAAACATGCCTTCTTCTTTCTCTTGTATTCTTATTTTTTTTTATACCAAACATACTAAGATTTAACTTTATGAAATGAAAACATTAAAAAAATTTGTGATTGTTATTACATGATAATTGATGATGAATTTTAGTTATAAAAAAATCGTTTTATGACATTAAGTCATGAAAATTACTTTTTTAGCATTTTCATATTAAAATATGTGAGGGCTCCAGTTTAAGTTTCTCGACCAGTCTTGACTGTCAGTTGTGTTTTTCTCATCTTTGTGCATGCATGCTGTTATTCTTTATTCATCTTTTTCCTTGAGTACCGAAAGTGATGAGACGGATAGTCTGGCCTTGCTTCAAATCAAGGCTAGAATAACTGATGACCCTTTTGGATTCATGGCTTCATGGAAGGTGGTTGAGGTCTGACTGAGCGTGTAATTTGGGAGGCAAATTTCACTTTACTAATTAATCACAGTTTTTTATTATAAATTAATTAGAATATTTAAAAATTAATTTTAAATATATATTTTCAATTTTATCATAATTTTAACGGAAAAGATTACATTTGCTAACATATACAAACACATGAACTAAATTGGCCAAATTGATAAGGCGGGGATTAAATTGGCTGATGAAGTAAAACACAAGGGCCATTTTAACATTTAAGCCTTTTAGTTATCTGTCGCATTAAATGTGATTTTTATTGCTTTCTTATGTGAAAGCAATAAAAATTGGGTCTATTTGTGGAAAGCCCAATAAATTTCATATTTGTTTGATAAACAAAACCATAACTATACTGTTTAATTATTTTATAGAATTTTATTTAATATTCTTAGATTGGAATTCACATATTTTTTAGAAATGACTTAAATGCTAAAATGGTATCTGGGTTTTAGCCCGTTGGCCAATTTAGTCATAATGTTTTCAATTTGGCTAATTTGATTCTTGTGTGTTTAGCATAGTTAGTTAATGTAATCCAATCCGTTAGTACAACTCCTAAAAATAGAAAAAAAAAGAAAAAAAAAGAAACCCATTAGTCCAAAGTTGAAGTGTAGGTATAGCCCCAAGATTTGCTACTCTGGTTTACGTTATACTATGGATGGTTGCTTGGTTTGATGGATTTTTCTGTTTCGGTAAGCGTTTTTTAATCCCAGAAAACCCAAACACATAACATCATGGACATGGGCACCTCTTAGAACCATTGAATGTTTTTGTATGGCCGATCCAAACGACATCGTATTCACACTGTGCTCACACGCAAAGACAAGCGTCCCATTGCTGTCTTGCTGTCAACTTTGACAGACTAAAAGTTTGCAACTTGAGCCCATTTTCAAACGTGGATATAATCAGATTGCATGTGGATATGCACGGCTGTACAATATTGAATTCCAAGAAGCTCTGCTTATATATTGGATTGTCCTGAAGCTGCTAAACAAGGCAACCACTGCTTAGCCAAATTAAAAGTTGATGGGGATTTACAAGTTCTTTCCCTCTCTCTCAGTTGTGTTTTTCTCATCTTTGTGCATGCATGCTGTTATTCTTAACTCATGTCTTTCTTTTTCCTTGAGTACTGAAAGTGATGAGACGGATAGTCTGGCCTTGCTTCAAATCAAGGATAGTATAACTGATGACCCTTCTGGAGTCATGGCTTCATGGAACGAAACCGTCCAGTTTTGCCATTGGCGGGGTGTCACGTGTGGTCGTCGTCACCAGAGGATCACGGGGCTGAACCTGGAGTCCTTGAACCTTACAGGATCCATATCACCACATGTCGGGAATCTGAGTTTTCTGAGAGTCCTTAATCTCCAAAACAACAGCTTCAGCCATGAAATCCCACCAGAAATCGGCCGTCTGCACAGATTGCAAGATTTACTATTGAACAATAATTCACTTGGTGGTGAAATTCCCTCCAACTTGTCAGCTTGCTCACAACTACTCCAAATTGATCTCGGTCACAATTCGCTGGTAGGAAGAATTCCTGAAGAGCTTGGCACCTTGTCAAAGCTAAGAATACTTGTAATTCGCTACAACAACCTCAGAGGAAGTATCCCATACTCTTTCAGAAACTTATCAACTCTTGAGGTGCTTTCTGCATCTTCTAATTATTTGAATGGGAGCATTCCAGATATTTTCAGCCAGCTGACAAAATTAACAGAGATTCGATTCGTGGACAATTCTCTGTCTGGTATGATTCCACCCTCCATCTTCAATCTGTCTTCTCTCATAAGATTTTCTCTGCAACTAAATGAAATCCAAGGTACTTTTCCCTCAGACTTAGGTATTTTTTTCTCCAAGTCTCCAGTATTTTGATATTGCTTCTAACCAATTTAGTGGAACTATCCCAGTATCAATATCTAATGCCTCAAGTCTAGGTCATCTAGGAATGCAAGGAAACAGTCTACATGGTAAAGTCCCATCTTTGGCAAATTTGCACAAGCTTGAGAGATTTTCTCTGACCTCTAACAATCTAGGAAGTGGGGGACTTAATGATTTGAGCTTTATCTGTGATTTGACTAGAGCCACCAATTTAAAACACCTAGGCGTTAATATGAACAATTTTGGGGGTGTCTTACCTGAATGCACAGCAAACTTGTCTTCTTCTCTTGCACGGTTCTACGTAAGTGACAATAAATTAGTAGGAAGACTCCCAAATGGGATTGGAAATTTAGTTAACTTGGAGAGCCTATTTCTGTCTATGAACCAATTTTCTGGTGAAATCCCTCCTGCTCTAGGCAAGCTTCAAAACTTATATCAATTAGATTTAGCTATAAACTCTCTTTCTGGTGAAATTCCTTCCTCTTTCGGAAACTTAAGTCGATTAACTAAATTATATTTGGATGACAATAACCTTCAAGGAAATATACCTCTAAGTTTAGCAGACTGTCACAATTTGGAAATCTTGTCTGTTCCAAGAAACAATCTCAGCGGTATCATTTCCCCAAAAATCATCGGTCTATCATCTTCGTATATTTTTTTGGATTTATCTCGAAATCGTTTCACCGGTCCCTTTCCTCAGGAAGTTGGAAAACTTATAAATCTTGAGTATTTAGATATTTCCGAAAACATGTTTTCTGGTGAAATTCCATCAGGTCTTGGTAGCTGCATAAAAGTAGAAAAACTACACATGCAAGGAAACTTCTTCCAAGAAACAATTCCATTGTCTTTGGCTTCTCTAAGAGGTATTCAAGAATTAAACCTTTCTCGCAACAACTTGTCTGGAAAGATTCCAGAATTCTTGGAGAGCTTTAAACTTCTCCAATCTTTGAATCTGTCGGATAATAATTTTGAGGGCATGGTGCCAGCCAAAGGAGTTTTTACAAATGCAACTGCCACATCAGTTAGAGGAAATAGTAATCTTTGCGGGGGCCTACTTGAGTTTCATTTGCCAAAATGCAAATTCAAACAAACGAAAAAGGGAGGATTAAGCCTAACCTTGAAATTCATAATCTCTATTGGTTGTGCTCTTCTTGGAGGAACTTTTGCATTTACTTTTTTGTACCATTGTTGTGTAAGGAGGGACATAAAGGATGATAGCTCTAGTGGTTCAGAAAAATTTATACGGTTATCTTACCAAAGTCTTCTAAAAGCTACTGACGGATTCTCCTCTTCCAATTTGATCGGTGCGGGCAGTTTTGGATCCGTGTACAAAGGATCACTTGGCCAAGGTGAAACAACAATTGCTGTCAAGGTACTCAACCTTGTTCATCCTGGAGCTTCAAAAAGTTTCAAAGCTGAGTGTGAGGCCTTGAAAAACATTAGACACCGTAATCTTGTGAAGGTACTCTCTGCCTGTTCTGGTGTTGATTATCATGGTCATGACTTCAAGGCCTTAATTTACGAGTACATGGTTAATGGGAGCTTAGACGAGTGGTTGCATCCAGCTCCCACAGTTGGTGAGACAAATGAAAGCCCGAGGAGTCTAAATTTTTCTCAGAGGTTGAACATTGCTATCGATGTCGCTATGGCATTGGATTATCTACATCATCAATGTGAAACGCCAATAGTTCACTGTGACCTCAAGCCAAGCAATGTTCTTCTCAATGATGATATGATTGGACATGTTGGCGACTTTGGGGTTGGTAAGATTCCTCCTGAAATTAACTGATAGCTGTTCTGGTAATCAGTCAAGTTCCCTTGGAGTAAAAGGAACAATTGGTTACACTCCTCCAGGTGAATACTATTTAATTAATGATTTCCCAAATCTCTCATGATTCATCTGACTTAATTGTTTGAAACATGAATATTGTGTTTTGAGCACTTAGAATTTATCTGATGTTTTAGATTGTGTAAATGCAGAGTATGGTATGGGAAATGAAGTCTGGACACAAGGTGATGTGTATAGTTATGGCATCCTACTGTTGGAATTGTTTACGGGAAAAAGACCAACAGAAAAGATATTTCAAGGAAGTGTAAACCTTCATAATTTTGTCAAGACTGCTTTGCCTCATCAGGTTGAACAGATTGTGGATCCTGTTCTGGTTCAAGAAAGAGGGGAAGGGATCGTTAGCACATACAATAATCTTAATGGAGATAGTACAAGGGCTTTCATCAATATTCAAGAAAGCTTGATTGCCATTTTAGAAGTTGGTGTTGCTTGTTCTGCAGAGTTGCCAAGAGAACGGTTGGACATTCATGATGCTCTGGCAGAGATGTGTCGGATACGAAACAAACTTTGAGCTGAGTAGAACATGTGAATAAAAGCATACTGTTTATATGCTCCATAGCATGTAACACACATTCAAGAGAAACCAAATGTGGAAGAATGATTTTGTTGTATATTCACAGAACAAGAGTTACAACTTTATAATAGAATTGTTCATGACATTCCTATTCTATTTCCTACAATTATGACTAACCAAATACAAAACAAGTAAGTAAATTACTAAGAATCAATTTATAATATTGACTGCTTATTTTGTGCGATCTTCTTTAACACTCCCCTCAAGTTGGAGTGTATGTTTATGACACCCAACTTGCTGACCAATACTCCAAATTATGTTGAACTCAATGGCTTTGTGAACAAATCAGCTGGTTGATTCATGGTTCGTATGAAAGTTGTTCGTATCATCCATTCTTGAATCTTTTCACGCACTAGGTGACAATCTATCTCTATATGTTTAGTTTGTTCATGGAATACCGGATTGGAAGCAATATGCATAGCAACTTGATTGTCACAGAAGAGTATAACTGGTTGTGTGTGATTTACTCTCAAATCCTTTAAGATGTTCTTCAGCCATGTATTTGCACAACAAGTGGTAGCCATAGAACAATACTCCGCCTCTGCATTTGATCGAGATACAGTGCTTTGCTTCTTCGTTTTCCAAGAAATTGGTGCTTGGCTGAGTATAATGCAATAACCAGTCATCGACCTTTTTGTATCAGCACATCGAGCCCAATCAGCATCACAAAATGCCCGTAATTGTAATGAACCTGTGAAGGGTAAGAGAATTCTTTGTCCAAGCATTTGCTTGATGTATCTAAGAACCTTATGCGTTGCTTCAAGGTGTGGCTGCTGGGCGTATGAGAAGAATATATGATTATTTGGTCTCACACGTGGCGTTGGAATATTCCGGCGTGTGAGACACTTCCCATACATGGCGTTGGAAATTTTCTGGCATATGGGAAGAATATAAGATTATTTGGTCTCACACGTGACGTTGGAATATTCCGGCGTGTGAGACACTTCTCATACGTGACGTTGGAAATTTTCCAGGGTATGAGAAGAATATGTGATTATCAGGTCTCACATGTGGCGTTGGAATATTCCGGCATGTGAGACACTTCCCATACGTGGCGTTGGAAATTTTCTAGCGTATGGGAAGAATATGGTACTCAACATATATAATCCGTATTTCGAATAATTATAATTCTCAAATATCCAAACTAATAATAGAGATATTCACAATTTAGCGATACAAGTCTATAGTAGAATGCAACGTAATTTAATCAATGGAAATAATGTTATTTTTAAACCAACGATCATGCACATAAGCATAAATTTCATAAAGATCCTAAAACAATTTAAATAGAAATCAACACTTGTTTTCACACAAATTCCATAAAATATTGTACCCTACAATTAGAACATTATGCTTTATTTATAATCAAATAATATTAATTAATGATAAGCAACAACCTTTAAAGAAAAACCCATATTGAATCAATTAACAAATTTAAACTCAAATAACAATTAAGACTTGTTTACAAGATTATCCTACATACTTTTCGAAGGGTGAAACTACCTCGAAAGACTCACGATCAACCAACAGTCAAACTACCCAAACTTGGTCAAACGGCCCACGAGGCCCACGACCTTCAAATTCCGATCCGAAAGTTTCTATGGGTTCCACAAGGTTTAGGATACACGTCCTGCAAGTTTGGTCCAGATCGAACGGTTGGATCGCTCGCGATTGCACGACCGGACGATTATTGTAAAACACAAAATTTAAGTTATCAAATCGGAACATTCGGAGCTCCGATTCCCGATCCGCGAATTACTACACAATCCTAAGAATGTCTAGATTAACATATATTAAATTCGAAACGATCCAACGGTTCAAACCTATCGAACCCGGATGACGCACAATAGGCAAAATCCGTTTGGGGTTCAAACGTCAACCAAATTGGAATCTGAAAGTACCTACGCGCTTGTGAGGACCAAGAGATCACATCGGGACACAATGCTCTTTTTCTACAGTTCCCACGTGCCGCCAGCGCGTGGGTGTCCAAAGCGATTACGCTTCGCCGGAAATTCTCAATATTTCATCTCAAGACTCCTACCCTAGGTGTAACACCTTATTTTGGAGTCACTTTGTTCTTGGACAAACCCCAAAGAATCGACGGAAGTGGCCGGAATCGGAGGCCGAAACCTGCCAAACTCTTATCACTTATTTAACCCCCAAAACGCAGAAATTTCCCCTATATATCACAACCAGCAGCTATAACACATTGAGAAGATGAGAAAACATACCAAATTCGAAAGATTTGGTTCCCGGAATCCCCCGCACGAGCGTTGAGAAAAGTGGGTCAAAACGGATCGGATTTCTCGATTTTCCGGTGAAAAACGGTGGTACCAGCGGCTGAGATGGGGTGGGGCTGGTAGAGGAAGTCGAGCTTGACATTTTGGCACCCAGTCTCGCCGGATTTGGTGGCCGGAAGTGGCTGTGGTGGCCCAAAATCCCGGCGGGTGAATAGTAACAGGGGGGCCGTTTCTTGCGAAGGGAGAGGAAGAATGACGCAGCACAAGCAAATAAGGTTTCAAACGAAAACCTTGAGTAACAAGGAAACTGGAATCCACCAGAAATTAAGAGAAACTCTCTTTGATTAATTTGATTAAAAATCTGAACTGCCAAAAACGTTAGACGAACCCGTCTAAATACACAACTCTCAACCCTTGTAACTGCTAGGGGAGTTATTACAATAAAACTGAAAAACAGAATTAATTCGGAGACTTAACTACGTAACTCTGAAACTGAAAAAAAAACAGAATTTATTTTGGGAATTAACTATGTAACTCCGAAACGGAAAAACAGAATTTATTTGGAATTAACTTCGAACTTTGAATGCAATTTTGAAAGGCCAAACGACTCCAGAATGCCAAAATCCATTGTACGTCATAGAAAAGCTGTGAGTTTGACTCGTGGCATCGTTCCCTTTCCGAAATGGTATTTTGCTCCCTAATCGGAGCTCGGACGACAATTCTGCAAATTCCCACCACGTCCCTTTTTTGCTCAACCGCGATAAAATCTGCCATCTGTTCTACATCAGTCCTCTCCACCTCCGAAGAACTCGACCCCGAGTTATGATCTGGATAAAGAACCTCATTTTCACGGAACTCATATAAATCTGCAACATTAAAAATATTGGAAATTCCCATGGAATCCGGTAACTCAATAACATAGGCATTATCATTGATCCGTTTGAGCACTTTGTAAGGACCATATTTCTTCGGTTTAAGCTTGCTGTAAGTGCCAACTGGAAACCTCTCCTTCCTCAAAAATATCACCACAGAATCGCCTTCTTGAAACACTTTAACACGTCGATGCCTATCCGCAGCAGCTTTGTACTTAGCATTTGTTTGCTCAAGTTTCTGCTTGACCTCATCTCGAACGGCTACCACTTCCTCAGCCAAATTTTTCGCTGCCATACTGGTTTGCTGGCCTCTAGGCAGTTTCACCAAATCTACAACATGGTTAGGTATAGCAGTATAAACAATGGAAAATGGAGACTTCCCAGTAGCGCTATGGACTGCACCATTGTTTCGGCTTCTCTCCACAGACGCTTCGCACCATATTGCCCAATGTCCGGTTTGTAACCTCAGTCTGGCCATCAGTTTGGGGATGGGCAGTGCTGCTACGATTCAAAGTAGTCCCAAACAATCTCCACAAAGTGATCCAAAAATGACTCAAGAACTTGGTGTCACGATCAGATGTAATGGATGTAGGAACCCCATGCAAGCGAACAACCTCCCTGAAAAACAGTTTGGCTATATTTGATGCATCGGCAGTCTTTTTGCAGGCTATGAAATGCGCCATTTTTGAGAACCGATCAACCACCACAAATACAGAGTCCACTCCCCTTTGTGTTCGGGGCAATCCGGGGACAAAATCCATAGCAAGATCCTGCCAAATATCGTTAGGAACTGGTAATGGCATATATAATCCAGTGTTTTGTACCTGCCCCTTCGAAGTTTGACAAATGTAGCACTTGCGCACAATAGTTCCAACATCACGTTTGAGCTGTGGCCAGTAAAATCTCTCCTCCATCAATGCAATTGTTTTGTCACGGCCTAGGTGGCCACTCAACCCTCCACCATGCAAGTCCCGAATGAGCTTCTCCCTTAAAGAAGAAACTGGAATACACAGCTGGTTGCCTTTGAACAAATAACCTTCATTGAGAAAGTAATCTTCCATTGGCTCTTGATTAGTGCACTTAATCCAAATTTCCCGGAAATCATCGTCACCTGCATATAATTCCTTCAGACATTCAAACCCCACAACTTCTTGAGTCAGCGTGACTAATAATGAAGCTCTCCTACTCAGCGCATCTGCCACACGATTGGTCTTGCCGGAAGTATGCTTGATAACGAACGAAAATTTCTGCAAAAAAGTCATCCATCTAGCATGCATTTTATCAATATTTTTCTGGCTGTTAATATACTTCAACGCTTGATGATCTGTAAACAAAACAAATTCCTTCTGGATAAGATAGTGCTCCCATTGCTTCAAAGCTCGAACAACCGCATAGAACTCTTGGTCATAAGTACTCCACTTTTGACGTGCATCGCTCAACTTTTCAGAAAAGAACGCAATTGGCCGCTTGTCTTGTGAGAGCACAGCTCCGACTCCCACACCGCTGGCATCACATTCAACTTCGAAAACTTTCTCAAAGTTTGGAAGAGCTAGAACCGGTGCGGTGCAAAGCTTTTCTTTTATTTCTGCAAAGCTTCTCTCTTGCTCCTCTCCCCAGCTGAACCGGCCCTTCTTCAAACATTCTGTGATAGGTGCAGCAACGGTGCTAAAATGCTTCACAAATCTTCTGTAAAAGGTGGCCAAGCCATGGAAGCTTCGAACTTCAGAAACTGTCTTTGGAGCTGGCCAGTCAAGGATTGCCTTGATCTTCTCGTCATCTACCTGGATACCATTCTCACCAACAACAAAACCCAAGAACAATAGCTTATTTGTGCAGAAAGTACATTTTTAAGGTTCACATACAACTTATTTTCTCTCAACACATCTAAAACTTGTCTCAAATGCACAAGATGTTCTTCTTTTGTGGTACTGTAAATTAAAATGTCATCGAAATAAACAACGACAAAAGAACCAATAAATGGTCGAAGAACCTGATTCATGAGTCGCATGAAAGTGCTAGGTGCATTTGACAATCCGAATGGCATCACCAACCATTCAAATAATCCGTCCTTGCTCTTGAACGCTGTTTTCCATTCGTCTCCAGGTCGTATGCGAATCTGGTGGTATCCGCTTCGCAAATCTATCTTGGAAAACACCCTTGAGCCGCCAAGAACGTCCAGCATATCTTCTAACCGTGGAATGGGAAACCTGTACTTGACTGTTATCTTGTTGATTGCCCGGCTATCAACACACATTCGCCAAGTTTTGTCTTTCTTTGGAACCAGCAAAACAGAAACTGCGCAGGGACTCAAACTCTCCCAGATAAATCCTTTCCACAGTAATTCTTCAATCTGTTCTCTCAGGATGTCATTCTCCTTGGGGCTCATCCGATAATGGGGCAGATTCGGAAGGCTAGCTCCAGGCACCAAGTCAATTCGGTGCTGTATGTCCCGCATAGGAGGCAACTCGTTTGGCAGATTTTCAGAAAGTAGTTCCTGAAATTGATTCAAAATCTGCTGCACATCTTGTGGAATGTCACCTTCTCCTCCGCCAATTTTCAACAACCCCTTCAACACCAAGGGACAAAAACACTCCGCTTCTTTGACAGCCTCGTTCAACTCCTGCTCGCTGCGAATTAGGGTTAGGAAACTAGAACTCCTCGTCTTGGGCTCAACAGATTGCTTTGCGGGCTGTGTGGTTGCCATTGCAATTTTCGGTTGTTCCAAGAGAACAGAATTACATTATCTCGTCCCTTGAAAGTTGCATCCACATCAAATTGCCAAGGTCGCCCTAACAAAATATGGCATGCATCCATGTCAATAACATCACATAATATTTCATCTCTGTAATGCTTACCAATTGACAGTGGCACTCGGCAAGTCTCAGCTACACGAACCGAAGGGCCTTTTTTAACCCAACCTAGTGAGTAAGGGCTGACATGAGGCTCCGTAGATAGCTGCAAATACTCCACCAATTTCTTTGACACGAAATTCTCGCAACTTCCATTGTCGACGATCACATCACACACCTTGTTTTTGATTGAGCAGAGGGAACGAAAAATACTATGACGCTGCCCTTCCTCCTTTGGTGCCAAAAGAACTCTCTGCAAAACCAAGGTAATCTTCTCCATTCCTTCCTCAACTGCAAATTCAGCCCCTGCATAATCATCTTTCCCCGACTTCATCGTTTTCCTCATCTTCATCGGCTTCTTCGATAAAGTTGGCCTGCTTCCGCTCTGGACAAACATTAGAACGATGCCCTGGTTTTTGGCAACGGTAACATATGTCCGTCATGGGCTTAGCATACGGATTCTGGGACTGGTTTCGGGGCTGCCCTCTGTTGTAATTCCGGCTGCTACCTTCGTTGAAATTTTTGTTTTGGCCAACTGTTGCTGGTTTTGTCGATCCTCCAAGATTCTGCTGCTGTGCTTTCCCCTTATCTCCTGAGCCACTAGAAGCACCAGCAGTATATTCAGAGGCTTCCGTCGTGTTCCTGCGGAAGTTGGGTTGGCGTTTCTCCTTCTCCAACAATTTCAGCCTTCAATGCCATGTTAATCGCCTCCTGCAAAGTCCATATATTCTGCATACCAATTTTTTCCTGGATGGAAATCTTCAGCCCATTGTTGTACCTCGCAACCTTTTGGTTGTCAGTCTGGTTAAATGGTTTCGCTCTGCCAAACGCATGAATTCTTGGTATATTCAGAAACTGAACGGGTGCCTTGCGCACAGCCTAGGTACATACGGTAGAGAATCTGCTCATAATCTGTGGGCAAGAATCGTTCCATCATAAGCGACTTCATCTTCCGCCATGTTCGAACCCGCTGCTTTCCTTGCCTCTGCCGTAAATTTTGCAATTGATCCCACCAAACAGCCGTTGTAGCTTTAAGACGGAAAGCTACCATCTTCACCATCTTATGCTCAGGAACCTCCATAATATCGAAAAACCTCTCCACTTCTACAAGCCAATCCAAGAAGTCTTCAATCTTCAAATTTCCCCAAAAGTTAGGAATTTCTGCTTTAATCCGATAGTCGCCAAAATTCTCGTAATTACGATTACGATTACGAGGATTATTAGCCGGTGGTGGTGGTTCTTCAAGTTCTTCTTCTGACTCTGACTCACTATCCGGAATAAGTTGCCTCCTATTATCTCTTCTCTCGCCATCTCTACCTTCTCTTTGATTATCATCCCTGCCTTCTCTTCTTTCGTCATCCCTGCCTCCTCGCCTATGGTTCCCACCAAGAGCTTGCAACAACAATTCTCGCATCTCCCCAAATTGGGTGGTTAGGTTGTCGATCCGTTGGTTTTGAGCGTCCAGATCCGCTCGAGTAATTGGGGCTGGGACATCAGCTTCACGATCACCCATGATAAGACAAGAATACCAAGACGGGAGAGACCCGCTCTGATACCACTTGACGCAGCACAAGCAAATAAGGTTTCAAACGAAAACCTTGAGTAACAGGGAAACTGGAATCCACCAGAAATTAAGAGAAACTCTCTTTGATTAATTTGATTAAAAATCTGAACTGCCAAAAAACGTTAGACGAACCCGTCTAAATACACAACTCTCAACCCTTGTAACTGCTAGGGGAGTTATTACAATAAAACTGAAAAAACAGAATTAATTCGGAGACTTAACTACGTAACTCCGAAACTGAAAAAAAAACAGAATTTATTTTGGGAATTAACTATGTAACTCCGAAACGGAAAAACAGAATTTATTTGGAATTAACTTCGAACTTTGAATGCAGTTTTGAAAGGCCAAACGACTCCAGAATGCCAAAATCAATCGTACGTCACAGCAAAGCTGTGAGTTTGACTCGTGGCATCGTTCCCTTTCCAAAATGGTATTTTGCTCCCTAATCGGAGCTCGGACGACAATTCTGCAAATTCCCACCACGTCCCTTTTCTTGCTCAACCGCGATAAAATCTGTCATCTGTTCTACATCAAAGAATAAGAAAAAGAAAAACTGCCCGATTACTGTAGCACGGTACTGTATCGGTACTGTTTGCTACAGTATAAAATTTTTAAAATTACCTTTGCATCCTTTTTGTTTTCAGACTTTTTCTTCTTCGTTACAACTTGGAATTGGGCGTGCCGCATGTCTATGAGCTCGTATTGACAAGCTCTACGCAATGGTGCCACTCACTTCTCCAAAATCGTTCCGGATCAAAAAGTGACCAAATTACCCCTACTTTCAAGGGCAAAATTGGAAATTCAAATGTAATTTAATTAATTTAATTCACGAATGATTATATTTTGGGTTGGGATGTTACAAGTAGACTACATATTTTTCTTCAAAGAACTATTTGATACAGAGAGAATCAATCTATAAACTTGCATAAATATTTGGAATGAACACTATCATGTGAAGCTGGTGTCAAACAACTCTCAACACTTAGATCACCGAGCAGATGTATGAGGCATTGGTTAAATTTAAAGTAAATTTAAATCCACACTGGATCACAGCATATATGTCATTGACTTGGAATGGGTCAACTATATTTGTCCCTTGTTGGAGAATACCATACATATATGGATAGAAAGATAGCTGCAATTGTCAATAATTACTGTACGAGTTCCAACGTACAAGTTAAGTTGGAAAAAGTACATGCTGCAAGACTTTGCCTTAGTAATTTGGATTTCCAATATCTGTTACATTTCTTTGAATTTAGATTCCTCGCTCTCACAATCTCAACAACAAAATTTTCAAAATTTTCTTTTCCTGTCTCATTCAAAAGAAAAATTTAGCTTTCTCTTTTAATATCTGTTACATTTCTTTGTACGTTGGAACTTGTACAGTAATTATTGACAATTGCAGCTATCTTTCTATCCACATATGTATGGTATTCTCCAACAAGGGACAAATATAGTTGACCCATTCCAAGTCAATGACATATACTTTCCATTACTTAACACTTTTTTTTGTTGTTTTTGAGACAACCCATTCCTTAACGCTTGAATAACATATTTTGTACAAATTCTCCAGCACTAGTGGGGCCACTAGAATTTCACCAATTCAAAGCTGTGAAATTATAGAGTAGTATATAAGGAAAATACTTCCCACCTTACCATGAAAGTAGGAGCTCTTACATTCCTATCAATAGTAGTGTGATATGTGCGCATAAATTTTTCTTTTTGTATAATTTTGCTGAATTATTTATGCATATATGTCAAATTGTGATTCGCAGAAAGAAAGAGGATCTTTTAAATTATAACGAAAGAGGCAAGCAGTATCCAGAATACTGCATACAAGGGGAATGAATCCTTAACTCAAACAGTCTATAAGAGAACCACCAATTCAAATGCGAACCAAAACATTAACATCTGCAGGCCAACAAGGGGACCATATCCTAGTGATCTCCTTTTGCCAGCTGTCTAGCCAAACCCCAGATATATGTGTACCAAGACCTGTTAGTCAGTTTCCAAATCCATTCTCTGACCGCCTTCTCCACGCAAACTGCAGAGCTTAACCCATTATATATTTCAAACGTAAATAGACCGGTTTCATGCAATAAGAAGTCTTCCTAAAATTGAAGTCAATTGTTATACAAGCAATATTTGTTGTTGGCTAAAGCAAAACCTAAACCTTACCTTTTTTCGTCTAAGAGCATATCCAAGGAAGACGTCAAATATCAAACATTAAATTTTAATATGAGCAAGCTACACATTCATCAAGCAAGAGTCCACATAGTTAATTATCTCTAGGGTTTGTAAAATAATATTGCTTATAGAGAGAGAACTTTGTACAAAACTAATTATCTTTCTTTTTTGATTGAACAGATGAATTCAAAAAGTATATTTTTTCTAGAGAAGTAAAACACTGATGCAATTATGGGGTCCAATCCAACACATGGGCATCTCTATCGGACAATAATTGAAAAATCCTCTCTGGCCAGTACAAATCATGCCTTATTCTCACTGATGACTAGTTGAAAATGCCTCGACGTATGGCGTGGGTCGTGTGAACGAGCCCATAGTTGTATTATATATGCATCAACCTCCTTAATAATAACAGGTAGCAGGCAACCATTTGTAGCCGAAGTTTCAGAAAATTAAATATTATGGGGTTTGAAAAGCTCATATCAGTTCTGTTTGTCTCATATTTTTGCGTTCTGCATGTCCTCATTCTTCACTCATGCCTTGCTTTGAGGCTGAGTGGAAATGAGACAGATCGACTGGCCTTGCTTGAAATCAAGGCAAGTATCACCAATGATCCTCTTGGAGCCTTGACTTCATGGAATGAAACCAACCATTTTTGCAATTGGCGTGGTGTCACGTGTGGTCGTCGTCACAAGAGGGTCACGATTTTGGACCTGGAGTTCTTGAAACTTTCAGGCTCTCTATCACCACATGTTGGGAATATGAGTTTTCTGAGAGGAATTTATCTCAATAACAATAACTTGAGCCACAGAATTCCTCCAGAAATCGGTCGCCTGTCCAGGTTGCAAGATATAGTGTGGGAGAACAATTCACTGAGCGGTGAAATTCCCTCTAACTTATCGCATTGCTCTCGACTCTTCAGAATTGCTTTTGCTGGGAATTTTCTGGAAGGGAGGCTTCCTGCAGAGCTTGGCACTTTGTCAAAGCTAAGAACAATTTCAGTTCACTATAACAAACTCACAGGAAGTATTCCCTACACTTTTGCCAATTTATCATCTCTTGAATTGATCACAGCAGCATCTAATAATTTCTATGGTAGTATTCCAGATATTTTTGGTCGACTCACCAATTTTAAACAACTTGGTTTGAGTTTAAATAATTTGTCTGGTGTGATCCCTCCCTCACTCCTCAATCTCTCTTCTATTAGTGTCCTTGCTGTTTCAGAAAACAAAATCCAAGGAACTTTACCTCAAAACTTAGGTATTGTCTTCCCAAGTCTTGAGCATCTTAATGTTGGCAATAACCAATTTAGTGGAACAATTCCAGTTTCATTATCTAATGCCTCAAATTTAAATTATCTTGGGTTGCAAGTAAGCAATTTCGTAGGACAGGTCCCTTCTTTGAAAAATTTAAAACATCTTAACTCCTTAAATCTTGCTTACAACAATCTTGGAAGTGGGGAAATTGGTGGCGACTTGGGCTTTCTCTGTGATTTGACTAATGCCACCCGTTTACAACGACTGCTAATTGATACAAACAATTTTGGGGGAATGCTACCTCAATGCATAGCAAACTTGTCTTCTTCTCTTTTTCTCTTCCATGTCAGTACAAATAAAATAACTGGAAGCATCCCAAATGCGATCGGAAATCTGCACAACTTGGAGAGCGTATGGATGTCTGAGAACCGATTTTCAGGTCACATACCCCTTGATATAGGAAAGCTTCAGAACTTGTATGAAATAGATATTGCTTCCAACTCTCTCTCCGGAAATATTCCATCAACTTTTGGAAATTTAAGTCAATTAGGCGAATTACATTTATATAGCAACAACCTCCAAGCCAATATCCCTTCAAGTTTTGTTGGCTGTCACAATTTAAAACTCTTATTTCTTGAGGACAACCATCTCAGCGGTATCATTCCCCCACAAATCATTGCTCACTCCTCTTATCTTGGTTTGGATTTATCTCAAAATCGTTTGACTGGTTCTCTTCCCAGAGAATTAGGAAATTTGATAAATCTGGAGTATTTAAATGTTTCTCAAAACATGTTATCTGGTGACATTCCTGCAAGCCTTGGTAGTTGCATCAAAATAGAATCTCTAGACCTCCAAGGAAACTTTTTCCGAGGCACAATTCCATCATCTTTGGGTTCATTGAGAGGTATTAAAGCATTAGACCTATCTGGCAACAACTTGTCAGGCATGATTCCAGAATTCTTGGAGCGTTTCAAAGTTTTGCAACTTTTGAATCTATCTGATAACAATTTTGAGGGCATGGTTCCTATCAAAGGAGTTTTCAAGAATGCAACTGCCACATCAGTTAGAGGAAATAGTAAACTTTGCGGGGGCATACCAGAGTTTCAATTGCCAAAGTGCAAACTGCAACACTCTAACAAGAGAGGATTGAGCCCAACCATGAAATTGATAATCTCTCTAGTTTGTGCGGTTCTTGGAGTCACTTTCACACTAGCCTTTTTGTACTTCCGTTACTCACGGAGGGCGAAAAAGGATCCCACTTCAAGTGATTCAGAAAAATTTCTCACCGTGTCTTACCAAAGTCTTCTGAAATCTACTGATGGATTTTCCTCTGCCAACTTGATTGGTATGGGCAGTTTTGGGTCTGTTTATAAAGGAGTGCTTGAGAGAGCTGAAACAACAATTGCCATCAAGGTACTCAACCTGGTCCACCGCGGAGCTTATAAAAGTTTCACTGCTGAGTGTGAGGCCTTGAAAAATATTAGACACCGTAATCTTGTGAAGGTACTCTCGGCATGTTCGGGTTCCGATTATCAGGGTAATGATTTCAAGGCTTTAATTTATGAGTTCATGGTTAATGGGAGCTTGGATGAATGGCTGCATCCAACGCAAAAAATTGGTGAGATAAATGAGAGACCAAGAAGCTTAACATTTTGTGAGAGGTTGAACATTGTTATCGACGTTGCGATGGCATTGGATTATCTCCATCATCATTGTGAGACGCCAATAGTTCACTGCGACCTCAAACCTAGCAATATTCTTCTCGATGAGGATATGGTTGGACATGTAGGGGACTTCGGATTGGCAAGATTCCTAATCAAGCCGTTTGAAAACTCTTCTGGTTATCAATCAAGCTCCATTGGTGTAAAAGGAACAATTGGTTATACTCCTCCAGGTAAATAAATACTTCCCTTCTTCAGTTTTGAATTTTTTTTTCTTCTACACTATATATTTTTTAGTAGTTTGAAACATGGAAGTAGAGCTGTGGGCACTTGATTAAATATAAAATAGAGTATTGTGTTTTGAATTGTGCAAATGCAGAGTATGGTATGGGACATGAAGTGTGGACACAAGGTGATGTCTACAGTTATGGCATCCTCCTGTTGGAAATGTTTACAGGAAAAAGACCAACCGACGACATGTTTCAAGGAACTTCAAACCTTCATGGCTTTGTCAAGGAAGCTCTGCCTGAGCAAGTGATAGAAATTGTGGATCCGGTTCTTGTTCAAGAAAAAGTGGACAGGGAGATGAGCAGTGCAAACAATCGTCTTAATGAGGATAGCACAAGGGCTCACATCGAAATTGAAGAGAGCTGGATTTCAGTTTTAGAAATTGGTGTTGCTTGCTCTGCAGAGTTGCCTAGAGAGCGGTTGGATATTACTGACGCTATGGCTGAAATGTGCCGAATAAGAAACAAACTTCGAGCAAATAGAATATGCCAATAGAGCATATGTAATACTGTTTCCTTTGTATCCAGAATTTCATTACCGTCTGAAGTAAGATCTGAGAGGTCTGCTTGATTAAATAAAAGAGTTTTTCTTTCTTTTTTGATGAATGTTCCCTACATTATTTGGGGGCCATGCTAGTGGACTATTTTGTAATTGTTGGCTTCACTTGGGCCTTTTGCTTTGATTTCTATAATTTGTGTTCGGCAGGCTGATTGTAGGTTATGGATGTAACCGGAAAAATAATAAGGTAAAAAGTCATTTTTGGTCCATGTAGTTTGCCACTTTTATCATTTTGGTAATTTGGTCAATTTTGTCCATGTGGTTTTAATTTGAAGCAATTTAAGGACAATCCTCAATTTTTGTCAATTTTTTGTAACTTCTGTTAGTTCTGGAGGGGCAATTAAGTCCAAAAATTATTATTCTCTTTAAAAATAATTTAAAAAAATTAAAATAAAATGTATTAAAAATAAAATAAGAGCTAACAACAAAAGACACCCTGTTGGTTTAGGGTCATTCTCAAATTGGACCCCACAGTATCAATTTTATCAATTTACGCAATGATGTTTTGAACATCGTCCAATTTCATCCTTTTATTAAGTTGACCAGACGGTCAATCGTTAACTGCTGACGTGGCATCCATGGGACCCACCCCACCAACGCTTTGACCATTCTGCACATGCCAGTTGAAGGGCTGTTTTGGGTTTCGACAATTTAAAAAAGAAAAAGAAAAAAAGAACTGAACATCGCACCCAAAATTGGGCATGCTTTGCAAGAGCTGGAGATCGAAGAGAAAGCCCCAAATTCGTCCTCAACCTTAGTTTAGCATAAATCCTAAATTTCCATAGCTGAGAGCTCAGATCTACGATTTCGAAGAAGTGAGCTGCCCAAAAGGTGTATTCGAGTGTATTGGCTCCTTAACCCAGAAAACGAAGGAGAAATGTAGCATAAGGCGATGGTATGTTGGTGTGGTAAAAATGCGAGAATCTGAACCTCATGGACAATTTCGAATCCTGGGAGGCGATTCGTTGTGTGTGCAAAGGTAAAAGACTGGATTTGGTGCAAAATATTATATTTTGAATTGTAGCAGGTGCAAATATTAATTTACAGAGTGGGTTTTGTGCAGGGTAGAGGAGGTTGTGATTTCTGGGTTTGGTATGATGTGGAAATGTGTGAAAGGTCTAAAGTTGTGATTCCGGTGTTGCTAAAAAAGCGGGATAAGTTGGAGAATTCACTAGCAAAGGCTAGACGTAGAAAGAAGGTTCTTTGGGCAGTATTAGTGGTGTCGTGGATGCTTATTGCAATGTTTTTCTTTGGAGGGAATGGTGGGTCAGATGGACTGAAGCTGAAGACTTTGAAATTGGCATGAAATGGGGTGTTTTAGGGATGCACTGTGCTTTTGGTATGGGAAGTACTGTGCTTGTGGTGTAATGTAGTGTGCTTTTGGTTAGGGTCTGCACTCTGCCTTTGGTATGGAAAGCAGTGTGCTTTTGGTTATGTAATGGGAATGAACATTTTGTATTTTGGTTATGTAATGGGAATGGCTATGTAATCTGCATACAATGTGAAATTTTGGTAATGCAATAGCCCGTTCATTCCAATAACTTGTTTGTACAACATATGAACAAATTCATTTCCACTTGCAGCATTACAACAAAATAGGCCACAGAACAACATTTACAACCTTACAAAAGAACACAACTTGTTTTCCAAAACATAGTACCTGTTTTCCAAAAAAACAGAACATATCTTACAAAATATCACAAGCTATCTTCCTAAAATAAGGCAACTTGTCTTCCAAAATAACATAATAACCTAATCAAACCAGCTGATAAAAGGTAACCAGCTAATAAAGGTAAATTGTCTTCTGATAACAAAATAACCAAACCAGCTAATAGAACACAGACAAGTGTGCAAGACCATCATCATTCCTTGCTCAAGTCTGATGCTCCCACAACCATAGGTCGTTTCCTCAATAAAAAAAGAATTGCCAGTTGAAGCTTCAGTTGATGCAGGAGGGGCAGATCCAGTTGCAAGAGAGGCAGATACACTTGCAGGATGGGCAGATATTGAGGATAGAGCAGCTGAATCAGTTGGTGATGCATTTGAACTTCCAGCTGCAATGGTGGCCTTTCTCTTCCATTTTCCTTTATGCACAAATCTTGCAGGCTTAGCTCGCCTTATTTTTGTACTGGGACCAACTTTATTTGTTTGAGTAGTTTGCTAGGATGAGGCAACAAATAATAAACTATTAGGTGCATCATATTCCAAAAAACATTAAAATTTATAAAATTAACAATGTTCATCCTTAGATGTTTACCTCAGCCTTCCTATTTTTTATTTTTGTTTTTGTTTTTGGGGGGAGATTCCTATGACAAGTCCTTTTATTGTGACCCTTTCTTCCACATTGGCCACACCTTAGTGAGTCTTGAACTTTTGTAACAACATTGGCCTTCTTGTTGCATTCACTTGCTTCCTTCCTTCTAGCCTTTCTTGGCCTTCTAGGTTGTTTGGAGTATGAAGGAGGCACACATGGTGGTATATTAGTTCTATCCCACAACTCCATCTCATTCATAGGTAGTATGAAGTTTTCATATTCCTTGAAATATGTCTGAGTGTGATAACATGTATCCACATAATCTATTACGTTCAGGCCCCTTTTGTAATTTAACATACAACCAAGTTCTTTTCTGTTCAAATTGGGAGGGTTGTTTAATCCCCAAATTCGCAAACTGTTGGCCATCTTTCTTCTCTCTTCCTCTCACCTCCCTCTCTCTATTGCCTGACCACTTTCTAGATCTGACGCCACCAGCCCTTTCCCCTTCTTTTTCTTATTTTTCCATTTGCATGCACTAGTTTCTTGAATATATGTTTCTCCAATCTTAAGCCCCCAACGAGATCTAGAAGTTCTAGCTCAACGAGTTAGCAGCCATGGCCGTCAAGAACAGTTTTAATTCAGTTTATCTTTGGGTGAATTTAAAGTACTAAATGTGATATGAGTTAAATTTACCTGCCATCAAGCACTCTCTAAAACCTGCAAAGTCGAGTAGTGTCAATAAGAGATTCAGAAGAACAAACATGAGCCCCTTCATATAGCTGCTTAATGGTAAAGACCGGCATAACTAATAGAGAACAGAATTAGTGAGTCAATCCCATCAAAGCATAAGTGTACTCACAAAGGATGGATTGGGATGGGCTGTAGCAGTACTTGTCTGGGAGAAATTCCTCCCATGAAAACTCAAAATCCTTTTTCAACTTGAAAAATACTTGGTCAGTCTGAAATAGCTTCAAAGACTTGAAGGAAAAATAAGAGGTACACGCTTATCCCAACCAATTTTAAATTGATGCCATTAATTTCAGCATAGAAACTCACCCCTTGCTTAGCATGACCGAAAACACCAACCAAACTGCTATATCCAAAGCAACAAAAGACCACTTGCAAAATATTAAAAGAAAACATGGTTTTAAAAATAAAAATAAAAAAAGAAGAAAAAGGAAGAAAAAGCAGAAAACTGGAGAAGAAATTAGCTTGAGTATTTTATACATGCACAATCTTTTCATTAAACCAAAAAATTAGCTTGAGCAAAATCTGTACGAAAAGAAACCACTCAAGACTACCCAAATTAATGTGTTTGGGTAAAGAAAAACACTGTAAAGGCACAGGAAAAGGGCTGTTTAAATGATCCTGAAAGCAAGTGTTTCTAAAATAGAGAATAAAAATATAAAAGTTTTTGAATCTTAGATCCTTTGTTCACTTTTTGTTTCTTTTCAACATAGATATGAACCTCTTGTTTAACAAAACCAAAAACAACCACCAAACAGCTCTATCTAAAGTAGCAAAACACCACCTACAAAACATCAAAAGTAGACGTGGTTAAGAAAGAAGAGGAGAAAAAGCAAGAAAAAATCGAAAAAATTGAAGTTTTTGATTTTCCAGTCCCAAAACTGTTCAAATATGTTTTCATGTGCAGTGGTTTTATATGAGATGCTTGAACTTTGTTAGTACACTACTAAAACAAAGAAAAATCCTAGAAAACAAAAACAAACAAAGACAGCACAAAACAGAATAACATCTCTCAAATATAAATCCTTTTCGACATTGGCAATCTCACAATGCAGCCATAATAAAGTAATTAATCAAATTAATTAACAATGGTAGCAGAATTGTAGATCAATGGGCATTGACATAAGCATTGTTTTATATCAGATTTTCCAATTAACACAATATTAGTCTCTAGAGAGCTTGAATCTAGCTTAGCATAACCAAGTTGAAAAATGGTTTTATAAAGTATCTGGCTGCCGAATTTCTCCTGTTCAAAGAGGGATCTTAATAAAATTAGAACTTACAAACTAAGTGCGAATTGAGAATGGTTACATTCATATTTTCTGAGCATAGATATATTATACAGAAAGGAAAGCTGGCCAAAGAGAACTATATAAAAAGATATTTATTTAATTAAAAAATGAGGGTATAATATATATATACCTATTATCCAAAGCAGTGTGTAACTTAACAATGGTTCTTCCTCCTCAGCAGTGATGTTCCCTCTCTTCAAGTCAGCCCTTAGATAATTTAACCACCACAGTTTGTAACTCTTCCCACACCTCAGCAATCCTTCAAATCACACACAAAGACATTGATTTGTGTATATTTACAACCAAATGAAGACACATTGGGAATATATATAAAGGATCCTTTATTGTAAAAATCTTTGAAGGCTAAATATAAAAACAATTTCGAAGAAATTTGAAGAATCCATTTGCTTAATTTAAATTCGTTGTATGTCACTGGATATTGACACAAAATAAGGTATTTCTAAATCCCATTTGAAACTATATTCTTTGCTGCAGAATGCATGATCCAATATCAAGATTTTTCAACTTTTTGGCATTAAAATGAGGCAAATCAGGACTATTGCCTAAGAATATAATACAAAATCCATCATCCATTGTTCTGTTAGCCTAGTGGAATTAGTTTTCTTGGTATTAGATTGCCTATTGGCCAAGTTGTTTGATCAGGTAAAAGCTTTTCATGCCTGCCACAATGGTAAGGAATTAATCCTCATAGTCTTAGATTTGGCCTTTTGTTTTAGAAGAACAGTGACAACCACATATTTCCAAAGGCTAGTTGCAGAGAATTCTCTCAGCTTTTAGAATATTACATGTAAAGTTCTTTGTCCAGTTGAAAATTCTAAATACTTGTCTTTTGGAAAAACAAAGAGAACAAAACATTGCTTCGAACTCTGCTCTTCAGTCCAAGATAATACTAAAGCATGCCAAACTTATCAAAGAACAAATTCTTTGAGCTCCTCCAATTTACCAATGTAACTGCTCATTTTTCTAGAATTTAAGACCCTAGCCCTTACATTCAAACTCACGTAGGTTGTAAACACAAAGTATAAGATACGTCGTTGGAAACACAAAGTATTATAAAGTGATTTAGCAGATCAATGGATGTATTAATAGACCAATTACCAAAACACTCAAAAGGATTAACCAACATGCTCAGATATTGTAAACATCTAAACCTATCATCATAACAACAAATAACAATACAACAAATCATCACAGTAGCAGAATCAATTTGGGCAAGGAATCAAAGGATTCAATAGCATGCTCAGAAACCATTAGCAAGCCATTAATCCGTTAAAAAGTTGAGGGGATGCAAACCTGAAGAGAAACGATGGAAGAATTGGCAGATCGAAAATCTCTCAGAAAAAACGTTGGATAGAAGATTGAAGATGGCTGAACCAACGAATGAGCAGACGAGATGAGATGAAGACCAAACAAACGGCGAGATTCGCAAGGCGCCAGCCCAAATGGAAATCGACGGCCCCAAACGAATCCCGAAGACCGAAGTCGTGTATTCCATGGTTGCCCCCCAATCAGCCGAACGAAGTGGTTCGAAGCGATGTTTTGTGGAAACGAAAGAGTAGAGAGAGTTAGTATCCAAAGAGAGAGGGGCAAAAAGGGAACATAGGAGGAAAATTTCAGTAAAGGGCAAAACCGTCACTCCACTATTGCGAATGAACAGTCTAGGAACAGTGAATTCGTGGATTCAGTTTTAGTATATATATAATTTTTGTAACTTAAACTTGCTACATTTTTTCATAACTTTATACACATTTCAGACGGTTTTAAAACCCGCAGCATCGCGGGGGCATCTTTGCTAGTGAACTCTGGACACAAAGTGATGTGTATAGTTATGGCATCTTCCTGTTGGAATTGTTTACAAGCAAAAGACCAACAGATGGGATGTTTCAAGGAAGTGTGAACCTTCATAAATTTGTCAAGAATGCTTTTTGACTGATTAGGTTGAACAGATTGTGGATCCTGTTCTGGTTCAAGAAAATGGGGAAGGGGTCATGATAAATACTAGTAATGTGGATTGTACAAGGGCTTGCATTAAGATTCGAGAAAGCTTGATTGCCATTTTAGAAGTTTGTGTAGCTTGTTCTGCGGAGTTGCCAAGAGCACGGTTGGGACATTCGTGATGCTCTGGCAGAGATGTGTGAATAAAAGCATACTTCTATATGCTCCGTATATCATATTGTAACATGTTATACCAAAATGAACAGCCAGTAAGCATTGGACACGTGGACCAAACTGGAGCTATGGAAGCCTTCGACACCTAGCTCCGGTACCGTTTCTACCGATCGCACGATTAGGGCAACTTCACCCCCAGGGACACGTGGCAGTCCCACAATTGGAGTCCACAGTCCCACATCGAAATTCTAAACAACTTGCACACCTCCCATGACCTATAAAAGAGGACAACTATCCCAAATTTTAGTTCAATCTTATTAAATCCGCACTTACTTAAGCATCGGAGAGCCTTCGGCCGGTACCACACCAGTGCCCTAGGACTTACAGAGCGTTTGTTATCTTACAGATCGAACGCCCTATCGAGGCCCAGAGCATATCGAAGGCCCAACATCACTAAGTTGCGCGGGAAAGTGCCGAACCATTTTTCTGCGTTAACAGTTTGGCGCCGTCTGTGGGAACCGATAAGAATCGACCTACAATTCCTAAACAAACACATGGAAACCACTACAGTACCAACGTTCTTATCGGAGGATGGACTACCGTACGGCATGCCAAGCGGAGCAAGCCCCGAGCTGCACCCTAGCACTCCTTTCGGTAATCCTCCGGTGATTCAGACTACGGTCGAAGCGGACCTTTTGGCTCAAATGACTTCCCTTCGGAAGGAAATGGCCAAGCTTCAAGAAAATAACAAACTCCTCTCGTCCAAAGTAGACGAAACCCAGCGGCTGCTTAATCAGCAGGAAACGCAGAATATTCAAGCTACAGAACCTTTCCAAAGTCTGCAGACCCCCAGTCGGCAGAAGAAAGGGAAGAAGGGGGCAAAGGCAACGCCTGAGCCTTCCAAACAGCTGGTAGTCCCGGCTCCATGGGACCAGCCTCACGTACCAAAGAAGGTCTACACCAAGTGTCGCCATCGGATCAACGACAAGGGGGTCGAACGGCAGAGGTCCCCAATCAGGATCAATGCTGGCCTGCGAGAGTCACGGATGAGGGTCCTTAGAAACAAATCACCCCTTAGGAAGGTCCAAGGGTCGGAGTCGGAGGTAGAATCTGATGTTGAGTATGCCCCTCCAAGGGCACCGAATCAAACTACCATTCGGAAACTCCCACGGAGTATTCGAAGGCAAGACCACCAAGTCCGAGGAGAACTTCCGAAGACTACAGTTCTGAGGAGGTCCCAAGCTGAGAACCCGCTATCCGTCTGCTCTTCCAGAGAATTCAGAAGATGGAAGACGACCGAACCCGGTCCTAGGAACCTGACTGGGGGAAACTTCGGCCGGGACCCTTTACCGAGGGAGGTACAGCCGTTGCGCATACCGTTTTACACCGGCGTGGAAGACCCCTTGACGCAGCTTCACTATTTCTAATCGGCGGTCGGATGCAAGGGCCTCAGCGATGAGGGGCAATGCCTGTTGTTCCCATCCTCCCTTACCGAAGCTGCTTTGAATTGGTTCTACCGTCTTGAACCAGGAACGGTAGACTCGTTTGACGAACTGAAGCAGATTTTTCTCAATCACTTCATGATCTAGATGGACCGTCTGTACTCTGCCGATGATCTGTACACGGTTCAGCAGAGAGAAGACGAACCCCTACAGGAATACGCTACGTGCTTTAGTCATGAATACTCGAGGTGTCCGGAAACGGACGATAGGGCAGCCTACGGTGCATTCAAGAGTGACCTTCAGTCCGCTCACTTTCGGTATCTCGTGCACAGTAGCAACTGGCGCACATATGATGAACTAATGAAGCAGGCGGCAGTCCACGCCATGGCTGAATATTTCAACTCCAAGTCCGAGCCTTAGGCTCGACAGGAGGAATCAGAACCAAAGAGCTATCCTGGGCGGACTGAAGACTCTTTGGCAGGTCACAAGCGAAAGGACGACCGTGATAATCGGCAAGGGAGCTCGAAGAAGGGGTGTGGGAAATACGGTCGCAAGAATGGTTTTCTCTTTGATCTTTGAACAGTAAAGAGGTAAACAAAATAAAAAGTAAAATAAAAAGGGTTCCGTTCTTCCTCATGGTCCATATACAATACAACTTTGGTAAGAGTCAGTTCATCGAAATAGAAAATTTATGAAGAATTCAACTGTAATAAATTTCCTACCTTTTGTATTCCTTTTACGTTTTTTTACTTTCGAAATACGAACACGGAAATAATTGAAATATTTCTTTGATTGAAAGAGTATTCTTCATATTTATTTATTATTCATAGAATACATTACTCCACTAAAATCCAAGATAATTTCTAAATGAATATATTTTCTATTTCAATTTAAAAATTAAATTTTAAATTGAAATAGTGAAATTTAAAATAAAAAAGCTTTGACGAACGATCTATAAAAAAAAATGATACAGTTTAGTTCCTAAACTCAATTATTAGTACTTCTAGAGTCCACTTCTTCCCCATACTACTAGTGAAAGGGAAAAACGTAAAGACTACCATTAAAGCAGCAACAAATGAGGCCGTCTTGATGAACGAGCACGACCAAATCTCGAAACCAAACCGAAAGCCCAATCAGCAGGACAATCGGATACCGGCAAATTCTGCTGATATCACCAGCAGAACAGCCACAACATCGAAGACTGCATTAGTCTGAGGAAAATCGTTGAACGCCTGATTCGGGAAGGAAAGCTGGATCAATACATTGCCAGACAACCGCAGGCACCAGCCCCAAACGCGAATTGGCAGATCAACATGATCAGCACCATCAGCGGAGGCCCCACTTTGGCGAGACCCTCTAACCGATCGATGAAACAATATGTGTGTGCCGCTCACTACCCTCAAGTCTTCGACATAGAAGCCGATCGGCACCGCAAGGACCCACAGGTGGGTTGGGAGCCCATCACATTTTGCGAAGAAGAGGAAGAAGGGATCATTTAACCCCACGATGACCCGATGATCATTCATGCCGAAATCGCCGATTACGATGTAGGTTGGGTACTGATTGACACTAGAAGTTCGGTAAATGTGATTTTTGCTGATGCCTTCGGAGGATTGGGGATTGCCACAGCATGGTAAATCGGCAAATAACGCCTCTACTCAGTTTTTCTGGGGATCTGGTCCAGCCAGTCGGCAGTATCAGTCTGCCCATCGCGTTCGGCGTTGCCCCTAGAATAACGATGACCTACGACCAATTTCTCATCTTCGACTGCACAACGGCATACAACGTCATCGTAAGACGGACGACACTCACTAGGGTCAAAGCCCACTTGTCCCCCCCACATGTTGCTGATGAAATTCCCTACCCACAACGGTACTGGCGTTATCCGAGGAGACCAGCTCAGCGTAGGCCTCATCATTTGGCCCGCGGGCTCATGGGCCGATGGGGGCCCGCCCGGCCCATTGGAAAAAAGCCCGGCCCGGCCCGTTATGGGCTTTGAGATGGCCCGGCCCGCCTTGGGCCGGGCTAGGCTTGGGCTTGGGTGTCTGAAGCCCGGCCCGGCCCATAGGCCCGGCCCGATTAAGCCCAAGAAAGCCCGGCCCGCCCACCCACAAAAGCCCGGCCCGTTAGGCCCGCATACATATATAATTATGTATAAATAAGAGTTTAGGATTAGGATTATATCACTTAAATCACATATATAATTTGTTTCATTTCATTTACTTTTCTTTACTCATTCCTAGTTTATAATTGGATGATTAGCACATTAATTTGTGTCAATTATTAATACAACAATATATATATATATATAAATAAGATGAACAATATATCATATCACTAAATATAATCATATCACGAAACATAATCGTACTACTACCACAAATATAATCATGTTTTTCTTGAACACATCACCAAACATTTACATATTTATTTATACCGTCCTTTAAAAAAAATATCTTTTTGATACTTATTATTTTTAAAATTATTTCTTAAAACGTATTACGGTCTAATTATGTAATAACCTCAAAAATAATACTTTGTTTTATTATTTTTGTGGAAAATCTTATTAAGTTGTGTGACTTTATTGGGTATTTTATGAATTTGGTTTGATGTGAAAATATTGGAATTAAGTGAGTTTAATCTCAAATTTAGACTAAAATGCCCTTATGATTAAGTTTATGATTTTTTTCGAATGAAGTAGGCCCGTTTCGGCCCGGCCCGTTGGGCTTAGCCCAGCCCGGCCCAATGGGCTTTCTCAAGCCCGACTTATGGGTCGGGCTTGGGCTTTGAATTTTCTAAAAAAACCCGGCCCGGCCCGATATTTTCTCTCTCCTCTTTAAAGCCCGGCCCGGCCCGGCCCAAGCCCGTTAAATTTGGGCCGGGCTAGCCCGGCCCGGCCCATTGACGAGCCCTAGCTCAGCGTACGGAAGTGCTATGCGACCGCTCTGAAATCGGTAGCTTGCAAGTCTTCAATGGAGGCTATGTCTATGCAGGGACTACCAAATGGTAGCGGGCCTATAGACGACCCAAGAGAGGAAACGCCAACGCCGGTAGTGCATCCTGCCGAAGAACTCAAAATAGTAATCCTGAATGAGGAATATCCCGATCGATGTGTAAAGATCGGCACCACCCTAGATCCCGACCTACGAATGCAATTCATTGACTTCTTGCGGCATCAGGAGGAGGTCTTCGCCTGGTTTTACGATGATATGCCCGACATATCACCTGACGTCATCAGCCACAAGCTTAGCATCTCCCCCGTCTATAAACCAGTCAGACAGAAGCGCCGTTCGTATGATGCCGAACGGTATGAGGCTATACGTATCGAAGTTGACAAGCTTAAAGCCATCGGCTTTATCAGGGAGGCTACGTACCTTATCTGGCTTGCCAACTTAGTCATGGTTCGGAAGACCAAGGGGGGATGACGAATGTGTCAAGACTATACCGCCCTGAATAAGGACTGTCCAAAGGATAGCTTCCCATTGCCGAGGATCGACCAGCTCGTTGACGTAACCGCTGGACACGAGCTGCTCAGCTTCATGGACGCCTATTCAGGGTACAACCAGATTTTCATGGACCCTGCCGATAGCGAGCATACGGTATTCATCACCGACCGCGGGTTGTACTGTTACAATGTCATGCCTTTCGGCTTGAAGAATGCGAGCGCAACGTATCAATGGCTCGTCAATCGAATTTTGCTAAACACATCGGTGACATTATGGAGGTGTATGTCGACGACATGTTGGTGAAAAACTGAACGGCAAGGGGGCATCTGGGAAAACTTAGCCCTCATGTTCGGTATACTGAAAGACTACTGAATGAGGTTGAACCCAACGAAGTGCGCCTTCGGTGTATCTTCGGGGAAATTTCACGGATTCATGATCAGCCAAAGAGGAATCGAAGCCAATCCTGAGAAAATCAAAGCCATAATCGACATGAAGACGCCGAAGACGCAGAAAGACATTCAAAGCCTTACCAGACATGTTGATGCCTTAACGCGCTTCATCTCCAGGGCCACCGATAAATGTGTACCATTCTTCAAAGCCTTGAAATGGGGCAAACATCATATCGCGTGGACTCCCGAATGCGACCAAGCATTTCAAGACTTGAAGAACTACATGAGCAAGGCACCACTATTGTCAAAACCGCTTCCTGGAGAAGTTCTCCTCCTCTACCTTTCGGTATCCAGCACTGCTGTTAGCTCGGTATTAATACGGAAGCCAGAGAAGGCAGAGCTACCAATCTTTTATGTCAGTAAGGCGCTTCAAAGCGCGGAGCTTCGATACCCACCCTTGGAACAGCTAGCACTAGCCCTTGTTGTCTCCGCCCATACTTCCAAGCACACGAGATCACGGTTCTGACCAATCAGCCCCTTGGCAGATACTTCAAAACAAAAAACGTCTAGCCGATTGGTGAAATGGGCGATCGAGCTGGGAGAATTTGACATACAGTTCAAGCCGAGGCCTGCAGAGAAGGGTCAGGCCGTCGCCGACTTCATCTCCGAGCTCATACCTTCTGCACCATTGGAAACATCCTTTCCGAACGCTGTTATTGCAGAACCAGGAAAAATGGATGCCGAGCGCTTTGATCCTTCTGTCCCTCTATGGATCCTGCATGTTGACGGCTCGGCAAATCAGCAAGGCTGTGAAGCTGGCTTAGTGTTAACTACTCCAGACGGAAGCAAAGTCGAATATGCCATCTGATTCAACTTCAGAGCCTTAACAACGAGGCAGAGTATGAGGCTCTCTTGGCTGGCTCATAGTGAATCAAATAACGGCAGACTTCGCAGCGAAGGATGCCTCCATGTCCGCCTACCTATCGGCAGCCCACTAACTCCTACAAAAGTTCTAGGCCTACGATATTCGGCAGATCCCAGGTCAGAAAAACAGTCACGCCGATGCACTCTCGTGTTTAGCTTCGGCAATAAACGATAGGATCGGAAGGAGGGTGCTAGTGGAGATATTATCCCAGCCAAGCACGAGAACTGCTGAAGTCCCTAGCTCGTACGGTACGAGGGCACATGGATGTCTCCAATTTATGCTTTCCTAACGAACGGAACCCTACCCACCGATAAGTCCCTAGCTCGGAAGCTACGGTACCATCGGCAACATACACAGTCATCGACAATGTTCTGTACAAGCGAGGCTACACCACGCCGTATCTAAAATGCCTCACCAAAGGGCAGGGGGACTATGTCCTTTGGGAAGTCCACTGCGGGGTCTGCAGTGACCATCCAAGGTCCCGGTCGCTGGAAGTCTTCCCGCAGGGTAATTTCTGGCCGACCTTACACCAAGATGCAAACGTGTTAGTCAAGAAGTGCGACAAATGCCAACGGTTCGGTAGTGTCCCTCACCTAGGGGGACTAGACTTGATCGGCCCGATGCCTCAAGGCAAGGGCCAGGTCAAATATGCTGTTGTTGCCGTAGACTACTTCACCAAGTGGGTAGGAGCCAAAGCCTTAGCAACGATAACGGCAGCCAATATGGAAGATTTCATCTGGATGAACATTTGCTGCCGATTCGAAATCCCCTACACCATCATCACCGAAAACGGCAGGCAATTCGATTCGGAAGCCTTTAGGCAGTTCTGCACTCGCCTCAAGATCAATCTGTTCTTCGTTTTGCCAGCTCACCCCCAATCGAACGGTCAAGTCGAGGCAATGAACAAAATAGTCAAGAAGCTATTGAAACGGCAACTTGACAAGGCCAAAGGAGCCTGGCCGGAGAATCTTCCAGAAGCATTATGGGCCATTCGGACATCCTACCAAACGGCCATCGGGGAAACACCGTTTCTCCATGGCCTTTGGCTCGGAAGCGGTAGTCCTAGTAGAAATCGGAGAACCTTTCTACCGAACGGAAACTTTCGCCCCAAAGACGAATGAGGAGGCACTCGCCTTAAGCGTCGACCTGATCGAAGAACGTCAAGCGCAAGCCAACCTTCGGAATGAAGCTTACAAACAGCGCGTCTCTTGGTATTACGACTCCAGGGTCAGATCCCGATCTTTCCGAGTCGGAGATTGGGTCATGCGAAAAGTCTCTTTGCCAACTAAGAATCCCACGAAAAGAACCCTCGGACCTTCTTGGGAAGGGACCTTACGAGATCATCGACATCCAGCGATCGGGGACTTATCGACTCAGAGACTCCAACGGAAAGACCCTCGGTCATCCTTGGAACGTAGAGCACTTGAAATTATTTTAAATGAAGTCACCTAGCCTACGGCATGATGAAAATGTAGTTCAGAAAGCCTTCGGCTTATTCTTACTCACAGCCTTCGGCAGTATCGAGTTCCCTAGCCTATGGCAGGTTTTCAATTGTAAAACAAACTCCAAATGTATCTTTGCCTTCGGCAATCATTAATGAAAAGGCCTTCGGCCCATATATTCACAACCTTGGGTGTGTTAATTTAAAAGATGCGGTAGAGACCATCGGTCGCAGTATACTACATTTTTAAATCCTTTATTAGCCTTCGGCAATTAAGGTACCATGGTATTCTTTCCTACCGATCAAAGGTTAACTTGTCTTTTACTAAGCCTGTTAACGATTGGAAGATCACCTTATTTAGCCCTCGGCACTTTAAAGGTTCACTTCAGAGTTATTCTGTTACTGGCCCTTGGCAGTAAAATGTTAAAGCCCTAAGTTGCTTACCAATTCAAGGATCACTCAATTTGAGCTTTTACTAGCCTTCGACAGTTAAATCAGTCATTTAGCTTTCGGCAATTATGTTGATTAGTTTTCAACTTTCTACCAATTAAAGTTGCGCTTGGAAGTTAGCTTGTTATTGGCCTACGGCTGATAAACTTTTATCTAGCCCTCGGCATTAAAAAGTTCCTAAGACAAGTTAAAGCAGAAACATGCCGAAAGTGAAACTACTTTGACAATCAAATTAGAAAATTAAAACTGCTTGAATTAAAAGATGCCCTCGGCATCAAAGTGTTCAGAAAACATTGCCTTATGGCAGTTACATGAAATAAAACTTAAACAAGGCTCAAGCGACAGTCTCCTCCTCGGCACCAGGGGCAACAGGCTCTTTCGGAGCGTCCTCCCCTTCGTACTCTTCTATCATCTCTTAGAGCTCAACCAGATTTAGTTGAAAATGAGAAAAAGCTTTTGGAGAAGATTAACATTCTGTGCTTGATGGAAACTATCTTCAACAGGCCATCTGAAGGTAGGACTATACCTTTGAGTATCATTGCAGAGTGTACGAGACTTTCTATCAAGCAGCGGCCTCCTCGGCATCGGCAGTGGCCTCCTCGGCATCGGCAGCAGCCTCCTCGGCATCGGCAGTGGCCTCCTCGGCATCGGCAGCAGCCTCCTCGGCAACGGGCTCTTCCGAAGCGTCCTCCCCTTCGTAATCTTCTATCATCCCTTCCGTGATTCCTTCGGGAAGGGGAGGAGGATTGGCAATAAAATTCAAGTTCAACTTCTGCCTAGGGCTGTAACGCTTGAAACGGTAAACCAGGTCCGCCATTTCCGAGCCCACCTCCTTGTCCAGCAAGGTAGAGAACTCATACGAGTGACAGTACCTCCGGATTGCCTCCTGGACTGCAGCCTCAATCTCCGAAGCCTTGGCCGCTCCAACTCCTCAAAAGCCACCTGGACCGCCTCATTCGCCTCCAGAGCCTCATTTGCCGTTAGCTGTGTCGACTTCATAAACCTTGACCTGCCGTTCGGCAGCCTGTATGTCTTTCGCCAAATTCGCATGAGCTTGGATAGCCTTGCCAACCTTGCCAGCCTTGGCAACCCTGGCCCTGCCGTCTTCATAAGCCTTCTTCGCCTTTTCGGCGGCATTGATGGCTCGCTTGACTCAAAGCCACATGTCCATTGAAGCCTGGGAAAATGTTAGACAAGGCCGGAAGCAAAAGGTAAAATAAACTGAGAATGGTTAGCGCTTACCGAAGCTTGAAGACGGAAGGCACGGCCAGCCTCCTCCTGAAGGAGCTTCTTCGGCAGGTCCTCAATCTCAGACAGCTCCATTTGCGAACCGAGAATCATGTGGTTCGCAAATTGGACCGTCTTCGATGGACAAGCCAAAGTGACGGGTTCGACAGACGCATTGTCGTCTTCAGCAGCGAAGATGGCCCGAGCAGACTCAGTTTACCGCCCGCACTTTGGGGCGGGATCGGCATCCAGATCGACGGTGAATAGCGCTTGCCAGCTGCTTTGGAGGAGGTGCCCTCAGCAGGCACACCTCGGCTAGGAGACGGATCGACTGCTGTCGCTTCGGCCTGCGCCGAGCCAGCATTGAGCTGACGAAGACGGTCGGCAATGGTTTGGTCTTCGGGGTCGACTCTCCCGAGGACGCTGGTACCGCTTCCGGCTCTTCTTTTTCTTCCCTTGGAGGCCAAGCATAAGGCGCCGCTTAGAGGACTCGTCATCCTCTTTGCCTCGGCAGCCCTTCTCTCTTCCGTCACTACAAAATCAAGATCGGTAAGAATTCTCATTGTGGCAATAAGCTGAGTCATAATGGACAAGTACACTTACTCTCGGCAGAGTTGACGAGTTGAGCCTTGATGAGATTGGCAGTGAAGAGGAACTTCGAGTACACTCTCTCCACGGCAGGGACCTTCAGCCTCACCTTGTTGATCTGCCAGATCTCCGCTTGGGTGGCGCTCGGCTGCTTCAACTTGCCTGCACAAAAAGGGAAACGGAATTAAAACTCCTAAGAGACGCTTACACACTAGAAGACCTACCGAATGGTACGATGGCCTACCGGCTATTTGGAAGGTGGTGGGGATGTGGAAAAGGACGGGATGTCCCGATGGTGATTCCCAATCACCGGACAAAAGCACCTGTCGTTTCCTCCAAGTCTTCTGGGAGGTTGACACGGCACTGACAAAATGGTCGCGCTCAATAGCCTTCAGGCAGTTAGCCTAAACCCAACCCCGTGTTCGGCAGACTTCAACTTGGTGACACTGTACAGGTGGAGAACTGTTCGTACGAAGGTGCTCCCTCGCCGGCCATGCCGAAGGCCGTGACCACTCCCATTAACGCCACCCAAAAGTTGGGGTTGAATTGGCCGGGAGCATAGCCGATCTGTGCCAAGATCCTCTGAACGGCAGGCTGCAGCGGAAGCCTTATCCCTTGCAGAAGTACGTCCGTGAAGAAGACGACTTCACCCTCCTTCGGCCTACTTAGAGATTCGGTGGTCGTAGGGATCCTCATCCCTACCGAATCTAGTATGAAATACTCGGCGCGATATTTCACGATCTCCCGCTCGGTAATCCTATTGGGCTCCAGGTAGTCTATGCCAAATAGGTGCTCTTTTGGAACTCCCATCGGCACCCTAGGATTGCTAGGAAAAACTACCGGTACCCTCGGCCGAGAAGATGGTTCGGCGGCTGACTCTTCACGGCCGGAAGTGGAGGTCTCTGACTAGCGACCAGCGCTCGTCTCCCCAGGCATAGCTAGACCAACGTGGTGATCGTCGCTATAGACAATAGGCAACGGTACCGGTGCAATCATTAGCCCCTTCCCGATGCCATGTAAAGGAATGGAGCTATGGCCTTCACGAGTATCTCAACATCGGTGTCGCTTCCGTCCTTGGCATCGGGGCCTACCGCATCGCTGTCGGAGTCAAAAAGATCGTCTGATGACTCCCCATCGAACGCATTGGGATCACGCTCGAAAAATGACTCGCTATCAGACATCTACAAAAACAAGGAAAAATGAAACTAAGGCTCATGCTGGATACTAGCCTACCGATCCCTACATCACTACCTATGGCGACTAGACTACCGAACGGAACCCTATGGTCAGTCTAGTTCAAGCCAAGGAAGGACGTAATGCCAGTTAAGGAAGAGAGTAAATTAAGGGTGTCGAACGGTACCTTAAATCAAGCTCTGGAAGAAGACCACGAGCTATGCTACCGATCGCCTTGACGAAGGCCTTTCTGGCCGTTCGCAATGCCGGAAATCGCTCGATTACTGTTAGCCCGCGTCGAAAATCGCTTCGAATGCCGGAAGCTCTCATCGAAAATCGCCTCAACAAAGCTCTCACTTCTCACAAATGCAAAGTGAATTCCTCCCCGAAGTCACCCCTATTTATAGGGCGAGGGTTCGCAACGGTACACCTCGAAAAACCAAACGGCGCATTAATACGCCGCGCCTCATGATTACTCTCGCCACGTGTCGCTCATCCTATGGGGGACTGACTTCACGCGAGTCACGGAAGACGAAGCGCCCCAGACGTCTCTTCACACGTCAACTCGACGCGACCTTCTGACTTCCCCGACGTTAGCCTCCGAATGAACATGAACGGAAGGGCCAAAGTTGAGCCCCTCCACCAGCTGGATTACCGAACAGTAGGACAACATTTCCTGCCGAAGACAATTTCAAGTCCCCTTCCGAGAACTCTCGCAAGAGAACTTGGGGGACTCCTGTTTATACGAAAATGAACAGCCAGTAAGCATCGGACACGTAGACCAAACTGGAGCTATGGAAGTCTTCGGCACCTAGCTTCCGTACCGTTCCTACCGATCGCACGATTAGGGCAACTTCACCCCATGGACACGTGGCAGTCCCACAATTGGAGTCCACAGTCCCACATCGAAATTCTAAACAACTTGCACACCTCCCAAGACCTATAAAAGAGGACAACTATCCCAAATTGGAGGTAATCAATCAGAACTTACGGCATACTGCCTATTGATCTGTAGTTCAATCTTACTAAATCCGTACTTACTTAAGCATCGGAGAGCCTTAGGCCAGTACCACACCAGTACCCTAGGTCTTACCGAGCATTTGTTATCTTGCAGATCGAACGCCCCATCGAGGCCCAGAGCATACCGAAGCCCCAACATCACTAAGTTGCGCGCGGGAAAGTGCCGAATCATTTTTCTGCGTCAACATAACACACATTGTTTCCTTATTTCAAAAATCACATTATTGCTTTGCATCTAATCCAAATTTGGGAGTCTTAGAGGAGTGCAGAAATGAAATGAATAGGCTTTCATATTTGTTTGATCAGTTAAGTGTAGTTAATGTGTTGTCCAGCACACTTGAATTGATTTACTCTAAAAAATGCGAGGCTTGCTAGTTCATAATCATGCTGCTGTTTACCTAGAGAGTTTAGAAATACACGGCGGATCCAGGATTCTTGGGCCAAGGAGTCACAGTGTAAAAGCTTTGAAATTTTTAGAAGAAAATAACACCAGAAAAACAAAAAAAATAATACTTTCCATCCAAACTTCAATTGTACACGACGAGTTTTCTTTTAAAAACATTGCATTATAGCTTCATAAATCATTTATTTTTACAGTCCCGATCTCTTGGACTACAAAGGTCCAAGAGATTTGTGGTCACTTATCGTTGGATGTAAATTCAACGGTTCATTCACTCTTACACTCCTTTTAATAAACTTTTTGAACCGTTATATTAACATCCATGGTGGGTGACCACAATCTTTTGGACCCCTGTGGTCCAAGAGATCAGGGCTATTATTTTTTAATAATTTTAGGCACTTTTGTTAATGTCTCTTCTAAAAAAGAATATCATTTTTTATAAAGAATAAAATATAATGTATAGAGACTACAATTATCTTTAAAAAAATTTAAAATGAAACAAGCCCAACCTCCTACTTTGAAAAAGAAAATTATAAAAAACAAAAAACACTACCTCCCACTTTCTTTTTCACAGTTTCACTCTCTGCAACATCCACCCCAATCCTCTCTTCCGTACCTTCTCAACTTTTATAATATATATATATATATATATATCACTACGTATAATATAAGGGGAATGCTAGCAACCTTCTCTCTAACTTTCTCCCTTTTTGCTTGATATGTGTTATTCTCTTTACACTACGTCATTAATATATTATACAGGCAACTTTTGCTTTCCAAGTTTACCCTTATTAAATATATTCAATTGAATAATGCTACTCTTACCACATATTATACCATCTTATGTGGCAGCTGAGGTGGACAGCCACATCAATTCAAATTATTTAATATTTCTTTTCTTTTATGATTTATTCCGGTACTTGTTTTTCTAATTGCCTAATTAAAATACACTTTATGATTTAATTGATGTGGCATATAATATGGACATGCCACATCATGTGGTATAGAAATGTGGGATAAAAATGTGGTAAGTGTAGCATTACTCTATTCAATTTATTCAAAAAATATTCACAACTTTCTTACCATCTTATTAAAAACAATATCATTAATTAAATTCATACGCCTATCTAAATGGAATTTCATTTCACTAAAGTCTATGTCTTCATAAATAAAGCTTGCACTCTTAAACATATTAGTGTTATCTTGACTCAGACCATCAACATCTTCTTCGGGCAAATTCAAGTCAATCTAGACTCCCATGGACACCTAACAATATAGGCTTGAGATAAAATATATAGAAGCAAAATAAAAAAATCACCAAAATCGAATTCAATATGAAAACGTAAATATATTACAGTTTAGATTAACAAAAGAAAAGCGAAAGAAATAACCATCAACCTAAGAAAACACTTCCAAAAGATATCAATTTTCAGCACAATATACATCAGAAATGAAAAAACCATACCTTTGACCAAGACTTGGAGCAAGAGAAGTTGAAGAAAACGCTTTAGCTATTGTGGTTGAGCCTGAGAGTTGAAAAGGCAGGAGCATAGATAAAGCAAAGAGAAGATGATTTAGCTTCAACCAAGGGCAAATATGGAAATATAATTATTGGTTTTTCTGTAATTAATAGCATTGTTTTATGTGTAAGGGGGTGACACATGTCAAGCAAAAAAGGAGAAGGTCCAAAGGAGAATATTAGAAAGAAAGTTGCAAGCACTCATATAACATGTTTGCTGTTGTTGGCGTGCCTACATTCCTCTTCCCATTCCCTGCCACTTAAACTTTTGTTACTTTTAATACTTCTAATATTATATTTTTATGTTGTTTTCAAAGCCTCACACACTAAATAAATCAATTGTTGTATATTAATAGGTCATTTGCTCAATGTGAAAAACAAGACTTTTTTCATACTCTACACCAATGTCAGCAACCCCAAGTGACCTAAATGTCTTCAATTTCAACCACTCATTTAATGCAACATGACTTCCTCCAAAAGCCAAACCAAAACCAAAACTTGCTGCCCCATTTACTACACGGTCCTACATGGGAATTTTACCAATCTCAACAGTTTGCAACACAAATTCCCTTTGATCTACTCTGCCTTGCCTTTCCTTTTCTCTATCTCTATCCAAAATTAAAACTCACCCACCCATTACCATCGATGGAACTCATCAACCCACCTCTCTCTCTCTCTCTCTCTCTCTCTCTCTCTCTCTCTCTCTCTCTTTTGGGGACTTTCGTCGAGCACGTTCAGTGCACCCAACGGGTCAACAAGCTGCTAGCCAAGGGGTCTGTAACTGCTCGCCTAAGACCTCCACAGCCAAACGCCGGCATCCCAAGCGGTCAATTGACACCTCTTGTCCCTTGGTGCATCCGCCCCACCATTCCTCAACGGTTTTTTTTGCATTTTTTCATCCATTCCTTAGCCTCCCCGATTAGGTTTTAGTGGCAAGGAGTCCACCATACTCAAATAAAAATAGACCAGTATCATGCAATAAGAAGTCTTCTTAAATTTAAGGGCTTATTCAATATAGATCCCTACATTTTCTATTTCCTAGACATATACCCATTACTATATAAAGTTATGTGTAAAACCCAATTTCAAACTTAAATGACCAGTAGGATATAAGAGCTCATAGTATTTCTATGTTTTCACATCGTTGCCGCTAGACTTCATATTTTATATATAATTTATTTCAATCATTTCATTAACTGCCATAATTGTAATTAATACTCCTTATTAATAGCATATTAATCACCCCATTTCTTTTGGTTGCCATTCCCTCTAACATATTGCCCCCTAAAATCGCAAAAAAAATAAAAAAAATAAAAAAAATTTGTAAATTACATATCCAATAATGTGCCTATGAAAAATATAAATATAAATATATACGTATAAAAATATAGGTGTATTGTTTACCAAAAAAATTAAAAAAAGATTAAAAAAACTAGATCAGTTACTTTGTTCGCCCTCCTGCCTGGGCTAGTCCTTGGTGGTGGAAGTGCTCTTAGTTTTTATTCGCTTTTAAAATTACCTGTACTTTTTTCAAGATAGATTTTGAATATATATTGCTTTTGAATGCAAACCATGCTGTATTCTCACTGATTGACTTTTTCACCATGCCTCAACGTATGAAGTGGGTGGGTGGTGGCTATGGGTCAAAAGTTGTCGTATGCACCATGCTGCTTAATATATAATAACAAGTATAGCAACCATTTTGTACCCAAAGTTTCAGAAAATTAAACACCATGGACTTTAACAAGCTCATATCAGTTCTGTTTTTCTCATATAATTTTTGCATTCATGTCCTCATTCTTCACTCGTGCCTTGCTTTGAGACGGAGTGGAAATGAGACAGATAAGCTGGCCTTGCTTGAAATCAAGTCCAGGATAACTGATGACCCTTTTGGAGTCTTGACTTCATGGAACGAGACCAACCACTTTTGCCAGTGGCATGGTGTCACATGCGGTCGGCGCCACCAGAGGGTCACGAGTTTGAACCTGAATTCCTCGAAACTTGCAGGCTCAATCTCACCGCATGTTGGGAATTTGAGTTTCTTGAGAGTGATTCGTTTCCATAACAACAGCTTCAGGTATCAAATCCCTCCAGAAATCAGCCGTCTGCGCAGATTGAAAGATTTAGTCTTGGCGAATAATTCACTTGGTGGAGAAATTCCCACCAACTTATCAGCTTGCTCCCAACTCCTTAGGATTTCTTGTGGCTTCAACTTGTTAGTAGGAAGCATTCCAGAGGAGCTTGGCACTTTGTCAAAGCTAAGAGTGCTTTCATTTACAAGAACAGCCTTACAGGAAGTATCCCAAACTCTTTTAGCAACTTATCATCTCTTGTTACTCTTGAATTATCAATAAATAATTTGAAGGGGAGTATTCCAGATATTTTTGGTCAACTGACCAATTTTAAGTATTTTGTTGCGGATGGAAATAGGCTGTCTGGTATTATCCCTCCCTCATTCTTCAATCTTTCTTCTATCCTACAGCTTGCAATTGCAAACAACAAAATCCAAGGGACTTTGCCTTTAAACTTAGGTAGTGCCTTGCCAAATCTCATTTATTTTGGTATTGATAACAACAAGTTTAGTGGACCTATTCCTGCTTCAGTATCTAATGCCTCAAACCTATATCATCTGGGACTGTTAGCAAATCAACTACATGGAGAAGTCCCTTCTCTGAAAAAATTGCACCTGCTTGAGCGTTTAGTTCTTACTAATAACCATCTTGGGAGCGGAGAAATTGGTGACTTGGGCTTTCTCTGTGATTTGGCTAACGCTACTCGTTTGCAAGTTCTGAACATCAATAAAAACAGTTTGGAGGTGTGTTTCCTCACTGCATAGCTAACTTATCTTCTTCTCTTGGACAGTTCATAGTTGCTGCAAATAATATTAAAGGAAGTATCCCAAATGGAATTGGAAATCTGGTTAACTTGCAAAGCCTGTCCTTCTATATGAACCAATTTTCAGGACAAATCCCCCCTGATGTTGGAAAGCTTCAGAAGCTATATGAGTTAGATTTTTCTTTTAACTCCTTCTCAGGGAATATTCCATCCACTTTTGGAAATTTAAGTCAATTGTTTAAATTACTATTTGTTCGCAATAGCATTCAAGGCCATATCCCTACAACTTTATCTGAGTGTCACAGTTTGGCGGCCTTAATTCTGCGTGAGAATAATTTCACCGGTACCATTCCCCAAGGAGTCTTTGGCCTCTCTTCATTATCTGAGTTGGACTTGTCTCAAAATCAATTGACCGGTTTGCTTCCCAAAGAAGTAGGAAGTTTATTAAATCTGGAGTATTTAGATGTGTCTCAAAACATGCTATTTGGTGAAATTCCGGCAAGTCTAGGTAGCTGTATAAAAACAGAACATCTAAACATGCAAGGAAACTTCTTACAAGGGACAATTCCATCATCTCTACGTTCACTAAGAGGTATTGAAGATTTAAATCTCTCTCGCAACAATTTCTCAGGCAGGATTCCAGAGTTCTTAGGGGATTTTAAATTTTTAGAATCTTTGGATTTATCATATAACAATTTTGAGGGCATGGTACCAATCAAAGGAGTTTTCAGAAATGCCACTGCCACATCGGTCAAAGGAAACAGTAAAGTTTGCGGCGGCATCCCTGAGTTTCGATTGCCAAACTGCAAACTTCAACATGCCAGCAAGAGAAGATTGAGCCTAACCATGAAATTGGTAATCTCTTTGGTTTGTGGGATACTTGGAGTCACTTTTGCACTAACTTTTTTGTACCTGCGTAGCTCACGGAGAGAAAAAAAGGAAAGCGCTTCAAGTGATTCAGACAAATTTCTCAAGGTGTCTTATCAAAGCCTTCTAAAAGCTACTGATGCATTCTCCTCTACCAACTTGATCGGCGTGGGCAGTTTTGGGTCAGTCTATAAAGGAGTACTTGAAGATGGTGGAACAACAATTGCCATCAAGGTTTTCAATCTCGTTCGTCGTGGAGCCTACAAAAGTTTCACTGCTGAGTGTGAGGCTTTGAAAAATATAAGACACCGTAATCTTGTGAAAGTACTCTCGGTGTGTTCAGGTTCTGACTATCGCGGTAATGATTTCAAGGCCTTAATTTATGAGTTCATGGTTAATAGAAGTTTAGAGGAATGGTTGCATCCTGCTGGAACAAATGGAGAGATAAATGATGGGCAAAGGAGCTTAACTTTTTGTCAAAGATTGAACATAGCGATTGACGTTGCTATGGCGGTAGAGTATCTCCATCATCATTGTCATACACCAGCGGTTCACTGCGACCTTAAACCCAGCAACGTGCTTCTCGACGATGATATGATTGGACATGTAGGTGACTTTGGGTTGGCAAAATTCCTCCCCATAACTTCTCAAACCAGTTCTGGTAATCAATCAAGCTCGCTCGGAATAAAAGGAACAATTGGTTATACTCCTCCAGGTACATAATCTATCCTGTTTCATTTTCTTAACATTTTTTCAGTATTTATGTTAATATTTGAAACATTAAATCTGAAAGCACTTAATTAGAAATTTTTTTTGTGGGGTTTTAAATTGAGAAACGCAGAGTATGGTATGGGACACAACGTGTGGATACAAGGAGATGTGTACAGTTATGGCATTCTGCTGCTCGAGATGTTTACAGGAAAAAAACCGACCGACAATCTGTTTCAAGGAACTTTAACCCTTCATAACTTTGTCAAGGCCGCTGTGCCTGAGCAATTGGTAGAGATTGTGGATCCCGCTCTTGTTCAGGAAATGGTGCAAGCGGCGATGAGCACTAGCAATCATCGTAATGAGGATAACGCAAGGCTTCGCATGAAAACCGAAGAAAGCTTGATTTCAATTTTGAAATTGGTCTTGCTTGTTCTGCAGAGTTGCCTGGAGAAAGGTTGGACATGAGTGATGTTGTGGCACAGATGTGTCAGATCAGAAAGAAGCATACTGTGCAGCATTAGCATGTAACATTGTGTTACTGTTTCCTTGTTTGACAGAAATTTTCATGTTTCTTTGAATAATAAAGAGTGTGGCTAGCGACTACTTTGCCAAACTGGCTTCAATATATATTTTCTGTCATTTGACTGTCCTTGAGCAATGGGATTCTAACTTTAACCAAACGTGACAGAAATTGGAGAAGTTTTCATCTAATTGCAAAATCATGTACAAATAGGACTTAGAAGCCAGACTGGAACAAAATCTGAAAATATGCTGCAAAAATTCAGTCCAAAAGTTGTGTCCAGAAATTTTGACTTTGCAAATATATGATGGTATTGTTAGTTGTTGTCTACACTTTTTAGCTTCTAATAATTTGAATGGGAGCAATCTTTATTTTCTTGGACTGGATTTAAATAGCTTTTCTGGAACGGTTCCTCCCTCGATCTTCAATCTCTCTTCTTTGAAAGTCTTTTGAATGGTATGCAACCAAATCCAAGGGACTCTGCCCTCAAACTTAGGTGCTGTATTTCCACGCCTCGAATCTTTTGGTATTTCAAGAAACAAATTTAGTGGAACTATTCCTGTTTCATTAGGCAATGCTTCAAATCTAGTTCGACTACAAATGGCAGAAAACAAACTACATGGACAAGTCCCTTCTTTGAGAAATTTGCCCAGGCTTGAGAAATTAAATTTCTGTCTTTACATACAGTTTGAAGCTTGAAGATTTGGCATTGAGCAGTTAATTCGAAATTAGAATATGGTATTTTGAATTGTGCAGAGTATGGTATGGGACATGAAGTATGGAAAAAAGGAGATGCGTATAGGAAAAAGACCAACCGATAAAATATTTCAAGGGACTTCAAACCTTCGTAACCTTGTCAAAGGAAGTCTGCCTGAGGAAGTGATGGAGATTTCGGATCCCGTTCTTGTTCGAGAAAAAGAAGGGGAGATGAACGGAAACAATCATCTTAATAAGGCTAGCATACAGCTTTGGATCAAAATTGAAGAAAGCTTGGTTGCTATTTTGGAAATTGGTGTTGCTTGATCTTCAGAGGTGCCTAGAGAACGGTTGGACATTAGTGATGCTATGGTTGAAATGTGTCGGATCAGAAACACACTTCAAGCAAATAGAATATATGAATTAATTCATATCTGATTCATTTCTGCTCGATTGAAATAAAAGAGGTTTTAGATCTGTCATGCTGTAAAATGAACTGAAACAACATAATTATCAGTCATTGCTATTTCACTTAACTTACCTTCCACCTTCAATCTTTTTAATTTGTTCCAAAAGAATCTCAAATATCATGTCTGAATCAATAATAATCACGTCTGAGAGGCAGATCTCTTGCCACTTTCTCGTATCTGTGATACATGCTGAAATGCTATGAGAATTAGCTCTAGACAAGCAGAAGGGCAATCTCCACACACAATATACGGACAAGTGATTAGCAGTCACTAAAAGATATGGAAGCCTTCATTCACCTTCTACTGTCTAGCCAATTTCATTTTTAAAAAAAAATGGGATTTAATCAAAACAAACATATCCAAAAGAAAGAAATTAAAAATTCAGAAATTAAAACTCAAATACACGCAACTCAATCATCCCCTCTTTTCTTTTCGGGGAGTACCAAGCGACAACCTTCCCCGATCGTAGAAGTCTCAAGGAGTAATTCAAGCTGTATATGAAATCCTCAATATGTGGGCCACGTTTCCCAGGCAAGGAGTCGAGTGAAACCCTGGAATCCACTCTAAAGACGATTGGCCCTGCAACCTACAAAGCAAAGTCACGGTATCAATAAGAATTGGTTAATTGCCTCCAGAAGCATTTAATTATAACAAACACAAAGTTCACCCAGTTTATGCACAGATATAATAGGTGTAAATAGAAATACCTGCTGCTGAAAGATTAGATTGATCCTAGGGGAGGACATGGGATCTCTGGCACTATTAGCAGATGAACTCTTCAAACCATTAATAACCCTTTTAGCCAAAGCTGAAGCTGAACAGATATCCAGGCGAGCATCTATCCTGGTCAGATCACCGTAGAGCTCTCTAAATTTTCCATGCTGGAAACTATAGCAGACTGAGCCGAAAAAATCGGCACTAAATGGGCTTCTCTTCTTAGTACTTGTAGAATTATCTTCATCTCCCCTCAATTCAACTGCCAATGGGCTGTGACCATCCCGAAACCAGGCTGTGCAGCTGCCACCTAACATGTAATGCCGCCATTGATAAGAAGAAACAAGTGAAAAACAACATTACAATTTCATTTAGCAAACAAAAGTTGAAGTATATCAGTGACAATGATTTGGGCCAAAAGAATAACCTATAATTTTGATTAATAATGCTTCATAAATTTAAAAAATTTATATATTTAATGTAATTGATTAGGTTGAATACCAATTACTTTGGACTATTATAAAACATTGTAGCTGTTTTTCTATGGTATAAACATCAAGAAATAGTAAAAGAAAAACCCTTCAGATGCATACAGCCATGGATCTGGACTCATAACAAAGAGAAAATTATTGAATTGTTCTTTTCGAATTTTTGTCTAACTCTGGCTCTACAACCATTCAGCAACATAACTTTTGTTTGTGCCATAATTTTTTTGGTTTGTCCCATAATGGAAATAAATTTTCAGAACAAGAGAAACGTTAATTACATAAAACCTAGCATTCATTTACAGCTTTTGCCAATCGCTTTGTGAATGGGTACGGCCTTTTATCAATTGCATAAGTTTCAACTAACTCATATACTTTCTTAACAGTGACTATATCATGCCAAAATGCTAAAGTTAGAATCAAATCAAGATCTCCCCTTCATTATTTAATGGGGCCTACGCTAAGTAATTATACTTTTGTATAATAATTGTATATTATTGTGGAAATGGCCTCCCTCCTACACATTGTGGCATGAAATGACCCCTCTCTCATACTGGCTTCAATATACTAAAGTAGAAAACTTCCCATAAAATAAAATACAAATGACAAGGAGAGATGTAATCATGGTTAACACCACACAGAACCAAAACACATAAACATATAAAACAATGAGCCCAATTTATAAAACTAATATGCTCAAAATTATAAGATATTGCACCTGAGTATTAGTAATGAAACTTCCACAAAGAAAAAATATATATTAATGAAAGAAGTAAGACATTATGACAGAAAATATGATTAACTTGTCAGGCAGTAAACTTACCAAAAATTCCAGACACTGCAGCATGAGGTTCTTTAAGACGTACATCATACGATGGCCGCCAAAACCAACCCTTGTCTTTCTTTACCATAACATCCTTTTTTGTCTCCTTTTGCCTCCAAAGGTCTTGGCTCTTTTCATATGAAAAAGCAGCCTTTGCACACAATCCAGGCATTAGGGAAGTAGGTACCTCACCATCTATGGAATTTACAGCCTGGGGATGACCACTATTTTTATGTATACCAATGCGGTACCGCAATCCAGATTCAGAAACAAGTGAAGACAGATCTAAGGAAATTGATTCAGGCACATCCCAATATTGTCCCTTATGGTCAATGAACAGCTCAGGCCATGCAGCCTCAAGTGTAATATCATGGTAAGGAAGCTGCAAACATCGTAAAGGTTGAGAAAAATCATTTTGTTGCACATGCCCCATAATCCCCAGCAAGATAAATGAACGAAATATAGTTCCAGAGATGAACATTGTTACTAAAACAGCTTATGCAGTGTAGCCCCTATGTTCAGTGCAGTGCACATGTTCAATGTTGTTGAATCACATAATTTATATATAAAGGCCAGATATGTAAACAGAATAAACTTGTAAACTAAGGAAGTTGTATATACCACACACCAAGCCTATCACTTTACTTTCGAACATTTAAGAATGTCGGAAAAATAACACTTAAATTATACATGCTGACAGACTCTGGTATACCTGTTTACCAGAAATGGGGCCCAATGCATGTTCAAGTGAGCAATAGCTCGTAAAGATACATCCCTAGGATTACCTATGTTGAACTTTAATTCACATACAAGAAATTTGATTTCAGAGAGAGAACCAAATTATTAGTTGGATGGTAGAGTACAACACAGCATCAGAAAACCACAAAAAAACAGCTTGAATCTTACACTACAATTAGTAAACAAACCCACCTACAATTAAAAAGAACTTAGATACTCAGAAATCCCCATATCCGCATCGCAGACTAGGAAGACAACGAATTCTGACAGTTCAAAAATTACTGTTTAAACAATTTGATTAAATGCCAAAACTAGGAAGGGAAATGCGTGCCTTGTGAAATAGCATGAATTTGTTGCGGCGTCCTTTTTTCTCACCATGCCCTTCTGTGCTCAACTTTATGGATGATGAGGGAGCCACAAGAAGCTGTGTGCATAACCCAAACGAATAAAGTGACTTGTCCAAGACATGCTTTGCCACATCTTTGAAAGTAGGAACCTCCATGTCATCATTAGTAGAAAATTCAGCTTTAATAGAAGAAATAAGTTTCTTAGGGCGGAACTGCCCAATTAATCCAAGCCACCTATACTCGTGCAGATCATGTAACAAAAGAATTAGTACATCAGACAATTGAGAGTGCTACCATAGTTGATAGATGTGAGAGATGACTTTGGTCTCTTTTTTTGGGTCAGAATGTGACTTCGGTCTAAGTAGGAAGGGTTGACATGAGTTCTTGGAATATACAGTCACTTCTAAGTTCAATTCAAACATCATTTTTGTGCCACCAGGGCAAAACAAATTAAATAGTACTTTCATTGTCTAGGATATTGTTCGAATTTCAAAACATAACTTTTTCATCTAACAAGTCCCATAAAAAAGATGGATAATCCCAACCAATACTCTCTGATAACCCTGCGAAATGAAGGCAGTTTCATGCTCGCGAAAAACATGAAACCTCCTTCACACAATAGTAATATATTAAGGCAATAAGAAATTCCATGCTTCATGTGCTATATCAATAGAACTAAGTTAACAAACTTTGTTTGGTTGTCAAGCTTCACCAATCAATCTATCTTTCTTGCATCTTTATCAATTATCAAACACTTCCTATAAAAAATACCCAATAAGAGTCTGATTTCCACATAAACTGCAACCTCATTTTGTAAGGAAAAGTTTGTACAACTCTTTGTAACTCTAACACTACCAAGGAAAATTGCCCCCACCGCCGGGCAGTCTGCAAGGTGGAATATAACTTGATTCTCAGTTTGGACAACAGCCACTTCCATATCTAAACATTTTGCTTTTATCCATCAACACTCAATAGCAATACTGAATTATTCACCAAAAATCCAATGTACATACAAAATACCAAAATTTTCTTAAATATCAAAGTTCAAACAAAGCACAAACCAAGCCTAGAAACAGAGATAGAGGCTGGTCACATGTGACAAAAATACGAAATTGGGAAACACAAAATCATATGTTCATTTTTAGAACAAGAAAAAAAAATTCTGCCTTATCCTTTTGCCTCTACCTAATTCAACTCCAGAACTCAAATTTTAAGTGCTTTTTTCGCCACACTTGTCAGCAACCAAACAAGCCACAAGCAAAACCAATGAATAACTAAACCATTAAAAGGGGACTTCAATTTCCTGACATTCTTCCACCAATCATACAAACCACAAACCCATCCAAGGAAACACACAAAACGAAAGAGAATTACAGAAAAACCAAAATCCAAGAAATAAGCAAAGCATGTATAGCAGTGTACCAGTTAGAGGTAGCTGGTCTGAGCAAGAGGGACTGGAGAGAGAAAGAACCCAAGTCCTTGTGAGAAGTGGGAGAGTAAGAAGGTATAATACCCAAAGGGAACCCATTTCCCAGAAGGGATAGTTGCTGAATCCTGAGGACTCGGCTGGCTCGGGCACCGTCGAGAGGAAATGGGTCGCCGGGGATGGCCTTGGCTGAGCCCTCAAGGGTGTGAGGCGACGAAACGTTCAAGTCCCAGAAGGCAGAGTCCATTGCCGTCCTCAGGTTCGCCATTGTGGCTCTGGAAGAGTAGAACTGAGTGAGGTGGTTTTTGGTTTTTGGGTTTAAGTGATGGGTTTGTTTGTGTGATGGTTTTATTTGTCCCTTCTTTTGGGTCCTTCCTTATCTGTCTTGAAATTTGAATATGAAACGACACCGAAAGGGGCTTTGTTTGTCATTTGAGAGACTTCTCTCATTCTTAGGAAAATTACACTTTTGACCCATTTAAGGTTTTTATTCAAAATGATATTGTAAGGGCTTGGGTTAGCTAAGTGGTGATTGAGGTTGAGATAATGAATTGGAATTAGGATTAGGGGTATGCTGAGGCTTGTATGTTTACTTATTAAGAATTGGTATTTGAATTATTCCATGTATTTTTTTTATGCTAAAAAAAGAAATTACATCGAGGAGCCACACGGACACGTATACCCGAAAAGATCAAAATAAAAAGAAGGCGGCCATTCTCCCAAAGCTGAGATTGGGAAAGATTGTGACCTAAATTAGCTAAACCATCCGCCAAGAACTCTAAACATGTTTGCAAGCAACATCATCACAAAGGGAACACAACAGCATGATGTCTTGAATAAGCAACTTGATACTCCAAGGGGAGGCTGTCAAATGGTTCACACAGTCAATAACAACCTTGGAGTCTCCTATTAGAACTTTGCGCCATCCTTAGGTAAAGTATAGCCATCCCTAAGAGCCAGGCACTCAGCAATAGTAATGGAAACATGTCCTATATTCTTGGCACCAGCAAGCACCATATGTCCATCACAATTCATGATAACATAACCAGTACCTGCAGTATCATTACAAACTGATTCATCAAATTTCAGCTTCATCCAACCACAACGGGGTGGCTCCTTGTTGAATTTGTGTTTGCTAACACGTGAATGATAAAAAATTATGTGGGTACCAAAAATTCTATGAGTTTTCTATGTTTTATTCTCTCATAATTCCAGAGATAGTGTTGAATTAGCAATATGTTCTTAGTCTCTTTAGGAGAGTTAGGCTGATTAGTAGCCAATTTTGTCTTTGATGTCATTTGTCTATATTCGAGGGAACTATGGCAATAGTAAGGAGTTATAGAAAAAAAAATTAAGAGTGATTGTCTCCTGATCATTTTAGCTTTTCGGTTGGCTCAGGTCAATAGGGAATTTTTACCCATGTCTGTCATATTGCCTATTGATCGAATGAAATTCAGTCGTCTTTTTATCCAAAAAAATAAAAAATTACTCCAAACTTTAGACAAACTATAATTAAAATTCGTAATCCAATACTTGAAAAACCATGAATTAATTTGAGTTTTTCTATTTAAACCCCTCACTTCTCTTTGTTCACCTCATATTCTAAGTTCACCTCAACTTCTAATTCAAATTTTTACAATTTCTTAGAAAACTCCACTATCTTCCCAAACAACCCCTAAATACATACCCAATAGAAGAAAAAAAAACTCATCAACCCCACACCCCCACAAAATTTAGAAGTTTTCTTAGGGAAATCAGCATGTGGTCTTCCTGATGGTGACTTCTCACATTACATACCTCAATTGACGACTCACAAGCCATTATTTGCATATCGTATTTAAGGTTTGTGAAGAGAATATGAGAGTATAGTAGGTTTCTTGGATTGAAATAGATGAGTAATCTAGTAATAGGGTGCAGAGGAGTTTGTGTTTTTCCAAAAACTTAATATGAACAGTGGTGGAGTGTGTGCTGTGTATGTTCTAGGGTTAAGTATTACATTGGATGAATTTTTTATCTTTTTACACAATAATAAAACTTAAGAGATTAATCATTTAAGTATTAGGGTGAACAAAGAAAAGTGTAGGGTTTAAATAAAAAAATTCATTAATTCTCATTCACCTCTCTTATATTCCCGACTTCCCTAATTCATGAATTCCCTCTTTCATAGTTAGAAAACATTAAAATATGATATTAAGTAAGAAAAAAATTAAACACAAAAATTTGTATTCTAATATTTTTAACTACTTAAAGTACAAGCCACTCACTCGGTTCGGCAAGCCCCTAATAGAGGTGGAGCCCACCAATAAAATGGGTCACACACTCTATTAAATATATGGTACACAAGTTAGTATCTAAAGTTAATTTCCCTAACATTTTCCATAACACAACACATACCCTAGGTCCAATTACTTTTGTAAATAATATAAAAAATGAAGCAGTAAATTCCATATGCTACGTTGACTAAAAGCCAAAATTCATAAAGGTGTATAGCATGTAACTGTTGGGCTCTTGTATTCAATCCAGGTTTGTGCCAAGGTCGAGTTGCAGGGATCACTTATAGTAAATGTGAAAATTTGTGGTACTTTTCCAATTGGTTATATTTTTAATTCTTCAATCGAAAATTGCAGTTCTTAAGCATGGTCTTTCATGAACAGTATGCCTTGGAGAATTTGATAGCAGGTTAAAATATTTGAAGTCTTCTTCATCAACCGGGAAGTTCAAAAGTCCAATATCTGTGTCGAGAAGCAAATATGATGGCAGATAAATTTCTTAAATTACAACATAACTGTACTCAACTTTACGTTTGGTTTTCAAATTATCCTTGTAATGTGTCCATTAAAATTATATTATATCCTCAAATTTTCTTTGTAATTTAACTATTTTCATTATATATAAATAATAATAAAATAATAAAAAATCAGAAAGACTTAGCCACACTACCTATAAATACCCATTAAAGAAAATATAGCTCCCAATCCCCCACAACACAAAAAAAAATGAGAACTTCCACATTCTCTCTCACATCCCTCCCTCTCTTCCTATTCTTCTTCTTTTTCTTCACCTTGAAAGCCATAACTGCCAAAAACCTCATCCCTGAAACCTGCAAAAAATGTGTTCAACATGATCCAAACCTAAGCTACAAATTCTGCGTAACTTCCCTCCAAGCCGCCCCGAATAGCAGCAGCGCCGATGTTCGCCAACTTGGCATAATCTCCCTGAACTTAATCCGCCAAAACATGACCAGCACAAGGCAATACATCAAACACCTTCTGAAGAACAAGAAACTGGAGAAATTATTAAGGGTCTATTTGGAAGTCTGCTTGGAGCTTTATTCAGACGCCACACCAGACATCAAGCAAGCTCTCAGATCTTACAAGGCTAAGCAGTATCGAGATGCCAATATACGAGTGACTGCAGTGTGTGATGCCCCTGTAACTTGTGAAGATGGTTTCCATGAAAGAGAAGGGTTGGTTTCGCCATTGACGAAGAGAAACAACGATGCTTTTCAGCTTTCTGCCATAGCTCTTTCTATTATCCACCTGCTTGGTTCATTAGGATTTAAATTAATATAAATAAGAAGGTATTTGCATGGTGGCTTGCTAGCTGTCTTTTGTTTCTACTTATTTATCGTATATTTGGAGTTATGTGGTTTGATTTCTACAATGCATAGGTTTCATGTTCATTCGTTGTTTGTTTCATTGTCTGGTTGTTGTTATTTGCAAGTTTTTTTTAAATCTGAATTCCGCTTAGCTGTAACCAGAAATCTAATTGATGAAGATATGATAATTAGGGGATTGCTAATGGTGAGCTTTGAAGCTAACATCAAGAAAGAGTAACTTCCAATTAATCCTACAATTATTTATAATAATAAAATATTTAATGATAGAGAAGCAATTGATCAACTAAAAGTTCATGTTAGGTATTACAGAAAACTACAAGTATTTAATGTTAGGGACAAGAAATGTGTTTGCAAAATGGTATGTCAAGGCCAGTTGACCACGGTTGTGTGCTCACTCCCTTACCACGGTTTTGTTTTTTATAAAACATAGCTCCAAGTTTATAAAGAATTTATGTTTGCAACAAATTTGAGGATTCAACTTTGAAGCTAAGGGTGAATGCATGTTAACAAAATATGTGAATAACTATTAGACGTTGATCTATACCTGTTTCATTACATTAGTAGCTGATAATTATATGTACACGTATAACATTTCTCTTCGCTTTGTTAGAAGAGATCTCGTTTGAATCTACTCAAACAAACAAAAAAAAAAAAAAAAAAAAGAAAAAAAAAAAAAAAAAAAAAAAAAAAAAAATCTGAAGATATAGTGGTGGAGCCTTGTACACATTAGTGCTCTTCTCTTTACTAATTAGTAGATTGCGTCGTCAGTGAAATGTTGGGTGTGGATGCAAGAATTCTACTTGTATGTGTGCTTTGGTTGTTATATGACAAAACGATATGGCCTATTAGCAGTTAAAGGTCGTAATAGCTTTCCAAGGCAACGTGACCAAATTAAACCCCATATCACAATATGGGCTAAATAAATACACACCCAAAAATATTCTATAATAATTACAACTTTAGTAGCTTTCCAAGGCCAAAACTTAACACGAAAAGACTACCAGAATAAGGCAAAAAGAAAAGAAGAAAAAACCTGCAAGGACTAGAATTTCCACCGCTATAATACTCTTCATGTTGCACTCTCTCAAAGGCCGAGAAGTAGGGTGGTCAAAACTGAAAATTGAAAGTCATGGATTGCCAATGAAATATACATTTTTTCCTTCCTTTTTTTTTTTTCGGTCGAATAGTAAAAAAACTTGGAGGCTTATTGGATTCAAGTAAGTTGGATTGACTCAGGCCTTTGATGTGCTCCCTAGTGATCCTCGGTTCAAGCCCCCATAGTACTCGTGTATGTGAATTTTCCTCATTCCCCTTCCTAACTTTAGCAACAAAATTTGGAGAATTAAGTTCGTAGTTTGCAATTCAATTTTCCTTTTTGAATCCAACAAATTAATTAATATATCTTTTCGGGAGGACAAGTCATTGCAAGTAAGTGTTTTGGAGTAACTTCGAGAGAGTTATTTGGGTTGATGTCTTAGACTTCAATGCTAAAACAACATGGCCTTCCATAATATTCTAGCATTATGATAAGAATACATGCAATCATTGGCTGAAAAGGTGGCAAATTAAGCAAAGATGATTTGATGCTTAACGCTATCACACACAAAAAATATGTGAAATGCACTTTTCTTTCTTCCAAATTTAACATGTACCAACCAGTTCTTAGTTCAGTGATATAAATAAGCAGTGATATGTGGCAGACTTTTCAAGCATTGTAATGGGATCCAGGTTCCACAAGACCAGTTGCCCACAAGAATGAAATCCTAAGATTCAATCCAACTACAAGCAATCTCATTAAGTACAGATAAGTGGCAAAACCATTCAAGCATTGCAATGAGATCCAACTTCCAGAAGACCAGTTACTCACAAGAATGAAATAAGTAGGAAATATTGCAAAAGCTATATATTTAAAGATGTTGGGGCACATGCCAACACAAAATCACAATCATCAAAGTTTTCATATGAACTATACATAGCAACTTGATCATATCACAAAATGTATCTTCTAATATACGCATGGAAAGGTAGTATTATAAATCTTTGTCAAATTTCATGTATCCACATAAAAGTTTGAGAGTGCTTTGTGCACTGTCATAAGCATTTCAAGATTATTAAAAACGCTTTTGTAGTATTGGAGTGAAATAAGAATATTGGTTTTAGAAGGTGTATCTTGGAGACGGAACAAAAAAACAGTGTTCCTTGGAGACCAGGCACTTTTCAAGGAACAAAATGCTTAACGTAGAAGCAGACACACAGACCTGCCCATCATTTTGACAATGTTTTGGTCACCAGCATCATAATACTTGCAACAATGAATTATGGATTGGAAAAATAAGATCCCACAAGGACACAACTTGCCAATATGAAGAGTAGCAAAGTGAACCGCCAGTAACCTAGCTAATATCCTTAAAAAAGAAGTTGTCAAGTTGTGATCAACCAAGTCCACAAGTATAGAGGGTTATACTGCACTTTCAACTCACAGACACGTTAACCATACAGAACGCTAAACCATGTAATGAAAAATAGCATTGAGCAGGAACACAACCAATCAGCAGACTGATTGGATAGAAGATGTCATTGTTTACAATCGAAGCCTTGCAAAGACATTGATAAAATTTAGTTCCAGGACTACTCTTTTTTCAGACAGATGCAAATTATTTTCAACCATCACGGTGATCAATTTCTACAAGTGTCACAAAAGCAAAACAAAAATACGTTTGAACAATTCACGTAAAGAGAAAAAGCTGCTGCTAAAGAGAGTTACCCAGCCATTGGATGGTTGTAGATGTACTCAATGGCCAGATTAGTAGAGTCAATCTTATCGGCTTCCTTGTCTGGAATCTCTAGCTTGAACTCTTCTTCCAGAGCCATCACAATCTCCACATTATCCAAGCTATCCAAGCCCAAATCCTTCTGGAAATGTACATCAGGAGTCACCTGCAGATACTTGCTGGAAAAATCAGTACTCCCAGTAAATTTCTGTCAAAACAAAATTTTAATGCTTGATTGATAGAAAAGAAAACATTCTGAAAGGGAGAAACAGAATTATACTTATAAAATGAGACAGAAACTAAGGGGCAGGCCACTTGCAAATAGGGAGATGGTCATTCATGCCATTTCACTTATGAAGTTTCTAACATAGTACATGAGCACTAAAATAGATCCTGCAGGAAATATGGTTTTGGATTTTTAACCACTACTGTGTACATATAAATCTATCAAAGCAGTCACCAAGCGCACGCACAATCCATACAGACTCATTCATAACCCATTTTCCCTATAAAACCCAGTACCTTTCAGATCTTAGTTATCAAGTGCCCAGTAGTATAATTTCCTTACAAAGAGCAAAAAATATGTTTTATCATTTTGACACGGTTGATATCTATTTTCATTGTTCCAGAAAATTTGCCTCACCAACTGTCCTATTTAGTTCTAATAGCCCGATCTCTGTCTCGGACAAGTGAGTTTACAAATATGTTAAGTTGCAACCATGTGTCCTTTACTCAGAAAATTTCTAACAAACCCTTACTAATGCGTGCAAGTGCATCGAACAAATACTAAAACATCCAGTTTCAATAATCAAGGATCACAGTCCATGCAAAATGTGCATTACATGCCCCAAAAATCAGTTATAAAAGTTGTTTTCTGCCTCTTGTTTTCCCACATCAGCTAAATAGGAACTCTTTCGAAAGCCTTACCTAGCTAGCAGGCTGATTTTGCAGGGTCAAGTTCTAACCATGATTCTTATCATAAGAATTAAAAGGCCCAAATGACCCATTAAACATATTTAAAGGTTCAACAGCATACAGAACAATACGGCATGATTAATAGTTACTTAGCCCATTACCATAGAGGCAGAGAATGAAGAAAACAAAGAAAACAACGAATTCAGGACAAAACAACACCAGCATTTCTACATTGTATTGATGTCTGGACATTGATATCCACAAAATGCCCAAAGGGAAAAAAAGTGACTAAAACCAAAAAAAAAAAAAAAAAAAAAAAAAAAAAAAAAAAAAAAAAAAAAAAAATCTCAAAATTTTTCTTTCTCTTCTTTCGACATTATTTTATAACCTCGAAACCCAAATCAAACTTTAATTATTTCAAAAATCCATGTGAAAAATTAAATTCAAATAAGAAATTGACTGATAGCACACTAACTACAGCTCACCCAAAAACAAAATGGTAAAAACGATGGAAAAATCAAAACAAAGATTGAGATTCTGATATAATGTTTTACATTTCCCGGGAAACAAACAAAAGCTAGAGGTAGGAAAAGGCATACCGTGGAAGGATCGACTTTTGGGAAGCTCTTGACAACAGAGAGGACTCTCTCGGTGACCTCGGATTTGGTGAGATGATCGTCGTGCGATGACATCCACCGGAGAGAAGGTGGGCCCCATTTTCCTCCGTTTAGGCTTAGGGCTGGGTTTAGGGTTTGTGCCGGAATTCGCACGTGCCGCAGTAAGGCTGCTCTCAGCGCCATCTCTCTCTGCCTCTCTCTCTCTCTCTCTCTCTCTCTCTCTCTCAGTCGATTTGGTTGCTGTTTGGGAAAATGGCGTAATCAACAAACAGCTTAGTAGTCACGTGTTAGGGGCGTGATTTTGAACTTTTTGTTGTTGCAAAAATTCACTTTTGATCCCTGTGGTTTACGACTTTTACCACTAAGGTCCCTGTGGTTTCAATTTGATCAATTTTGCCCTTGTGATTTTCAATTCCAAACAATTCAAAGACAATGTCAATGCCCAATTTCCGTCAAATTCGTCAACTGTCGTTAGGGCTGGAGGGGTATTAAGGTCAAATCTCTTGCTAATTTCCATCTTCCATTTTAGTTTAGGGGCACGTGTTCAATGAATTAGCAAGGGATTTTGACCTTAACACCCATGTTTGAGTAAAATTTTCACGGGAGAATATAGATTCTTCACCTTTCGAGCTTCCTTCTCTCTCTCTTCTTCCTCGATTCCTACAAAAAATGTTGGAGTAAATAGACCACACTCGGAGAGTGTTGGCTAAAGACCTTCTGATGCCTAAGTCAGTTAGATGATCTTGAGAAAGATACGAAAATAACAAAGAATGTCAAAGTTTTCTCTACAATATGAGAGAACTGAGTAGCCGAAGTCGTGAAGGAGAGAGGAGAGAGTGTGGCGTGAGAGAGAGAGGGATTCAACTAAGGTTTTGGAATTATCTCATGTGTGTTGTGTAGCCATGTATTTTATAGACTCCTTTCTTGGCTAGAGTTTGAAGAATAATCCTTTTTTAATTAGGATTATTTTTATACAAATTTATAAATAAACCCAATCCTAGACATGTATTTATAAAAAAACCCAAGCACTATTTAAACATAGAAACACACCCAAAATCAACCCCAAAGTCAACTTTTTGGGTGTGTTTATAAATGGGTTTTGAATGTGTGTAATGATGGGTTTTGGGTGTGTTTATATGTTTAAATAGTGCTTGAGTTTTTTTATAATTTCAACCCCCATTTTGGGTGTTTTAGTGAAACTCCCTTATTTTTACCCAAAAAGATGATAGGAATTAATCAAAGAGATTTGCTGGAAATTAATTCCTTGATTTAGGGAGATATTCCTATCTTAAATCAAATATAATTCCCTAATTAAATAGTAATTAAATAGGATTTAATTAGGGTAATTAGTTGACCTAAGGAATATTCATTTTTTCAATGTGTCATCTTCTTATTGGCTGCTGAAATATGTGTTCCCATAAATGCCCCCAGCTTCTGCATGGCGCTTATGAGGCATGGAGGGAATGTGAAATATTTGTTGGGCTTTCCAACTGCATATGGGCTTCTTTCTGTGAGTTGAGCTCCTTTTGCGAGTTAGGCTCCTAATTTGAGTAGACTTTTGACTTTTTCTTGGAATTAGGCTCCTAGTTGGAATAAGCTTGTTATTCCTTCTAGGTCAGGTATACCCAAGTACTATAAATACAAGGCTTCTTTTAACTCATCTTCAAATTGCAAACTTGTCTTTCTCTACTTTCTAGCTTGTGAGAGAGATCTTAGAGGAGCGTACTGCTTGTCGAGGAGAGGAGTTGCCCAAGATAGGTCATGCCTTTTTTTTCTTCTTCTTCTTTGATTTTTCTTCATGGAAGATGACTAGCTAGCGCGGCCTGGTTAGCTGTCGTCATGATGGGATGGCCATGATGGACACTTGTGGTTGTAGCAGAATTTTTATTGTTGTTGTTCACGACGAAGAACAGATGGTTGTCGTCGTGATTATGCAAATTGGTTATCCTGCGAGGCTAGCCGTGAACTTGTGGCTGAGCGATCATGGTTGCTGCCGCTACTGGTTGCGGAAGTTGTGGTTGCTTCATTGTTTCTTTATTTCTTATTTGCGCGAGCCAATTGGCTTGCATGCTTGAATTGACCGCAGGACCAGCCTATGTTGGTTGTGCTGAGGTCGCGGGATGAGGCTACTCCATAGTAGTCGTCAGCTTCTGCTGGCGGAAGCTGCTATTTTGTTTTTGTTTTTGCTGGAGTTGTGCCGCAGCTTGCTTGGGTACTACGGCTCAAGCTGTGTGTCTCCTCCCGTTTGTTTTTTTTATACCATCAATTATGGTTTTGACTTGCTATTTTCCTTGGAATTTTCTTCATTTTTTTTGCAGCTTTTCACTCATTATGTATTTTGATGAGGGTAGTCAGTGATCTTGCTCACAAGTGCCCTTATATTTATGGGGCGGTTCCAAGATGTTCAAGAAGATATTTGTGGCAACCTTACATCGCATCACGTCCGAGACTCAGTTCTAGAAGTGGCCCGCTACCTTTGCTTCTGCCATACCCGATGATGTGCATGTCAGGTTGACGGAATCTTCAACTAATGACATGCCTCGGGTAGACCCGAACAACCCAGATGTCAAGATCATCTCTTTCCGCCCCTTCTACTTCTCCTTGGGCTACACATTTTTGCTATTGGCGTTCTTCATGAAGGTATTTTGTGCCATGGAGTATGCCCCAAGCCGATGTACCTTAAATGTCTACCTTGCGATCATCTACTTTAATAACCTGAACTGCTTCTTTTAGCTGGGCTTGACATTGCGGGAGATCTTTTACTTCTTCAAGGTGAGACATTGTGGGAAGTATGCCCAACTTTGTGTGAGTAATGCCGAATTGTTTGACAGTCTCAGCCATGAAGACTATGTGGAACACTGATGTGCTGGAGGTCAACAGAAAGTGGGAAGACGAGGTAGGCGACAGTCTACTTGTTCCCATCACCTATTGCCATGGTGAGTCATAGTCTATTGACTTGCTTTATTTCATTTGAATTCTTTGATGTGTGGCTGACTAACTTCTATCTTTTGCTTGCAGAGAGGGATATCAGCAAAAAGTTGGATCTCAAACCAAATATGGCTAAGGTCCATCAAGCTTTGAACATCTCTGCGAGGTTTCGCGAATGGGGTTGGCAATTGAGTGAGCATCGACGAAAATTGGGTAATGTACTTGAATTGCTTGGAATTGAAAACCATATGGGCAAAAGTGACAAAATTGAAACCACATGGACCTTATGGAGGGGAAGATGACCTCGAGTGAAGGGTAACAGTCCTAAACCACTTGAATTATAAGCTTTTTACATTATATATTTTCATATTAATTGATATAATAAGTTGATATTTCTAGGTTTTTTTTTTAGGTCAATTTGGATGACACCATAATTGAACCATATTATAGACTCAAGCCTTTGCCCAAGAATAGCCTAATGAGGACCACTTGATATTTGGATTTATCTTGGGCTTTCATATTTACATGCACCCAATGGCATCAAATATGAAAAGTTGTGTTTTGCGTACTCTACCTTTCATGAATCAGAATTTTTCTTCTTTCACCCTAAAAAAAAAGTGCAAGTAACTCTTTTCAATAAGGAAAGTAACATAACTTTGGCTTGTTAAGTGAAGCACAGTGAAGTTTTTGGGCAACAGTTATAAGTGGTTGGTGGTTCTCAAGTAGTTTCTTCTTTGAAGGCGGTTGAACAACAGTTACTTTTGCCACCTCATTAGAGGCAATTGGGTATCTTTATCTCTAATGCTCCTGATCAAGTGGATAACATGGCAATTTTAACTCCAGCCTCTAACTCTATACTTGCCAAAAACACTATGGGGTTTCCAATTCTCTCACTATTGCTGGGTCTACAGATGGTTCACTTGCTGGTATCAAGCGATTGCCGATCCTGCTACTCCTGTTCAATCTGGTTTGGCTAAACAAGTTAAGGGTAATTTTGATTCTTCTTCTCCTCCATCGCCCTTGCTGGCTGACAATTTGGTGGGTTAGTTAAGGGTAATTGTGTTTCTTTAGTTTTCTTCGTTTTCTATGCAGCTTGGCTTTTAGTAGGTTTTTGTTTCTTTTTTATGATTTTCTAGTTGTTTTGCTTTCAGTTTGATTTGGGGTTTTCTAGTTGTGTTGTTTAAGTTTCTTGAGGTTTCTTTTCACTCGTTCTTTGTATAGTTGTGTTGCTTTGGTTTGTTTTAGGTAGACCTTTGCAGGTTGCCAGACTGCAAGTTTCTGGTGTTGCCAAGGGATTCATATTTTTTTTTCTATTTTCTTGTTATTTTCCCTTTAGTTGTTCAAGAGCAAGTCTTTTCGAAGATCATGCATTTGTTCCTGTCTCTCCTGCTTGGGTTTTGGATAGTATTGGCTGTTTCAGTGTTATCTTTTTACACTCTTATGATGCTTATTATTTTTATCAAGCATCTCTTCCAACAACAAAAAATATAGCCTTTTGAACTCTTTTTTTCTCCAAACAAACCCAGAACTTTCACCCTTGCCCACTTTGGATCCGGGATTTCTCGAATCCTATCAGAAAAAATAAAGAATCCTTGATTCTCGGGCCTCTTATGCCCCCTTTTCAGGCTGATGTTATTATTGTTTTCTTTTGCTCATTGTTCTTCCTTTTGTGGTTTGAAGTGTACTCTTAGATCTGGGTGGAACCTTTCATGTTTAGGGAATTATATCTTCTGCAGTTCTTGTAATTACCCCAGTTGTTTGTTAATGAATTTTCTTATTTTTGCCACCAAAAAAAAAAAAAAAAAAAAAAAAAAAAAAAAAAAAAAAAAAAAAAAAAAAAAAAAAGTAACATGAAATGGATACAAATGGTTAAACTCACAAAACAGTAACTTGTGTAAAGGTTTGCAGTTGAATTTTATCTTCCTCCATGCACCCTTATGTGGATTTGCAGTGCAATTGGTCTGTCATGAAATGGGCTTGTGAACATAAGGCACCTAATTGGCCTTTCATCCGCTAGACTCACTTGTTCTTAATCAGCGGGAAGATGAACATAACTTGGTATAATTCATGAGGGCTTGGCAGTAGTAATGATTTTTAAAATATATATATATATAATACAAGCGAAGAGGGGTTTCTCACACACACACACACACACACTACCAAGATGCCATTAGGATTCGAACATGAGATCACTTGTCTACAAGTCACAACCCTTTTTCACTGGGCTAGACCCCGCCATTGGCATAACTAACACTACAAGATCAATATGTTAAAGCAAAGCACAAAAAAACTAAAAGTTTACATGTATCCTATGGACAGATATTTGAATGCTCGCTCGGGTTAACGGGGGGTCTGCTAGATAGACATTATCGAATAGCACCTTTTGATGAGAGATATGAGCAAGAGGCTTCGAGGAAACTAATGTTTTCTGAATTATATGAAGCTAGTAAGCAAACATTTAATCCATGAGTATTTGAACCCTCTTCCTTTTCTTATTTCTTGAGAGACTATCTTTATTGAACCCTCTCAAATCATTGGTTGTTTCAGCTAAATTTTGCTTCTTATAACCTTTCCTCCCTCCAAATCCAAACTTGGAATCCTTGATTTCCCTCTTCTTTGGTTTCTTCACCTTCCCACCTTGTCTTGCCTTTCCACCGAACCGATCTCCACGAGACACACTTGGCCTCTTATTGCTTGACTTCTCAAATGGCTCCCATCTTCAAAAGCCAAATCCAACTCACTTCCTTTGTCACCCCCAGGAAACCCACTTTGATGCATTTGCTTCCTCCACTTCTTCACGGATTCCATGTCCTTTTTTTATGCTTAGCTCTCTCTTTCAACTTCTAAGCCTAAATCTCCTTGAACAACTTCTTGGCCACCCTAACCTCTCTTCTCTCCTAGCTTCCCCATAGACTGAAGCTCCCTCTAGAGCCTACATGTAAAAGACATTCTTAGAAGGCTTAGTCAATTTCACATCTTCCTCCTCTCCATATTCTAGTTCGGATTCTAGCTCAGACACAACATCTTCCAAATCATCCTCTTCCATTGTTTTCCCCATTTAATAGTGTGGACTCTTCATTGTGTTCGCCCATGGAGTAAATGTTGGTGGAACAACAATTAGTATTATTCTAATAATTAAATTAAACAACAGATAGAATAACAAAATTAAATATGGCAATAAATTAAAAAGAGTGGTGATTTCCCCACTCCAATTTTATCCACTTACACTCCATTTTATAACTAAAAAAGGAGTGTAAGTGGATAAAATTGGAGTGGGGAAATCATTACCTATTAAAAACCGAATGTTCTTGCAGATAGAGGCTTGCATAATTTCAATGCCTCTGAAATAGAATTTCGCCCCTACTCAGTACTTGTAATTCTGCAGGCGTATGCTCTACTAGGAGACAACTATCTAAATCAAAGCCCTAGTCAAAGTCCTAGCACTAGGGCTTTGATTTCTGGCTAAATTTTTGTGTTTATCTCTCAGGCTATACAAGAATTATGATGTGAATGTTCTCCGCGAATTTGATGTGATTATACAGACCTAGGGCTTGTGTTTAAATAGTGTGGCTAATACCTATATAACAGTCCCGATCTCTTGGACCACAGGAGTCCAAGAGATTGTGGTCACCCACCGTTGGATATTAATCCAATGGTTCAAAAAAGTTTCTTAAAAGGAATGCAAGAGTGAGTGAACTGTTGAATATACATACAACGGTGAGTGACCACAAATCTCTTAGATCAGATCGAGACTATATATTAATTAATCAACTCAGAATTAATTTAAACCACATAGCTCAAGAGCCCCAAGTCCCAAGACCCATATAAATTATATATTAATTAATTGTTGACCCAACTAATTAGGCATTGACCCCCAAAAGTCACTCAATTGGGCCACTTGCATAACCCAATCCAAACAATTCTATTTCCAAGAGTAAATCTTATAAAGACCTCCAAAGAACGTTAGTTTTCCAATGTGGGACTAATTTCAACTCAAATATCTTTGCAATTGCAAAACCAACAATATGAAAATATATATAAGAAGGAGATGAAAATTCTTATGCTGCACTTCTAACATCAAGGATGGAGATAGGATAGAACCTAGATAGGCTAGATTTTCGAATTTTTTCTTAGAATTTGTTTGTTCAAGTTTGTTATTATTATTTTTTGGTTCGGGCACAGCCCCAAACAATACAAGCTCATCAAAGTATCTTTATTTGGTTCTTTGGCATTCAATTATCAATTTTCAGTACAATTTTTTCGTATTTCTCTTCTACTGAATCCCAAATCAATTTAATAACAATCTAATAACACTTTAAATTCCTGTAAGACGATGTCACATACAGCAAAAAGTTATTTTCTGAATGGAATTATAATACTCGGTTTGGTACAATTAAAAGGGGGGTAAAACCATGTTGACCAAGGAAGTCAACTTTGTCTCAAAACCGTATTGAACCGTTTAGGTTCATGTTCTAGTTTTTGCCTTGGAAAAGCCGATCTGAACCAAATCAGACCAGTTATGTTAATTTAACTTATTTATTTATATCCAAATTTATTTGTAAGCCTAATTATTATCCAAAAACATTACTAATCCCAAGAACTATCAAGATATTTTAGTTTCATTAATACTCAATGCCTTAGTCTTATTATACCCAACTAAACGATAACTCTGGCTTTCTTTTTTTTTTTTTTTTTTTTTTTTTTTTTTTTTTTTTGTTATTCTTCTTGTGTGCGCCTTTGTCTTTCTCTCTTCTTTACTCTCTTTCTTTCCCTATCTCTTCTCCTTTCTCCTTTCTTCTTTCTTCCTATTTCTCTCGTGTTCTTATTTCTCTTATTCATCCTTTCCTATTTAAAACTGAAAATTAAGCAATCAAACCGAAATTGTATAGGTCCAGGTTTGGTTCAATCCCCCTAGACATTGTAGACCAACATCCGTACTTCTTGATTGCCTTCTCTTCATCTCTAGCAGCATTTGGTGTGGTGAGATAAAGGACTTCCATCTTGGAACCTTAAGGTGAAGGAGTCAAAATCAAGAGAAACAAAAGGTCTTTCCAACAAAGATGTTCATTCTTGAGAAATCAAGAAAATGTCATCAAGGGTAAAAGATCTATTCCCTTTTTCCTTTTTCTATTTGTGTTCAAAGAGACGATGCTAAGATACTTGGTTTAAAATGAAAAGGTTTAGCTCAACTAATATAAACAAAATGAATATGCCATTTAGAATGTTTTTGTTGTATAGGTTGTGGCTAAAGTTCATTTCCTAAGAATTAGATGCATGTTTCCTTCATTTCTCTCTTCTTTACCTCTTTCTTTTCCTATCTCTTCTCCTTTCTCCTTTCTTCCTATTTCTTTCGTGTTCTTATTCTCTCTTATTCACCTTTTCCTATTTAAAACTGAAAATTAGGCAAATCAAACCGAAATTGTATAGGTCTAGGTTTGGTTCAATCCCCCTAGACATAGTACATGAAAATCGAACCGAACTGGATTGTGCTCAACCCTAATTCAACATGCTATTTTAACTACCGTACCAAACCAGTATTCGTGTGTTTTTTTTTTCTCCACACTTACTTAACCTAGTCAATGGTCGTTAGCTTTTGTCCTTATATGAAAGAAACTAAAAAGTAAATTTCATTAATAGTATACTTGTTTAGCGACCGCTATTTGCGCTTTCCATTAACTACTCGTACACCAATCTCAAAATGTATTGACACTGCCGTACAGAATTATATCCAACGCAATTCCCTTATTTACATATTTTTTCTATAACAAAGAAAAAACAATTATGACAAAGAAAACAAACAAAAAAAAAAAAAAAAAAAAAAAAGACGGCTATATCTTAAGTGGCTAATGCGGTTATCATTGTACAAGAAATTTGTGTTCGATTTTCTGCACCTCCAAGATCTTTTGTATGAAAAAAAGGTCGAGTTATGATTCAAGTGTCAAAGATTTGCTCCTTATATTCAAAATTATAGATTATACATAGAATTCAGGTTATTAGAATTAATCTTTGCTAGCTAGCAAAAAAACACACGAGAAAAGAGAAATCAATCATCACTGAAATATAAAACAAGACATTCGCATAGAACAGAAACATCACTTACTAAAGTTCCATATCCATCAAACTCAAAACAATCATGAAAACCACATATAAAAATCCAAATCCACCATGCTTTATTAGGAGTTAAAAATAAAGCTCACACTCTTAATAATCTAAAACATGATGTTTGCGGGCGCCTTCTTGCTTCTGCTCAACAATTTGAACAGAAACATTCCCGTTCCGTTTCTATCCCTTTCCCAAGCCAAGCCAATTTCGTCACCAGCACTGAGATACCTATTTCTTATCACATCCAAACACCCAAGAATATAGAACTCATCGTTTTGCAACCTCTGGAAAAATATTCTGTCACTTCTGTACTCAGTTTCTTCGTGATCAGTAACATCTTTCACCAAAACATGGAACTTGTTGTAGCCACTTATGACCAAATTGACTTCGTCCAGCGTCCAATGTCGAAAGATGTGCTCAAACGTCTCACTGAATGAAAAGAAAAGAATCCCCATCTGGATTTCGCTTACAGAAACCGCCTTTATGATGCCCCGTGGATCGGTACGCTTTAGTAGCAGTGGCGGCTGATTGTCCGGAAAGTCATGCATTTCTATCAGAACTCGGCTGATTTGTTTCTCTCCACTGCTGCTACCGCCTTTTTTCTCTTCCTCCTGTTCCTCGGCCTTGGTGGGAAAAAAATTGTAGTAGAAGGTTTTCTTCATAGAGACAGCCATGAGATAAGGTTTTTTCTTTTCTTTTCTTTTGGGGTAGTGAAAATAATTAGGGTTATGGCCTGGGTTTTATAATGAGCCATGGAGTGCATAGATGGAAGGTAGGGTTATGAAGCTTTTGGTAACCTTTTTGTTTGCTGGTTTTTTCCAAATGGAGCAATTGTCCTGACAAAAAAGGAATGTTTGTTTGTATGAAAGAATTAAACTTCCTCTCAAAGAAAGAGTTCAAAATAATTCAGAATTGAATACGGCACCCAAATAACAAACAGAAAAGAGGAAAGAAACGCTAGTCGTAGTCAAGGATGAGAAACCAGGATATGAATAAATTGGTTTATAATAGGAAATATTTATCTTTGGCCCTCACCAACTTACCATGTAAAAGCTGCACCAAAAACATCTTACCTTGTCGTCGGGCTAATCAATTTGGTTCTTAATATAGAAAAAAAGAAACTGGATTTTAATTTCTTTTTAAAGTATATATGTTGAGATTAATTGTTCAACACATACTTCCCATGATATTAGAGTGGGATGAGATAAGGAGAAGTCCCTGGTCTCATATCCAAGTACGTCGCATAGACCTGGGGCAACCGGCAATCATTAGAAATTTTTAAAGGTGAACTGACAAGATCAAATGAAACAAACCACAAAAGGTTTCTATATTTTAAAGAGAAATGAACTGATTTGTGCCAACTTTGGACTTCAACTTGCATGGTGATATAAAGTAAAAGCTCTTTTTTTATTTATTTAAAATACAAGCAATAATTTAAACTACGAGAAGAACTTACATGTAACGAGGATGTCATCATGGTGATATTCTTAGCTTATCACACATTATCATGTCGGAAAGTTAAAATACATGTCAATAAGTGATTGGTTTGGAATAACGCCACAGTGGTATTCAATGGCGGAGCCAGAATTGTATGTGTGGGGGGCCGAACCGTAATACAAGTATAGAAAGAGAAAATCAATCATACATCAATAATATATAAGGAAAAATGGACATTTTTTAGAACTTTGTACTCAATTTCATGTATCAAAACAGAAAAGTTTTTTGATAAAATCTCATTTCCCTTTAAACTATTTATTTTCTATTTCCTTGACTCATTGGTTTGGTTATTAGAGGATTAATACTTTCCTTTATATATATATATATATATATGTTAGTTGTGTAATGAGCCCACAAACATTTTACAAATAATTATAAATGAAGTTATTATAGATTGCAATGGGGGGGCCATTAGAATGGTTATATGGTTTGCATTATTAAATATATGAACTAAAGCCCAACATTTACTGTGTTGAGAACAAATAATATGGGGGTGGGGGGAGGGCAGGGCCACCTCAGACCCTAGAGTACCTCCACTCTTGGTGGTATCTCTGGTATAGGTAAGTTCCTCTCCTAAACTACAAGGGGATGAGGTTCATTACACATACACACACACACACACACTATTAAGGTGTTATGGGGATTCGAACATGAGACCCGTAGTTTACAAATCAAGGCCTTTTTTAACTATGCTAGACCTCATTGGCTAAAAGCTCCTATTAAGCTAGCTTGCTAGGTTCTTTAGAATAGTTATGTGTAATTATTAGCTCCAATTATAGATAAGATCTTTAATAAAAGGCTAAGAGCAAGTGTAGCGCAGCACACTAACCCGGGCAACAGACCCCCCAAGGCCAGAGTTGGACCTCCATTGGGCAAGCCTTGGGACCTACCAGCCTAGGCAAGCCCAAAGGCAATTCTGGACTGGGCTCTTGCCCTCAGTCGCTGATGTCAGCCGTGACGTCACGCTGATGTCAGCTGCTGAAAATCAAATTCTTTTACACTTTGATTGAATTGTTTGCAGAAATCTGACGCCCTTGATATTTTTGGCTGAAAAAATAGCAAAAAAATTGAACTTTTTTTTTTAAATATAAAAAAATTATGGATTTTTCCCTATAAATACCTAACAATTTTATTCACTTTCAACACTAAATCTTCATGCAAACTCTTCTATTTCCAATATTTTTTAATTTCCACTCATTTTTATACTACTTTCCATTTATCAAAAAACAAATGGCCTATTCAATTTAATGTAACTGTTTTTTATTATTGCATATTCAATTTTTTTTTCTTTGCATTTCCAATTTGTTTATATTTTCTTGCATAATCTTTTTTTTTCTTGCATTTTCAATTTAATGTAACTTTATAATAAATAGTGACATGTGGCAACCAAAAATATTATCTGAAAAGCTTATCAAAATTAATGGTTTAAGTATAAAAAATATATAAAATAAAGTAAAGTGAATAGTATTTGCCATTTTCCTTTCCCTTTCCCTTTGTGGTGGAACCAAAAAAGACAATGCTACCTCTATTCACGTGAATAGTGTCAAACCTTGCTTTGCATTTGCCTTGCCCTTTCCTTTTGGGGTGGAGGTGCTCTAAGTGTCAGATTGTTCACACTAGAGTTAAGATGAAAATGTTGAAGAATATAAAGTCCCACATCGGAAACTTGACAAAATAAATATAACATATAATGAGTGATTCCACTACTAATATCACTGAGACCTTTTGTGATAAAATTTCACACCTACTAAGCTATGTAGGTGGTTAAATTGTGGACGATATCGGTGTTGCTAATAGTAGGCCGCTGCCCATCTCTTTGAATTTTAACAGAAAATATATATTTTTTTCACAAGTTATAAGGTGGAGCCTACAAGTATGCCTAACCGATGAGATCGGTATGCCTGGAGAGCGATGCCATAGCGAGGAAACCTACACTTGAGACAGTTGGTGAACCAATAAATCAATTTTGTTCTTGTTGGATGAGAGGTTTTTCATACACATACACGCTACCTTGGTGCCATAGGGGTTCAAACTTGAGATCATTTGGCTGCAAGTCAAGACTCTTTTTCACAAGATTAGACCTTGTTGACAAAAGAAAATGTATTTAAATAAGCTTTATGTGTTGCATTTTGGCCTCCAAAATAGCATGTTTATTTTTCTTCTAAATACAAGCGTCTAAACTAGGGAGGAAGTTTCTTACCCAAATTATGAAGGCCCTTTCCACTTAGCCATGCATTTTACTAGAAAGCTAATAACAACCTGAAATGTTAATCGTGTAAGAATATTTTTGACATTAATAATTTATATTCGGGAAAACCTATTCAAACCAATTTCATGCGCAAAAAACAGTCTCTCTCTGTCTCTGTTTCTCCCTTTCTCTATGTGCCAACATATCATCGTCGTATAAATACGCACCCAAACGAAATCGAGGAAAAATAAAACAAACGAAGCGAATTTAGAACGAGGCTCCGAGATCTCGATCTGTCCGATAAATCTCTGGCGAGATCTCGACCTTGAACCCGATCCGATCCACGTAGATCCGAAATCTCCATGGCTCCCGTTTCGGCACTCGCCAAGTACAAGCTCGTCTTCTTGGGGGACCAGTCCGTCGGCAAAACCAGCATCATCACTCGCTTCATGTACGACAAGTTCGACAACACGTATCAGGTAATCGGATTTCCCTATCCAATTCTTTTGTAATTTCTTTGATCTTCAACTTTTCGAGCTTTGCAGTCTTTTGCTGTTTCATTTCTGTCAACAGTTGCTGTGAACATCAACAATGCCTTCGATTGATTGGCATAGAGTTTTCCAATTCATGATGGAATTGAAATTTCTTTCGTTTGCGATTTTTGTTTTCAATCTAACAGCTATGAGCTATGTTTGGTATCAAATTTTGAGTTCTTCGGGTTATTGAAATTTCGTTACATTTGTTAGACTTTTATGGTTGTGGTACATATTTGTGAAATTTGTGAAATTTGTGAATAAATGCTGATCCAAATCTTTGTGTGGAACCACGAGCTGGTACTGCTATTATTAGAATCCAAACACTGATTTCTGTACTATAGTTGAGCAGTCTTAATTCTAGTATTTCTACTTTCTTGTGGAAGCTGATGTGGGGCCTTATGTGACGGCGGTTGGAATGTGCCTGCCAAGTGCCAAGTACATTACAGAATTCTCCTTTTTATGTTGAAGTAGTACGTAAAGTTTTAATAACAAAGGAGAGTTGTGTAGAAAAAAAAAACAAAGAAAGATGTATTGCTTGGAGTACTGCATGTGAAAAAATAAATAAATAAATAAATAAAGGACAGGCATTGAGTGGGAGCTGAAAATGTTCTAATGAAGTGAGGTTCATAACCATGGTAACGATTGGCCCCCTTAATAACTTTTCGTAATATTAGAAGTTTATGATTTTTCTTTTCTTTTACTTTGGAGTAGGGAAAAAGAATTAAACCAGTTGCTTATGACTTTCTTCAAATGATGCAACAGTAATCGTTCATGGATTGGTATGGGGTGGGGCTGAGATTCAAAATTAAAACTTGAAGTGGGGTTCGACGGGGATTGGAGGGTGTCACCCTCCGTTTCAGCAATAGGATCCTTAAATAAGTACCTATTTCTCAACCATTAATGGTGGCCAGCTGTTCATATCTGATATAACGGCTGAGAAACATATCGTTATATAAAAAGCTTATGAGTGAATATATGCAGAGCCAACCTAAAATGGACCTATGTTATGGATATGCATGGATGATTTATGGATGATTGGGATATGTGTATGATTTGGGTCCTCGGCCACAAGAAAAAGGCATTAGTTATAAACATGATATATAAGTTAGTACAATCTAATACTAAACAGGTATGTCATTCTGGGATTTGTAACACTGACCTTTTGTTTTTGGCCAAATGCTCTGCCATTGAGCTATGAGTACTACCAGTGGATTTTCACCTATCATTCCATAGAGGCAACACTTTTTGGTTTCTAAATGTTTATTCCCAATGGAATAGTTAGGTTTAATGTCTATCTTTTTTGTCTTAGTTGCACAAGTTTGTTTGTTTTCACCTTTTCCTTTTCTTATTTTGGTGGGTGTTCCTGTGGATGCATTTTCTGTAATGCAATTATTTTGATTTTTCGAATGTCATTCATTTGTCTTTCTCTGCTGACACTTTACAGATATCAATCCTAATTACCTTTTGTTCTTTTTTCTTAGTTTTGTTGGGATTCCTGTGGATGTCTTTGTTCTTTTGACATAATTATACATGTATATAGTTATTCTTTAATAAAGTTCTTACATGAGACCATGTTTTTCAGCCATTATGTTATATATGAACGACTAATTGTACAGTGGATGACATGCATTCTTCATCAAAATTTGATAACGGCTGAAAAACAGCTCCTTATTTAAAATACTTATTTAGTTGTCATCCATCTCTTTTAATGTGCAGACACTTGTCTATTTATTTAATTTTTTTTTGATGTAATGTTACACACACATATTTATGTACTTATCTGGCACTGTACATATATCTATGCTCAATTCTTAACTTACATGTTTTGAATTATTTGTTCGAGTTTCTCTTTCTTAGCTTATATGTTTATTCATTGATGACCAGGCTACCATCGGCATTGATTTTCTGTCAAAGACAATGTACCTTGAAGATCGAACTGTTCGATTGCAGCTCTGGTCAGTCTTTATCCTTTTTTACTTTATTTTTCTGTAGATGTTACCATGTTTTCTCGTAGGTTTTATGTTCAATTGATGGATTAGAACCCCCTTTTCAAAGTATACAGTTAGATTTCTTATATACATGAGCTTGCTCAGTGTTCTCATTCTGTGATGTGACTTTAATTTATTGTGGACTTAATGAGTGGTTACTAGGTTTCTTTTATTAAAGAGATTGCCTCTTAGAAGTCACTAGTACTCTCATTATGATTCTAGGTACTTGGGGCACATTTACTTGTCTTTCTTGAACATTCATTCTAAAGCTTTGGATTTGTTTCCATATTTTCTCTCTGTGATTATTGGGCTTTCATACTTATCTCATCCTGGGACAAGATTGACATTGTAAAAAAAAATTTGTATCTCGTGAAACATAAAGTTTTGAAATTTGAACAGGGATACTGCTGGGCAGGAAAGGTTCAGGAGTCTCATTCCAAGCTATATCAGGGATTCCTCTGTGGCAGTCATTGTATATGATGTTGCAAGTATGATCTCTCTCTCTCTCTCTCTCTCTCTCTCTCTCTCTCTCTCTCTCTCTCTCTCTCTCTCTCTCTAAATTGTTGGACCTGAAATTTAGTCCAGCTGTTCAAATACTTTGTGAATATCCTTTTGAGGAAGCTCTTGTTAAGAGTCCCATCTGTGAGGGATTTGTTTTTTTTGTTAAGAGTCCCATCTGTGAGGGATTTGTTTGTTTTGAAAAAAAAAAATCTAGTCAAAAGTAACTTTGTTGAGCTTGAACTTCATCTCTTTCTAATTAAATCACTGGGTCTTGTGTTCAATGTTTGATGAATTTCAATTTTGGCTCATTCTTATGGTATAGGCAGGCAGTCATTCCTAAACACTTCCAAGTGGATTGAAGAGGTTCGCACTGAGCGGGGAAGTGATGTTATCATTGTACTTGTTGGAAACAAAACAGATCTTGTAGACAAAAGGTAGTGATCTGCTTTCTTCTCTGCAGTAAGTTGTGAAGACAGTTGATTTTCTTGTTTCCTACACTTTTTAGTTCCATAGTCATGTAAACGTGGTCTTCATGAGAATGATGACTTGTTGCATCTTTTGCATGCTATTTATTTCATTTGCGTGCTTGACCAATCTGAGCACTAGAAGAAGATGCTTTAAATCAAGCTGTGCGGATGTACCTTCGTAAAACATGTATGCTGAATGCATGTTTGGTACTGTAGATGGGAACGAGGAGGGTAATACTACAAGTTTTCCCCTAGGTCGTATCTCACTGTCAATTAGGCTAGCTTATTGCATCTGATTTTTCTTGCCACTTCCGGTGCTCATATATAGGCCATGTTGTGGATGGACAGGCAAGTTTCCATAGAGGAAGGAGAAGCCAAAGCTCGTGAGCTCAATGTTATGTTCATCGAAACTAGTGCCAAGGCTGGCTTCAATATCAAGGTGAGTCACATTTATCTTTAATGAGTTATATCATAGCAATGTGATGTCTTAATGGTATGATTATGTTGCTTGGGGTCGATCAAGATACTACTGTTGAGAACACTGCACCCTCGTCAAGGTCACTTGATATGCTTACTCGGTTGCAGATGGACACGTCATTATGTTAATTTTCATTAATCCGATTGCAGGCACTGTTCCGAAAGATAGCAGCTGCCTTGCCTGGCATGGAAACACTTTCTTCGACGAAGCAAGAGGATATGGTTGATGTGAACCTCAAGTCATCCAATGCAAATTCATCACAGTCACAGGCACAGTCGGGCGGATGTGCTTGTTAATTTACGTGGGGTTTTTTATTCAACTTCTTTACCCCATTCCTTGTATGCTTCGGTGATCCTACTGTCTGTAAAGCTTAGTTACTGTAGCATTCGGAGTTTTGTGTTTGGTTGATTGGTAAAGGATTTTTATACTGTTTGGCTAAGCTTAGAATATCACAAACACTCAGACAAAATTAAAAGTAATTAAAAGAGACGTCTTGTTTTGCAAAGTGATTTTAATAGATTTCTATGATTTTATGTTTTGAAATATTCTTATATTTTCTCCACCCTATAAGATGAGTATTAAATTTGCGTTTTGTTTCTAATATTTTATCCATACCTGCGAACTTGGAAAAAAGTTCCAAGGGGTAAAAGAAAATAATTAAGAAGGATTCTGTTTTGAGTTTTAATTTTAACCAACTAGCTCTTAGTTTAGCGGTACTAATCTTCTTAATGTTGAAAGATATCTCAAGTTCGACTTCTTTTGAGTGGGAAGAACTTACACGGGGATGTTATCATGGTGGTATCCCAAGCCTATCACTCATTGTCATGTGAAAAAATTGCATTGTCATGTCAGAAAGTTAAAATACATATCAATGGGTAATTGGCTCGAGAAAGTGTCACAATGGTATCCCCGATATAAGTAAGTTAAGTAGACAGTTTTCTTTTCTTTATTCTTTCCATAGAAATTGGTGTTATAGAAAATCTCAAGATTAGTCTTGGAAACTCACCAATGTTAATCAAAATCTTAACCTTTGTATGTGGAAGAATTATCCATAGAAATTAGGATCATGTTGGGCAGGAACGTGTGTTATGATTTGAGTGGACATCACTGTAAACACACTATAATTTGTGCAAAACTTGGTCCTTATCATTGTATCACTACAGTACTCTTATTTGCATAACATGTGTATTGAGTTTAAGATTTTCCCTTTTACATTTGGTTCAAGGTTTAGAAGTTTGGGAATGGGTATGAGTTGTCATTCTCATGTTTGGTGAGTACATTCTTGGAAAATTAAATACCTTAAACATGGAAATCATAAAAATTATTGGATTTTCTTTAGTTAATTAGGGTGTTATTAGAAAAGGGAACAAAGTTCAATTCCTATATTACTATACAAACCAAACGTGTGAAATAAAATAGAAGGTCTTTCCTAGTTATCATTTTCCAGTATTTCCAAGCTTTTGAATAGGCTGGGAAATACATTCCTAAACAATTCATTCCGTGAATTAAATAGACCCTTAACTTTTATAATTGTACATTTATTATAATTTGAATAAACTCGTAGCGCATCATCCACATGTCACATTACTAAAATCTCTTCTACTTTCTTTGTATTATAATCACATAAGAGATACTTCATGTACTTTTTTTTCATTACAAAACATTTTCATGTTGTGAACTCCAAATTTCGAAGATTTTCCCACCCAAAAAAAAACTTAATACACTCACATTTGGTTGGGCCAACCCCAAATCAGATATCCCACCAAAACACGAGCCAGGTATCACATTTGGTTGTGCTGTGCCCCCCACCAAATACCGAGAATACCCTTTTATTTTCATGGATTCCAGTCTTGTACCTATTTTGGGAGCAAACATCGTAGCATAACATAAATCTGTACTTTCTCACTCCTCAGACACATTTTGGGAAGGGCAATTCAAATTTCTCGTGTTATTTCTTTTTGGCCGCAGATTTCTGATGTCTTTACACAAGGCAGAATCTGAATGGTGGAGAGGTATGTACCCCGGTTATCTGATTCATGTTAACCATCTTACGATTCTAACCTCTAACCTTGGGCTCTTTTTATTTTTATTTTTATTTTTGAACCCTTAAACCACTCGAAGAACACAAAAATAAATAAATTCATAATTACATGATTGAAAATTGGAATCGTGAAAGTACGCAGCCGCAACAGTAAATACCCACTAAAAACCTCTTTGTTCCATTCTTAACAAAACCGGCCACCGCTTGGTGGGTTCTAGACTTGAAAGTCTTTCATTCAGTCACGCAAACCTTAAGGAGCATGGCCATGCCAGGTCTCTTTCTCTCTTTCTCTCTGTTTTTCTTTTGGTTTTTGATTTTGTGTGTTGAATGCTAAGGATTAAAGGTGAAATTAGACATGGGTTTTGTTTATTTTGATCGATATGTTATTGGGTTTTCGTCAGACTAATCAAATATGAGGTTCTGTTTGGTTGCTGAGAAACTTATGAGAAGAACAGAATATGCAATCTTGAATTCTGGGCACTCAGTATTTTTTTTTCCGGTTAAAATCTGTCACTGACTCACTTTGAATCTTCATACATGCTTATTCTTCGTAGTATTTGGTTGCTTTCAGTGGTTGGTTACTTGCGGGTTTGAAAAGTTCAATTGGGTTTCGATTTTTGACTTATTTTTTCGTCAAATTAGTTCATTTATTTATTTTGTGTGCTTCTGATGACTATTATATATGCTTTAGCTGGTTAGGTGAGGATTTGAGTCCATTGTGCTTTTAGCTTGTTGGGCATGAATTTATGGCACAAACGGCCCAATTTTTCGCTTTCAACTAAGCTTTTTTCCCTTCTTGTCCTTTTTTTTTATGGGATATACTCTTGACCTTATGGTTATTTCCACAGGCATATTGTTGCAACATAAATGTGGTAGTGATTATAAATGATATGCTTAACTGCGTGCATGTTTATTGATTAGAGCTGATCATATCAATGCATCAAATGCTCCTCCTGGGCATGACAATTTCATTTTTCTTCTGTGTTTTGTAAGAACAAAAAAGTAATACAAAAAAGAAGGCCTTTTTGTTCTGTTTTGAATCTTCGAATCACCTATATTAGAAAAGGACATTCCCAAGGTTTCCTGCTTGTGATTTGTTTTGGCTAACCTGAATAGAAGTGTGCATATGCTTTTGCAATTACGAAAAAAGAGATACAGGAGACCTTTAAATACGCAGTAATGTGTAAGTAATATTCTTTCAAATATCATTAAAGGTCTGTGTTGACTGTAAGTATGAGGAAATGAGGTCTTGCCTCTCGACCAATAATGTCTATCTGAAATTTGGCTATGACATTTACCAGGTCTATAGCAAACCTCGAACAGTAGAGAAAAACTCTCTTTATAGATGTTGTGTTTTCGGTTTACATGTTTCATGATTCTACAGGTTCAAATGCTTTAATTTTTGGTTTATGATAATTTGATAAACCCATAAAGAAGCTAATTTGTTTACATGCAAAAATACAGATAGCCAAGAATCGATTTTACCCAAAGATGAAACTGTCATAGAGCAAACACAATTTGTCAAACTTGGCCGCTGTCAATGGTGGTTTATGGTGGCACTCAACATCTTCTTCCTCATTGTGGGGCAGGCTGCTGCGGTATTACTTGGGAGATTCTATTATGACCAGGGTGGTAATAGTAAGTGGATGGCCACTCTTGTCCAAACTGCAGCATTCCCAGTTCTTCTCATCCCACTTTATTTTATTCCTTCATCCAAAGATCCATCAACTTCTTCAGCCCCACCTTCCATTAAAGTACTTGCCTTGATTTACTTCGCCCTTGGAGTGCTCTTGGCTTGTGACAACATGTTGTATTCTGTCGGACTCTTGTACCTATCTGCCTCTACTTACTCCCTCATTTGTGCAACTCAATTAGCTTTCAACGCAGTTTTCTCGTACTTCATCAACTCCCAGAAGTTCACTGCATTGATTCTTAATTCAGTGATTATCGTGTCATTCTCAGCAGCTCTTATTGCTGTCAGTGATGATTCCAGTGGACCAGCAGGAGTCTCAAAGTGGAAACATGTCCTTGGATTCATCTGTACCCTTGGAGCTTCTGCAATTTACTCTCTTCTGCTTTCCCTCATGCAACTTACCTTCCAAAAAGTTCTTAAGAAGGAAACATTTTCTGTGGTCTTGGAAATGCAAATCTATACAGCACTGGTTGCCAGTTGTGCTGCAACTGTGGGTCTTTTTGCCAGTGGGGAATGGAGGACTTTGCATGGGGAAATGGAAAAGTTTGGCGAGGGACGAGTTTCTTATGTGATGACCTTAGTTGGGACAGCTGTGGCTTGGCAAGTTTGTTCTGTTGGTGTTGTGGGATTAATTTTTGTCGTTTCTTCTCTCTTCTCCAACGTAATTAGTACTCTTTCCTTGGCTGTTACTCCTATAGCTGCTGTGATAATTTTCCATGACAAGATGGACGGTGTCAAGATAATTGCTATGCTTCTGGCTATTTGGGGTTTTGCCACTTATATTTATCAGAACTACCTTGATGATTCTAAGGTAAGAAGAAGGCAGACTGGTGTTAGGGAATCACACAATGATTCTTCTGCCTGATTGGTTGAATAAAAATGCACAGGAATACATTTTTCTCTTCAATTATTTATAGCAGCTGTCTTTTTAAGACTTTGATCAACGCCATACAACTTATATATTGGTTATAGAAGTATTTTGATGTCATTGAAATCACATTTTTTATTTTGTTTCTGTAATATTTATGGTCATGGTCATCAAAGATGATTAAATGTCGAAATAGATAAAGAATTATAGAAACAATCATGGGATGGAGTTGTGTTATTATCTTAGTCTCTTATGTAATTGGTCATTCAGATCCTCTTATACTCTATTGCATTTGAACTGCACGTAGTGTAAAATAGTCCTTTTGAGAATTAAGGTTAATTTTAGCTTTTCTACGGTCTAAACTTGAATTTTAGGTCTAGTAGACTGATGACACAGGTGAGAGAGAGCACAATCTTACTTGAGCAGGATCTGTTATGTAGGATCGTACCTCTGTGTCGGTTCTTGATCTTTTTTCCGGCCAAGTGATTTCAGATGCTTTAGTTAGGAAGAAAGTGCTTAAAACGTATGCACAAGCGACGTATAATAATGGCTGAAAATTTTGGCAGTAGGTAGCCTCTAAATCAACATGATAGAAGGAAAATGTACATGTTTCATGTAAATCTGTGGTTTTTTGGTTTTTCGTATTTGTGGTATATGAATGAATATATCTAACCGGAAAGGAGACACAAGCAAGGGGACAGTTCCCAGCGGAAGTTACAAAGCAAACACAAACCGAGGGGAGCAGGCCTCTCTTCCCAGTCCCCATGGCAAAAAGGCCATGATGGAAGAAACAAACAAGCAGAAAACTAAAACCCCAACCACAAACCAGAGAGCAGCCAATTATTTGGAAGAGCACAAAACACAGCCAGCAACATCCAGCGAAACATGACAGCAGGAAAAACAGAGAGTAAAAAGATACAAGACAAACAGAAAACCTGTAGGGCAGGCAATGTAGAACCAAAGGCCAAAGCAAGCAAACCACTAGGCCAGGCAATATTCCAAATTGAGGAGGTCAATTTTCGCTTGATTTGGATTAGGGCACCTCTAAATTATTGAGGCGAAGATAGTTCTATTGTTGGAAGTTGAAGTAATACTTGATCCTACAAAAGACCTCTGTAATGAGACTTTAGAAAGCATACCAGCAAAAGCTATACGCATGTTCTTAGCATAGCCCATATGTGCCACAAATGCTTGGGATAAGGGTTAGCTATTTCACTTTTTTTTTTCCTTTCTTATTTAAGATGAAAGAGGACTTCTTGTAGTATTTGGTCCTAACTGAAAGGGTTTTGGTAGATTTCAATGGAGTTTTTGTGTTCAATTATCAGTCACCTACGTGTACATGAATAGTTGATAGTAGCGTTTTTCATGTGAACCGTTGATAGTAGCATTTCTCAATTGTATGAGTACTTCTACTAATTTATACTAATGAAGATTAGCTAAATCAGGGACTTGTAAGAGCACTTTCACTCACGGTGCCATGGCAAAAGGCAAGGGCAAGTAAGAGCATCCTATTTATGTGAATTGTGACTGCCCTATCCTTTTTATTTTGCTTTTCCACCATTGTCATGGCAAGTAAAGGCAAGCACTATTCACATGAAATATGATAAGATAAATTTGTATGAAGTTTTGGTGTGGAAAGTGAGTACATGGCTAGGTATTTATAAAATAAAATAAATTTTGAATTTTTTGGTATTATATATATATATTTGTATTTAAATTGGTTGCTAACATCACACTGATGTCAACATGACATCAGCAAATCCAGGCAACAGCTCAGACAATTCTTGCCTTTGGACTTGCCTGGATAAATGGGGGCCATTTTTGCCCAAACTGCCTTTCATTGTTGAGGAGCTTAAACCCAATATGGGCTCCCTTTTGCCCTGACAAAACTGATCTGCTAGAAGTGCTCTAAGGTGGAAGTTAACGTATGTGTAAATCTCTTAGATAATAATGATTGTTAGTTGTGTACTTGTAGGCCTATAAATGGATCAAATTCACACAAAAACGGCATCAACCCAAATCCGATCATATTTGGATTATTGGATTGAACTTATTGATCCATATTTGATAAGCATCAAATTCATATCGAATTATTATTGGATTCATTTTAAGAATTAGAAATAATCAAAATCTCTTTAGTATCGAAATTTCTTTTATTGTGTTCTTTTTCTATAATTAAATAGTTTAAGTGCATTCTCAATGCACGCACACATGTATAATATTTTTAAAAGCACATAAAAATATTAAATTAAATTTGATTGATTCAACTATAATCCATATTTGATTTATTAAGCTAATGAATTATCGAATTTTGGTCATAATAGGATTAAGAATCTCAATCCATCCCCAATTAGTTATATCGAATTTAAATCAAAATTTAATCCATTAACAGATGCACATATTATATCTCTGTTGTCTATTAACATTGACTTTGTCATTTTACTATACGCTTTTCTATTTTGATTTTGATTTTTTTTTTTGGCTGTTGTTGTACGTAAGATCGAAAGTCTGCTTAGTCCATGGTCAACTCATCCCCTTGGTGTGAATATTCAATGCAATAATATTTGGTTGTGAAATAATGTGTAGTTAATAGATTACCACTAGGTTTTCAATTTCTAGGGCATGAATGTTTTGTGTCCGACGTTAACAAAACATAAACAATTATATTGATTAAAATATATATATCCAAGTTTTAAAATACACAATTAGGTGGATGAATAAGATAAGCTGGTTTTGACGTCTTGTTAACTGGTTCGTGCAAGAAAATTGGACCCAGATCAGTCCACAGTAACCAAGGCCGCCAATAAAGAATACCAACAACAATACAAAGTTTTGCCCCCGATTATTTAAGAGTGCTGCTATTTCCACACATCTATCTTTCCACCACCATGTAAAAAATAAATAAAATCTTTCCACCACTATTATTCCTAAAATATATTTTAATTATTTATTCAAGAAAATTCTCTTTTTTAATCATTAGTAATTTTTAAAATACAAAAAATAATTTAAAATAACTAAGATGAACCCTTCTCACCCACCACCACCCCCTCCCATCCGTCATCATCCACATGCCACGGCTATCTCTCTTTCTCTTTCTCCGTGTCTCTCCCCGTCTCTCACACTTCAACCAAAATAAATTATCCCAAAAATATACTCTACACACGCACCCACTATGATTTTCAATTTTTTTTATTCCAATCACCATGTCCATGAAAATCTAGGAGTTTGATTCAACTATACATGGGTAAATTTGTCTTTAAATTTTTAAAAATAAGATGGGTAGAAAAATAGGATATGGATTGGAAATAGCAATTCTCTTATTTGAAATCCATTTATATGAGTTCCGATTTTTCACTTCAATAAAATGTTATTACATCTTTCCAAATAATCTGCATATCAGTCTAACTCGAATGTGTGACCCACATGTTGTGGCGGATTCAGGATTCGAAAGCCGATCAGGCGAAAGTTACATTAAAAACTCGAATGTACAAGTGAATTTCATTAATAAACATAGAAAAATACACCTAGTCAATAGACGTAATGAGCATTACCCTTAAATGCATCTTTATACATAAATAAAAACTTGCAAAAAAAAAGTTAAAAAAAAAGTAAATGCAATACAACACAAAAATAATAGCACAAGCTCACCCATAAATATTAATATATTATCAACAAATAACCAAAACTCATACCATACAACTCATTTTCAATTCCTAAAAGTTAATAATAAGAAGAATAAAAACCAATTCAGAGAGAGAGAGAGAGAGTTTACAAAATGGGTCAAGCAACTGTCTGACTTTATGTGTTAGTAAACGTGAGGGAAGTCAAGAATTGGAACATTTCCTATACCTAGTACTTGTAAGTAAACATGCTAGTAAATAAATAAAAAATTAGGGATACACATTCAATTTGTGTTCCTTCATCCCATCCATCTTCTCCCATCATCCCCTTTTTCTCTCCCTCTTCTTTGTGCCCTTCTGAGTTTAGGAAAGATGAAGAAATTCATACAAGCAATTCACCGACTTCTTCTCATTCAAATTGACAAGCAAAATATCTTCGTAAGTCAAAATATCAAAATCCAATAGATTTCTTATAGATATTTTGCAAATAAATATATGATGGCTTCTCTCTTGCAGATGAATTACTTTTTTAAATCATCAGTTATCGCTTACGTTCACCTCACATCTTCAAAATCTTGAGTCCGTCACTGATAGCAACTACATAAATTAATTGCTGAATGAGATGTTACAATCTATTGGCAAGTTGGCAACTTTAGGATGCATCTCTCTCTCTCACTCTCTCTCTCTCTCTCTCTCTCTCTCATCTGTATGATTGTCTCTGCTGGGCCTGGCCTAGAACTAGGTCATTATTTATAGGTCAAGGTGTAATGCATATATATGCATTGCGCATAATTTATAGCATGTTAGTAGTTGACTATACATATGTCTCCAAGGAGAGCGATGGAGACCGTTTGATTTCATGTTGGTAGAGTTTAGAAAATGATATTTTTGGAGTTTATAAACAAGTTTATGCACGTTTCAAACTAATAAGACCTTCATTAGCCGAGTAGGAGTTGAGTTTTTTTATTTAAAAAATCTCAGTACGATTAGTAGTGGAACCACTCGTTATATATTGTATTATTTTTGTCAAATTTCCGATAAAAGACTTTAAATTCTTCAACAAAAATACACCACCCATGCCCCTTCTCTTGCATTTCCTCACTTTTTCCCTCTCTGTCTGTCTTCCATTTGAGACCAAGCTCACCTAACTCGTGTCCCCTAATTAATTTGCTTGCCAATCTTGTAAAGAAAAGCCATCAATCTCTGGGTCCTAAAGTTGAAAGTGGAGAGCAAGGATGACACATGGAATAAATCATAAATGTTAAATGGGGTCAGAATAAAACACCAAGTCTCATATTCATATACGTGCATGCTTATGGTTGCTGTAACAATGTTAGCTTTAGAAAAATTCTTCTAGCTATCTCTTTTCCTTCACTGTATATGCGAGAATTGTAATTCTTCTAACATTCTCCAGCCCCAAGTTATTTATGGTCAGTCCATGGATGGTGAACTCCATTAATGAACTGAAATTTCCTTTAATTTTCTGTAAACAGAGAAAATTTTACTTTCATCAAGTGCTACGTCAATGGTGGGTGTGCCATAAATAGGTAGGCTCCCATTGTATTAGTGTTGACCTTCGAGAATATAAAAAATATATATTAAGAAGAAGAATTCTTAAATTCATCTTCTGGTTAGGCTCATCAAGTGATTATGAAACAAAAGAGATGTATTTTAGACCCACGCATGAAGTGAATTATCAAAATAACAGATAAGGCTCTTCGAATTAGCTTAAGTAGCGAGGGAGAGTGGAAAAATGAGTTAACACTAGGATATGTCAAGGGTTAGATCTTTTACAATGTAACCAAAGAATACGGTCTTAAGATAATCCTTGAGATTAAGTAAAGTGAGGATGAGAAAAATGTGTAAAGATTATGATAGATCAAAGGTTCGACCATTTTTAAATGTAATTAAGAAAGATTATGATAAATCACGGATACGATCATTTTTCCATCAATCCTCGGCACTTGAAAGTTGGACACTTTTTTGAGATCAGTATTCAATATTGAGTAATTTCGGTGAATTGAATGTGAATTAGGGACAATTAAAACAACATAAATTTCTGACAAGAGAAAATAATTGAAGTATTAATGAAGTAAGTTTAGGGTTGATAGGTCTGAATAATTCAGGTCAATAATTTATAGTACAGTTAAAAGCAATTAAATCATCTTGACCCAAATGCCACACAAATTATTGTTTCACCAACTCACATCACACATGTTTAATCCATAATTTCATGCTTCATGAGACTTTTTAAATCCAATTATATCTTTGAAAACATAATCAACAGATTTATAATTTCTATCGCCTTTGGATGAAAAAAAACAGATTTATAATTCAAATGGGATTGCTTCAAGATTCACAGGGGACAGATTTATAAGTAGTGGGAAGTTGGATATGTCTTTAATTATTTGGTAGCAATGTGGGTGAAAATATTTGTGCCCTTGGCAATAAATCAGCGGCACATGGAATGGGAGAGTCAGTCTACCACATTAAATTTGGCCTACAATTATAACATTCTTGATCTTTTCTTATTGGAACTCAGAAAAACGTTTGGTCATCTCATATTTCTTGACAAAAATGCTAAACTTTAATTTAATGGTCGGGTGTCCGTTTTGCACTATATATCAAGGCGTCGTTATCATGGTTTGAGAGAGTAGGCTGCTGAGTTAGTTTGAATGTCATACCCTTATGTGCAGAGATGCTCGCCTAATTCTCTAGGATATAGTTCAGTTTTTATACTTGTTCTTCTTATCATCAATAAAATTCAATCACGTTTGACTAAAACAATAAAAAATTAATGGACGAGTTGGGTTGCAGACAGAAGAAGGTTCGAAACTAATTATCAATTGATTATAATTGATATTATAAAGTTTTTTCAATATTAAAAAGAGAAATACCGGTAAACTAAAAACTATTGTGACAAATTAAGCATTCGAGTATAATATTGAAGATATTAGTTTTTTATTATCAAAGAATAATTGTTTTTAGAAGAAACGACATCTTATTGTAAAGTATCAAAGCTTGTTACAATCCTCTATGAAATATTGCGATCATTCTTTCGTCAGAGTGACATAAGGTTTCTTCATGAGTTGTGAGATTTCTCATAGTTTTTAGGTTTGCAATGATTTGCTCAGTTTGAGTAAAGAAGAAAATCAATTTCAAATAAAGGAAACAAAAGCAAAAAGATCCTCATGATTTTAACTTGTCAGAAAAGAAAAAATCAAAGGAACATCATGAAGCAGTTCGTGCTTCAACTTCAAATCAAAAACAAACTGGTCCAAAACAAAAACTTCTAATCAAATAATTAAGCCACCCGATGAAAAGGAAAGGCCGACTGAAAAGTACCACCACCAACAAAACTTCATTTTTTTTTAAAGCCAAAAGGACATCGACCGTACTGAATCTACCTCTCTAGGAAACCACACCAACTCTAAACAAAGCTTTTTATTCACAATTTAAAAATAATAATAAATAAATAAAGAACCTTGTGATTTTCATTTTTATTTTCTCACCTTATATTCCTCTAACTTTTAAAAAAAAATATTAGGTTGAATAAATTGAAGGATGATTAGGTTACACGACTATTGTTCGAATGACTCGTCTATCATATTATAATTTGAATGGAAGAATCCTTTTTTTCTTTTTTTTTCAAATATAATTATGCCATTGTAATTTACATCGGTAACATAACAAGTGAAATTGTTTGATGATACAGCATTATACAAACACTGTATTGAATAGTAACCAAAAATAAAAAGAAAACTACAGATTGTGACTACAAATCTATGTGTAAACTTATAGTAAGTATATGAAAATTTGGGAATTGGGACAATATTGAAGATTTAAGATCCCCCAACCAACCCTTGATGTTTTCTTCCCATGAGCCATGACCGTTAATAAAGCAGCTGCAGATTTGGTCAGGCGAGGCCCGTTCCATTGGGTCCCACCGATGTAAAACCCACGTAGGGCCCCACCCTATTACCTTCCTAAGCATCCGAAAATCCGAATCCGATCCATCAGACTCACCAAATTTATTTACTAAAAAATTTAACACACGCACGCAACAATATCAATATGACACAACACAACGCAGCGTTTTGTGGGCCCCACCAGCACACTGATTCTCAATTGTCACGATGCCACCTTAGTCTTAAGTTGGCGCGTGGACCCACACCAGCCACTGATCAAAAATTTGAACCACCTGGCCCCACCCCATTGGGTCAGCTGTGTGCTTTTCCAGTGCGGAGCAGCCGCATGAGCCCCCATGGTTCCCACAATGCGGTGGCGTTTCCCACTTTCAGACCCAAACTCAAAAAGGAGAGAGAAAGAGAGAGAGAGAGAGAGAGATAGGAGGGCAATTGCGTAATTTAAAAATTACTCACTGTATTTAAAATTATATAAGGTTCCAAATTATACAACAAAAAGAATCTATCTTGTGGGTAACCAACAAGCAACAACATTTTTAGTGTACAGAGAGACAGCCAACATTCCCTTTTAAATTACCATCCATATGTTTAAAAAAAGAAAATTTCAAAAAGAAAAAAAAACAGATGAAGGGGGCAAAATCGTACTTTCGACAGACAAACGCGATAAACAACAGTGTGGTTGTCAACAGCACAACAATGGTCAGTACGATCAACGGTTAGGATTGGCTCTACCGAAATCCACCAGCTTCCTCGATCGGTTCTTGCAAAATGCCGCCGCAACCCGAATCTCGCCGGCGAACTCCGGCGGCAACCCCTTCTGGCCCCAGTTCCGGTTAGGGCTGGCCCGAACTAGCGGGCTCAGGCAAAACGCCAGACCCGAGACGTTGTTCTTCCCCTGGCCAACACGTGTCCTCCGAGTCGACGATGGAGCCAGCGGCGGCGTCCTCTTCCACTCCGGGGTCGCCCCCGACGAGTCCCCGCTGCCTGACCGCGATCGCTCGCAGTCCTCGAAGGGATCGGGCGTTATATCAGGCGACAACCCGCGAGGTCTCTGCCCGCCTGTGTTGTTGGACTCGTCGGCGTAGAGCTGCTTCGATCGATTCCGTCGTTTTCCGGAGAAGATCGCCGAGAACCACGACGGCGACGAAGCCGAGGAGGATGACGTGGGCTGAAGCGTCGAAGAACTAGGATCCGACCAAAACTTATCGGATCTGGACCGGAAAAGGCTCGATAAGAGCGAGAACTTGGTCTTGGTCTTCCTGCACGACCCTTCAATGGTGGTGCTGGTGGCGCTGTTGTAGGTGGGGCCCACCTGGGGCGTACTGTAGAATCGAATACGGTGCTGTTGTTGCTGGTTTTGATGATCTAGACGGTGGTTGTGGTGCCATGTGGAGTCGTCCGATTTTCTTCGAGAAACGTAGGGGGAGACGGAGCGAGGGAAGATGAGAGGCGGAGGATTCGGGTCTGACTTTCGCTTCGGTTCATCGGGCGGCGCGGAGGTCCGGGAGTGGAGCCGAGAAAGCTGGGCCTGGGCCTGGGCCTTGGTTTGGGCCTCGATGAGGGCGGTGAGGCGTTCCCGGAGGCAAGAGGAGCAGACACCGACGGCGCTGGTGAGGTCGCAAAGGTGCTTCTTGCACCTCATCTAAAACATTTACTATCAGAACCCACAATTCAATTTGAACATGAAATGCTTGTGCAAGTGGGTATGAGGAGAAATTTAAGGCTTTGTGGGCATTTTTGAGGAAATAGGGTGTTTCTTTTTCTGGGTATGAAAATTGAAAGAGATCTTCTCCTGAATCTCTATGGGAAATGATGAGGAACCCAAAGGGCTTCTTCACTGGCCAAAAGGGGGAGCTTTGTCTTCTTCTTGGCTTTGGTTTTGTATTTGAGAAGGAAAGGGAGAGTGGGTGGGAGTTTTTATGTGGGTATTTGTGTGTGGGTGTGTGGGTGTGTGCTTGTGTGAGGTGTGCAATGGGGTATGCTATTTGGTATCTTTATTAAATTTAGAGAGAGAAAGTTTGAGAGAGAGAGAGAGAGAGAGAGAGAGAGAGAGTCAGAGTTGAAGTATAAGAAAAACATGTGCTAGGTTGGATTGGGTTTAGGGTCATAATTCATTTACTTGGCTCAAAGCCTTGAGAGAAGAAGATGTTCGTGGATGATACATGTAACAGCTTGTTTATCCAATTACCAATTTATTTGGAAGGTTGGCCATACCTGTAATACAACACCTCTCCTAATCACAATTACCAAAAACATGATTTCTTCTCTTATCAGGTAATTAATTGACTAATTGCCAGTCAACGCTGAGCGTGGATTTTACATACATCAATAGTTGGCAATCATTAATATACGGTGGTAAATTTGAATTGTTAATTTTTGGATATCTTCTAATTGACTTTCTAATGTACAGAGCAAACACTGTTTTTAATCTTCAATCATTAGGTGAGGGAAAATCTGGTTTTGAGTCTTGACATATATTATCCTATCTTGTAGTTGGGATTTTGCTTGTAATTATGGGTTGGGTTTAAAATTTACCACCTTGGAGGAGATGTTAATGCACCACTAATTATAGGCGCGTGGTTGAGCAAAACCAAGCTCGGGAATTGGATGGAGCAAATTAAATCTCCTGCCTTGTGGGGGCAAAGCCAAAGCATATGGGCTTTTTGGAAGGATTTCAATATCCATTTGTTTTTTTATTGCTAAACAATATTTAAATTGATATTGGGTTTCATCACTATTTATATTTTATTTGGTATTTACAGTTATTATTGGAATAAAAATTTATTTCTTCCAATCGAAAAAGTATTCATCCAATATTATAGGATCTAAACCAGTCTTATCATTATTGGATTAAAATCTGGAGAATATTATTGTATCATAGAATAGTGTACAAAAACAAACGGCGCGGTGTGGAATTCTGTGTTTTTTTTTCTTATTGTTTCTAGTTATTTTTCATTTTTCATGGAAAGCAAAAAAATGGAAGAAACTAATTTGGAAATTTGGTTCGCACATGGGGTGACACACTGTGGAAAAAGTGGGTAAAACTCTTCCCTTTTCACCAAAGTGCACCTAGGTTTTATTCACGTTATAGATAAGAGACAATCTTGAGGCAATCCAATATGATACTCTCCACTTCCCCTTCTTAGATAATAACAAAAAAAGAAAGCAATTTGGTTCATAAAAACAAGAGTTACCAAAAATTCTTCTCTTTATACTCCTATCGGTGTCATATGGTACAACACAAACCTATGAAAATAGCATGTCCTGAAAATAATGTTTTTATTTTCTCATTCATTCTTTTCTTATCTAATTATAGAACTAATGAGCCATATTGAGAAAGGGGTTTGGTGGTGAAGAAAAGAAAAAAGAAAAAGGAAATTAAAGGTGAGATGCCACTTATCTTTTTATTGGGAATTTTGAATGAGAGGGAAGGAGTTTAGTTTGGAGGGGGAATGTATCCCTTTACTCCACTTTCTTTTTTTGGTTCAAGACTGAACAAATTTGAAATGAAAGATACATATTCTGGTGAATGTTAGTGTTTTACCTAAACTACCTTTATCTGAATTTTTAAAATTGAATTTTTATATACATTACAAAGGTCGAGTGTCTGTCAAGATCATTCGATTTAGTGACCTTTGTCTTTATTTTGTAAAAGAATATTCAAGTTTAAATCTCACTTTATTTCAGTGACACTATTTGAAACATAATTCAAAATTTGTATATATGTTAAAGCTCGAATCGTCTCCTAAAATTATAATTTTTCAATAGAAAAAAGAAAAAGAAAAAAGAGTTGTATCGTTTAGACCTAGAAATCCTTATTCTTAAACTTCAAATTAAAAGTGAGCCCATACACATTTGAATAATTTGCTTTATTTCCTTTTCTTGAACGTTCATTCAAGATTTTAAATTAAAAGTGAAAGCAAAGACTAGAGACGTACAAGGGACTTTGTTTGACTTGAACCTTGGGGCTTTGGCTTGAGCTTGAATTGAACCTTCTGTTTGTGGTGTGTGTTTTGGCCACCAAACTCAGTACGCGTTTGACCCATTTTCTACGCGGACTTAACCTGCATTTTAATGCCTATTGCATCCTTTGTCAACGGTACAGGTCAGTCGGCGAGATTTTGATGGTTCAAAGTCTTTGCTTGTACTTAATACTACAAGTGTCCTTATGAGTTTCTGAAACTTCCATTGCTTTTCTCATATCAAGTTTAGTATTAGTTGAAAATGCCTTTTAGAATATTTAATAACTTAATATTCGTGGTAAATAGTAAATACTTCTATACCGAAGGCTTTTTTTTTTTCTATCGATCCCCTCACCGGTACAATTTTATTTCTCTTGTATTATCTTGTTTAAATAATACTTGGAAATTAGGGAGAATGAATTGAAATTGGATCAACTATTCCCCTAATCAACCTATAATTCTTGAATTTTCAGGTATTGGATTACATATTGTGATGAGCTCACTACAAAATATTAAGTCATTTACATCGGATGGGTAGCGTCGTATAAAGCAGCATGTGTACTTTTTTATTCTATACGCATTAGTAATCTACAAACAATTAACAATTTGAATCATTCCAATACCATGTGTTAGTTTTTTCTTTTTTAAATCAAAACCATGTGTTAGTGTACACATGAAAAGTTAGGAAGATGAATAATTACAATACACATCCCAAAGAAAAGGACACAATTAGTTGAAAGTGAAGATGAATCATCTGTTGAGTAAATACTTAACTATGTGAAAATATGATAATTATTTTAATTTTTGTTTCTAAATTTTGAAATATAATTGGTAGTTGAAAAAGGTGAAAATAGTAATTGTGATAGTTTTACATACCACAAGTAGAGCAAAGGCCTATTCGTTATAGAGAGCTAGAACAAATAGACAAAGTTTAAAGTGTCGCCATCTCATTTTTTTCAGATAATACAAGAAAATGCAATTGAATATATGAGTATATGACTTGTCACTTTTGTGCGCCGCATATATTTAAGAGACTAGTAATACTACCCTTTGATCAAAGAGGAATGCTATATGTACTTTCTCTTTTAGACTAGTACCAAAAATGTCCAATTTCAAGATTATTAATGAAAAGTTTAATCAAATTGAAAATCATATAGTCATTTTATTATCATTGTGATCATTTTAATGTTTAATCGAAGTACCGTTCGTCTTAAAAATCAAGGCTCTTATTTGTAGATCTAGATGCAACTAAAATCTAGTTTCGATTACGAGTTTTGTTTTAGACAATTCTTTATGCGCGAGTGTTTATTATTGTACAATTTTAATTACGACTTTTATTTTAAACAGTCATGCATACGTGTATGAATGATTATCAATTATTGATGTATTTAGATAATTTTTTGCAATATGTGAATAACCGTGTTAAATATTTACTTTTAAATATTAGTAAAAATCGAAGTCGTCGTTGCAAAAGGGTTGACTTAAATTCTATTCGACAATGACCTCGACCATCCAATCAAAGGCCATAGAGCACCCAACTTACCTTTAAGAAATCCCCAAAAGCAATGCAACTTTTTTGAGCATGTTAAACTTTTTTAGTGCATAATATATATATATATATATATATATATGTAGGGACCGGGTCGCATTCTGGTAGTAACCCACAAAACCATTTGCCATTAATTTAATTAAACAACACTTGTAGGTGCTTGCTTAAGTAAGGGAACATACAACCGCCCCATTGTAAAAAAGAAATGGTACCCAAATCTTTGAAATTAGTAATAATGACCAAAAAGCATACTACTTTGAGTCTTTGATTTCAACTCTAAGCCCAATTGATAATGAAGCGAGTGGTTGTTTACCTCAGTGGTTGAGGTCTTTGTTTGCAATTCCCATGGCATCAGTTTGAATCCCCTTGTGGGTGCCCCCTCCCCTTAGAATAGACTATTGATCGAATTTTTTTTTATATAAAAAAATTGATAATGAGGGACTGACATCCTTATAAGCTCTTATAAAATTTCTTAACTTTCTAATGTGGGACAAGTTATCACATCCTTACACGACCCTTTATGTATATATAGCAAAATTTCAAGCCTAACCTGTGAACAATTTAACTTAGTGACCTGGAGCACGCATGACTGTTGGACTTTAAATGTGAGTAAACTTGGCTCTAATACCATAAAAGATGTTGAGATTTCAACCCCAAAACTAATTGGTAATTGGGGAAGTGCCCAAACTCTTATGCTTACAATGTTTCTTAACTTTCTAAAGTGGGATAATTCTTCACATCCTCATAACTTCTCCACTTAAAAACAAGAGTAGATGTGTGTGAACTAATAAAATCAACTTCGGTCAAGTTTTAGGATGTGTTTGCAAGGGAATATGTATTTTTTTAAACCCATTTTTTTACAAATTGGAAAAAAGTCACTTTTGGTCTTTATAGTTTGCAGGATTTTTCACTTTAGTCCATGTAGTTTTAATTTTGTCAATTTTACCCCTATACTTTGATTTGATATCAATTCAAGGGCACATCCAAAATACCCATCCATGTAAGAGACAAATGTTTTGTCAAGAAATTTTATGAAAATTTAGACATGTCCTTAAGTTGTAATAAAATCAAACTACATGGGTTAAATTGCCAAAGTTAAAACCACAAGGACGAAAGTAAAAATTTCATTAA